CGCATCCTATGTCGTGAAAGGTTGCAGTATTTGACGCTGTGATGCCGAGCACGATCAATGTGACGACGAGGGCAACCAGACGCAGGTACCAGAGCCACGGGAATGACCTGGGAGAGGTCTTGTCGCTGGTGTAGATTTGCATATTGAACAACTTCGGACCTGACAGCGCGCAAATGAGCGACGATGGGACAATCTCAATCGGCAACGACAGCAATGATACAGGAATGTCATTGTGGGCACGGGCTTTTACATATAGCTTCACATGGTGCACAAGGCTATATGTCGCCAAGAGAGAGGAAATGGAGTCAGAGACCCAAAGGAGAAAAGGTCATGGCCCCCATATCGAGAGGAAGGGTGTTGCTGGCTGAATTGGCTTGCTTGAACAAATCACAAAGGTCCGATGAGAGCGGCTGAGAATCAGCCTTGCGCATGTAGTTCCCTTTCTATTGCTTTCCATGCTTGACTGCAAGCCAGCGGTGTAGGTGTACACATGTCACATCGGTCGAGGGGCCATCCTTGGATCAACTCTCGTCAAACTTCCTCGTTCCCAAAGGCCATGGATGACATAAAGGGTGGGAACATAGCAACTCATTGCTCTGGTAGAGATGACTTTTTGTGTAGAGACAAGGATGGATAATGAGTCAATGACAAGGCTGAGGGGAGTGAAATCAACATCCAGCAATTGGAGAGGGCCTACAACCTTTAGAGGGGCACAGGGCTGAAATTGAGGTCTCGGCTATGCGCGTCTCTGATTGGTGCGGTATATTAAATCCTTGGCATTGACGCCACGCCGGTGAGGGGTCAAAATGGACCGTCGTCTGCAAATTACCTAGGTAGATGATATTGAACTTCTGCTGCTGCTTTATTTACTACTGACTTATTATTACTTGATAATGCCATTATTGTCCTGAAGCATGTAGATACCTTCAGTCTTCTGTCTTTGTCCGTCTCTACCTCGCGGTGGGTGGAGGGTTTGGAAAGGACGGTAGGTACTGGTAACGAAGATGCGGACTGATCATGTTCGCTTTACTTTTCCGTTTTGAGAAAAGGTGCCTTTTTTAGTACAGCACACCACTCGGGTAGCAAAGAAGCCCGCACACCCTAAGCAAATGAAGACTACCTACTGCCTTCCCCCCAGCAGAATTACCTAGGTACATTATTGAATGATTCTCTATATAATAGCCAGTCATTTGACCCTTACCGTCTATTACAGCCTGAAGCCTTTCGGGCGATGACATTATTGTGCTTGATAATGAGAGAAGACTACTAAATTTGTGTGTGAAATGTATGCGGGATGGCCTCGCTTCTCCTAGCCACTTGCGGGTTAGGGTGTGCGGGCTTTTTGGCTACCCGGGCACTCCGGCGTGCACACCAATGCAACTTCCCCGTCTTAAGGTTACAGTCAATCTGCAGAGTGCATGAAAGTACTGCTTGACTCGCGAGTGCGGTCCAGGGTTCTAGATCTGGCATTGGATATGTAATTGTACGGAGCTGAAAGAGATGGGTGGTCTGCAGAGCGCTCAGGTAGGCAAGTCTTCAGTCAGGCTAGATTCTCTTTTCCTCCATCATTCTGCCTCAATATTTATATTTCTGGTATTCCCACCTGCATATGCTACTCCAAGTCAGCGATTCCTCTGATCTCTGCTACGAGCTCGTCGTAGTTCCATCATGTCACAAACAGCTGCACCTTTTGTGCATACAGGTCCATGGATCAATTGGTCTCATGGACTCGTCCTTGGCTCAACCATAACCCTCAGTGAGCGCGATGGCGAACTACTGACCGCATTCCTCGGCATATTTGTCACAGGTGCCGGTGCTGCTTGCTGGAAAATCATGAGTTTTGCGTTGCACCAGCACCGCAGCCCGCGCGACCCTCAAGACGGCATTCATCATCAACAGCAAGCCATACTCCAGAATACAGGAAGTCCGTTTGGGGCGTCTGCTGAGCTTGTTTCATTGGTCTGGTACTGGAGAAAGCATGCACTCAGACCTTTAGTACGAACTTTACCGCTAGTAGCTCTTGCTCTCCTCAATTTTGTGCTGTTTGGTACGTACATTGCTGAGAGAATCGTTCCCATCTGATACTCAGCCTGCGGTGCAAGACATATCGGGGCAGCAAGAGGCCGATCTTACTCTCTAGGCGTGTCTCTTCACTGTGGTCGTCGCCTTAATAAAGCAAAGCTAACTTCCAAATTTATGCAGGCGTTGCTGGCGTGTTCTCCTCGGAAGTCACCAAAGCAGCCGGAAATGAGACGTTGATTAGATCTTCGGATTGCGGATTTCTCAACTTCTCTGGAAACGCCGTTAGCCAGCATTCAGCTGCCTTTAATGATGTAGACGTTAATGACACCTTTGCGGCCACCACCTACTCACGGGCCTGCTATGGAAGTTCGCAGAGTCTTTTGCAATGCGCGCAATATCCTCAACAGCAGCTGCCTTGGAAAGTCACCCAAAATGCCACATGTCCCTTTGCACCTGACCTATGCTTTTACGGCGCATCGTCTGCTTATGAGATGGACACGGGCCACATTGATTCACATCAAGCACTCGGAATAAACGCACCAAAATTTGAGCGGATCCAATATCGCAAAGTCACAACGTGTAAGCTACCCCTTGATCCTTTCATGCCGAACTCCTACCCTGTGTTGTGTCGACAGCTACGTTCTGGGAGCAGATTGAGTCGTGCAGGTTGTCTCACGACTTGTGCTTCTATCCCGAACAAGAAGTACTGATACGGAGAGCTACTAGGCTCCCCTATCCACACCAGGGGCTATCTAACAGAAGTCAATGACACCAATCCAAGTGATCTCGCATACGGTGATACACTCCAGCAGTTTGACTACGGTTCTGTTCTTTCAATCTCCAATTATACATACCAATACGACACCCATAATATAGTGGGAAGTAACAGCTACCAGCTCACGTGAGCTCTCCCACTGGGAACGATCTAGAATCCTAACTGACAGTCTAAACCTAGATCTCTCGCCTACCTTGCAGGGGCGGCTTCTAATGCATGGTATCCTGTCGATGCCCTCAATCGCACCGACGCTGACGTATCCCTCTTTCTACTCGCCCCAAATTCTGTCCGCTACGAGGCGCCCGTCACAGATCCATTCTACGCTGCCACTACTCCATTTAACCTATCTATCGATGGCGGTACTACAAATTACACGTATTACACATCAGATCAGTGGGTCAACGCTCTCGCTTGCACTGACCAACACCAATACTGTAACCCAACGAACAAGCAATGCACACCCTTGACCTCGTTGGTCCTGGCGCACAAGTCCTTATTCGAAAACAAGATCAGCCTCAACCAGGCTCAAATGGTGACTGCATTACGACTTGACTTCATCACTCAATTTCTTACAACCTACTTCAGCGTTAATTCACGTGGAGCCAGCGCCTTGCGGGCTTCCGAAACTGTGAATAATCTCGATCAAATTCCCCTCCCAAACAATCAATGGATGACAGAAGTCAGCACCTGGTTTTCCGTCTCCATGGCCAAGCTACAGCAACGAGTTATTGAATACGCTACAGGGCCCGGTTACATACCTGACGGAATGACCCTGAGTAGGCCCGTGGAACAACAGGAGAAGATGTGCAAGAATCAGATCGTCAGGAGCTCCGGCGGAACGATCTCATTCTCCGTACTGGGTGTTGCGATTATCTTGATTCTCGGTGCGGCGCTCATTTTCACCAGCCTAGTATTGCCGACTGCTATAGGACTTCTCCGCAAATGGTTGAAATGGAAGGAATACAAGGGTTTGCAATGGACGCTCGATGGGAAATTACAGCTTCAGAGACTGGCGTATGAGGAGGCAGGGCAGGGCCACTGGAGTGGAGGAGCCAGTTCTGTGCCGTTGATGAGGAAAGGTGATTTGATAGGGGTGCCGGAAGGAGTTGACACCAAGCATCCCCGGTTGGGGCGCGCGCGGAGGCATTCTGAGGGTGGGAATTTGGCCACCGGGACACCGGAAATTGAGAGTCTGATGGGTGACAAGGGAATGAGGTACAAGGTTGAGCCTGAGGCAATGCATCATGGATACTGATGAATCACAAGATCGCGAATAGAGGCGACGTAAGATGATCGGATTAATCTAGTGGACAGATATGGCACTTTATGCTATTTATGCGCCTCGATACATGTGTGACTGTCTGAAGATTCAACAAGATCCCAAGTACCTCGGTAGGGTAAGCTGCATATGCTGATACCCTAGGAGCTACGCGCACCTTTTGTACCAAGGCCTTGCGACCAGATCAACGGAGTGGTAAGATACTGAGCCAAGAGCTTCAATCGCTCTATGGTAGAAGATGTTTTCTTTGACTAAATGCCTCTGGCTGGACGGAGGAAGTGAGCACGTCGCAGCCGAGGCAGCCAGGCAGCGACGCCAGCGATTGGGCGCGGGAAAGGGTCGCATTCGCGCTCAAAGGAAATTCGTTATCTGATCTGCAGTGACTACCACGTGTGTCTCGATCCTTAGTCCTTCATGCTGTTGCTATGCACGAAAGTCACATGTGAAAAGGTAATCTACCGGAGCGGCTGCTCTGATGCGGCCAAAACGCCGGATGGGGTTGCTTGGTTGGCCTTTGGCCATGCTTGAAGATACTGGCGTTCCATCTTCTCAAATATCAGGCTCTGCTGAGTCTAGTGTGGTCCGACTTAGCTCTGTCTCAAAGTGATTCAGTCTTTAATGTGACCAGCGGAGTAGAGCAATACTCCGAATTTCGAGATGCTTGAAGGAATATGAATCAGCGATCCGCTTCGGCGAGCTCAGCCCTCAAGAGTGTGAAAAAGGGCCGGATGAGGGCGGCTTACGCTATTTATGGCTCTTCGTGCATCAGTAAGATAACAATACTCCGTAAGTCTGCCTTGCTCAACAAAGTCCAGGCGGCTGAAGATAATCAGCGCGAGTCTTATAGTATCTGTGACAGGAATGCCGTTTGCCATTATTGCTTTCAAATTTACTGTTTAGAACCCTGCAAAGATACACATTCATATGGCATTGACGAATCTCGGATACGGAAGGACTGTCACTTCATGTGAGGGGATGGAAGTTGATCTGAGCGCAGCTAGACCTCATGAGCTACCGGATTCGCTAGGGATCGAAGCTACACCAGGAGAGTTTTATCCAACTTGTACACCTCAACCGGTGAAAGCTCCAGAGAAAGAGCTTGCGCATGATAGAGTAACGACAGCTCAGCTGCGGCCAGCTGCGGCCAGCTGGCTCTTCTGACCTCGAGATCCCACCCGGGAGCCCTTCATCCCTGAAACCAAAACGCTTTCTACCTTTACTCGTGGCTGCGATCATAGTAGCTGTCATAGTATTGGCACTTGCTATACCTTTGGCACTACGGCTGAAAAAGCCTTTCAACCCGTATGTCGGAGACCTTTATTCTTGCGGACACAGCTAATTATCTCAACCTTTCCTTAGGAGCTCACCGGTCAACTCAAAATCTACCGCTCGGGTCCAGGACGAATTGCCTACCTCCGGAGCTTTTAATGGAACTGGCCTAGCATTTATAGCTTTGGATCTCACTGACGTACCTGATGTCAGTCTTTTCTATCAAGACTACGATGCCCGGATTCGCCGGCTACACAGCATCGAGCTTTCACCATGTGTCGGTGGCTTCCCCATTGTTGCCTCAAACGCAAGAAATACCACACCGCTGACGACTCTCACGTACCCGGCTAGTAATGGGGAGTTGAATGTAAGATTGACCTCACACTAAGTGTATACGATTCATAGTTGACGACCCATTAGTCTCACCTGTACTATATCGATGTCAATAACACGTTGCAAGAGTTATTCAGTACTGACGACCTCGCAACTTGGCAGCTCGGTTCTTTTGGCGGTTACAACTTCACGGCATCAGTTTCATCCACAGCCCTGACAGCCTTCTACAGTGACCACTAGCTCGGCCAAGACGGAAACAGCCCAGGGATTCGTTTATACTATGGGGCGCCCGACAACAAGGTCCATGAGCTTGCTTTGTTCCCGAATATCAGCTCACAATACTTCTCACACTCCGTCATACCCGGCACCAATGGCAACGCTGGGATTGCGTCTGGTTGGTCGGACGACTCAGGATTGGGCAATCTTTATGTATTCGACAAGAACAATGAGTTTCAAATCTGGTCCAATAATTTCAATACCACCCATGACGCCACTCAGAATGCATCGTACGATAATTGGATAGAAGGTGGGTTATAGCTATCTCCGATTAGGATCCGTGCTCACTGTGTTGACAGATCCCAGCGAGACCTATTATGATGTACCGGCGAGTACAGCTTTGAGCTTCTGCGGACCCCCGGCCACCGGAGGCATTTTGTGCTTTCAACAGACCTCGAACGAAATGATGTGCTCGTCCGTCTCGTCCTCAGATGGTAGTCTCTTGCCTCCATCGGAAGCCCACGCTGCACCAGCTGTGACCGGCTTACATATGCCACAGGCGGGAAGCGCGCTCGTAGCAATGTGGCAAGCAACACCAGGCACTTTTCCTTGGGAGTTGAATATTTTCTACCAAACAGTAAGCGGCGACATCGTTCAGAACGCTGATGCCGCTGGGACTTGGGTCAACAGTACCTTACCAGTGAGATGAATGAGTGCGACTTCAATCTTCCTGGTCCATATCCAAAACCCCACAAACAAACGCAGACACGAACGTTGAAAATTTAGAAATCCATGAATGGCATCTGTCGTACTCGTAAGTGAGTGATGCCCATCATCGCTGAGAAAATGTTCTCGTGAAAATTGGGACACGGCGCGTCGTGCCTGATTTGAACGAAGATTGCCAGGCTATTCAATAGAATAGACGGTAAAAGTATCTTATATCAACGGTAGCTGTCTGCGACAATGTCCGTATCCAGTCGAATGTAGCCATAGGGGCGGTTCCGACTCTGAGATTGACGCTTTCGATGGTCCTCGATTGGTTCAAAACAGCGAGCGACGTTGGCTTCTACTGTTCGCCAGCCCTATTTTAGCCTACGGATGCCAATCCCAGCACGAAAAAGGAGCGGAGCTCCCATTCCAAGTCATGCAAAGCCTAGCACAGATCTCTCATAGGACCACATACGAGACCCCCTAGAGTACTGGTGTTGCCCTACATGGCTTCTCGACTATGCTTTGCTCAATTGCTCGCTCGGCCTCCCATTCCGTATAGTGGTTTTTGTCAAGGGCGCAAATGATACAACATGTTGTTCCGCTGCAGCGAACCCAGCTAGGTATCGGTGTTTGAAGATTGGTAACTTCGACCCTTTGAGAAAAGCTCGGACGTTCCTTGGCCACTGAAGAGACCCGCCAACAGGGAAACGGTTGTGGTCCCGAGAAAGGGGCTGTGATATTTGGTCCTGACCGCCTGCTGAGGCAAAAGTATTCACGCCCAAAACATGAGGTCTCCACAATCTAAATCATAACTGGCTGTCATCAACTGGCCAATTATATTGTATGCAAGAATATCCGCGGCTCAGCACATCTCTGTCCTCGAAGGTGGGTCATTAGTTTTGCATGGAGTAGTATTTTCCGGATAGATAACCAGTGCCACATTCAATAGAGAAGTCTGTAGGCGGCCCAATCTACGATGATGACAACTACGACTCGGCGTTTGCCTTCACAAACCTATGACATGAAAAGGTTGCCCCGTACTCTCCGAAAGCCTGAAATTCCCGCTTGGAGATCCCAAACAGATAGCGGTAGAGGGAGGCTCAACAGTGAAATCTTCAGAGAGGCTCTCCTCGCTCTTAGCCAGTACAAAGCCCATTCCCGTGTATCGATGACGTTTTGTCTCCCAATTGAACGACATGTACTTCCCCGTCCTTAGCATAACATGATATCCCCTTGGTCTCTTCGTCCCATTGCCAGCCCATGATTTGAACCAAGCCAGGTCCATAGTCGGAAATCCGTAACTTTTCACTGTCTTCGTTTGAAGCAGTGTTAAAGTCAAGGTCTGGACGGAGTTGGTTTCTCAAACGGCCGCGTGCTAGACCTGATTGTTTTGTTCCCGCCTTGATGGATATTACTGTTGAATGCACACATCCCACATAGGCTGTTTCTCACGTGCACAATCTCAAAACACTGGGCAGGTCCTGGGCGTCCATCGATGGTGCTCGTCGACCGTTAGACATGGACAGTGACACGTTTCGTTCATTTCCCCAGTTTCAAATTCATGTGGCTCTGATACGGATCATATGGTTGGATCCAGTCCAGAACCTTTCGACGTTTTTTGCAATCCGCGTTCCGGTGCGAAAGTGTCAAGCTGCCACACGCCGCTATAGTCTCCAGCCTCGCGGATCGTCAGCTATCTGTCCTATAAACATAAAAACGTGGGAACGTTGATCGTATCGGGTTAAGGGCAGGACTAACCAGATCGAGACGAACCCTAAGTTTATGCGAACCCCTAGGAACCCAAATCTGTCCTCGTCCCTTGAATCCTCAAAGACGTCGAACGGATCATCGACTTATTGAACTCCATCTGTCGCTTACAACCCCCATTGACCAATCTACCATCGCTAACACAGCACCGCCATCTCACACACCCCCGCCCACCTCAACCGCAACAATGCGCCTCACAGTCCTCCCCCTCCTATCCCTCCTCCTCCCCCTCGCCCTCGGCGCCGAAGTCACAACCGACTACACCGTCACCCACGAATGCACGCGCAAGACCCAGCGCGGGGACAGCATCGCCGTCCACTACCGCGGCACCCTCGCCGCCGACGGCACCGAGTTCGACGCCAGCTACAACCGGGGCAAGCCGTTGGACTTTACCGTCGGCAAGGGGCAGGTCATCAAGGGGTGGGACGAGGGACTGTTGGACATGTGCATCGGCGACAAGAGGACGTTGACGATCCCGCCGGAGTTTGGGTACGGGGAGAGGGCCATGGGGCCCATTCCTGCGGGGAGCACGCTTGGTGAGTTCGTTCGGATCCGGTTGCGTTGGTGGGGGGTGTGGGTGCTGATGCGGTCGGGTAGTTTTTGAGACGGAATTGGTGGGTATTGAGGGGGTGACGAAGGACGAACTGTGAGTATTTAAGTGGAAGCAGGATACACGGGATATGGCATTGGAGACCGGTTTGTTTCGATCCACCGTCAATGTCATCCACGGGTATGTGGAGGAATACATAGACTATTTGTCTGCTGCTGGATTATTGATCTGGTACACTCCGAAAAATAGAATCTGTCTTTTGAGAATTCGGCAGCGGGAGCTGTGAAAGCAATCACTAATGTGAAATTATTTAACTTCCGCGAGGAGGCCGTTCGTCACTAGGCAGAAAATGCCCGCAAAAATCTGACCAACCCCGAGATCACGTCTCTAACGTAGCAGCTCCTGCTCCCATCGAAGCCGCTCAAGTTTGTTTCTCTGACTCAAGACTTGCTTTAGATCTCTTGTGACTACGAGCATGTAGTTTTTGATCCTGGCCACAAGATTCGGAATTGGCCTAGCGAAGGCAAGTCCGCTACATTTTGCTGCTGATGCTAGCTCTCCCGCAGTCTTGTGAAAGGCTGCTACAGAGGTGGTGTTACATTGATAGATCAATCACATGCGGTGCTTTCGAATGTGTTCTGAGAGGGGACATTGCATCAGAAGGGGGCTTGATACCCATGACTTCTTGGAGAATACTACTAGGTCAGCGTTCACGGCTTCTTGCTCGATAGATACTCAGACTGCGCAGTTTTCTAGGACCGCAGATCGCTTGGGGCGTATTTCTCACATGGAAAACACTCGTTAGACAGCACGATTTGCAGGAATGACTTCGAGATAAGACTTGGTCTTTTTGAGCTCACCTGACAACCAAAAGACCAGCGCTAATATCAAAACGACATCAAACGGAAACAGAAGTGTGGAGATTATCTCGTGCTGTCAATTTTGTTTCAAGAACACCTATGACCCATCAATACTTTCCGATCCACCAACACACCAGGAGACTTTGATTCGTCAAGCAAAATCTTCTAATCCAGTTATTTGTCCATAAGAAAATATTCCGATTCCATCTTCTGCCAACTCCCACAGACATGAAACCAGCCAAGCCCTCTGGGGACTTGTCCCTCATCCCTCGTGAAGTTCGAGATGAGATATACGCATTACCTCCTCCCTCCCAAGGGATATAGCACCACTTACTCACCCGACCTATACCCGCGCCCTGATTTCACAAGCCACGTAAGTCCCCTTGGGAAATGGTACGATCGGGCAGGACCGACTGGGTCCAATCTAGCCATTCTTCGATCATCAAGATCCGTTTACGAAGAAGTTATGGCAGTCTTGTACTCCGCGGTGACATTTGGCTTTTACCTCTATGTAGAGCCTGATGCTCCAACGCTCATCAAAACGGACATCATCAATTGCATAATGACTGTTGAACTCCATTGCCCCATGCTCCCATACGGAGGTCTTTGCATGGAACACCGACAAGCAGCAGAGGCCAGACTCTCCCTCCTTCGCTACTCGGCACCAGCCGGCGCACTTTCGCTCTTCAAGGGGCCCAACGTGCATCGGAATCTCGCCCCGATTGAGTTCACATTCGCCGAATCTGCCGAGCAGCTGCAGCAAAATCATAGCATCACCTCCCCTCGAGGCAATCAAGGCACTGACCGGGTTCCAGACTGTGAGACTCAGACTTTCGGCGACGCGATACTCTTACTGCCCGCCTGCAGGGCCAACCGAAGGATTGGTCCGCATGTGGACTGCTTCGAAACAATGGTAGAAGCTGTACGCTGGGATTGGACCACTGCGACTAGAAATGAGCGGATCTGTCGACCCTACTCTTGGCATCGGCACTATGAGCGAACTCAAAGTTGAAGACTTGGGCTTCCTCAAGCTGTCGGGATACCGTCTCGTGGGGTTCCAATCAAGGGATCATAAGCACGCTTTTCTAGGCCGAAGAAGCACACCGTGGACCCCGGAGGCCCGTCTTTGAGCGCGGAAAAGAGACCGGTCGGCGGTTTCTTTGTGAGTCAGTGTGAGCGCGGCTGTACTATTATATTTCATCATCGAGAGGGTAACAAAGCCCTACGAACAACCCTGCATCTAGTACTATAGATGAGGGTGTAGAAGACGTAGTTGAACAGGCTTACAATATATGTCTCAACTTTAATGAACCGTTATTGTACTGAAACTTATTTCCAAGGTCGCGCTAGTCTTTACGTGAAAAGAGATTTTCGAGTGGAAGGCTGTGATACTTCCTTTCTTTCTGCTGTAAGGCACGTTAAATATGACAGAATTCTCGTCACGCTTCCTTCCTCTTCCGGCAGCTGGAGAGGCATGGGTTCATGGGGATGGAAGAACACAGCAGTCATTTAGGAACAAATGCTTTCAACCTTCATACTGAACTCGGCTCTTGTGCGAGAACGGGAGCAGGAATTGTTATCCCGAGTTCAAGGTCTGTGAGGTAACAATGGTCCACGTGCACTACTGTCTCTTTCGAGATGTCCACAGTGGATTATTTAGCCTTGTCATGAAACTTCTGCCATGCCCACGATCAATGGTGACACATTGTGGACGTGTGACCGTGTTCATAATGAAAGAATTGGGTATCTCAGCAGAGCAGACCATCTATGCGGCCAACCAAACGCTCAGAAATGCATCAATAATAGTCCAGTCCCCTCATCTAATCCATCTCCTCCAACTCATTCCCCTCCCCCTTTCCCACCTCATTCTCAGACACCAATATCCCCACCAAACACTCCCCCAACATATTCTCCCAACTCACCCACGGATGCTTCTCATTAAACAGCTTCTCCCCCTCCACCACCTTCCCCGCCCCCCTCATCAACTCCCCCACCCCTCCCGGATGAAATTTCATATACGGCGTCAGATTATATACCTTACCCTGCCACACCCCCCACGCATCCCTCCCTTTACGCCCATTATGCCATTTCAGCGCCGAAGGCGGTACCCGTATGAGCTGCGGCGGTACCTCGGCGCCGCGGAGGAACGTAGGGGTGGGAGGATTGGCGGTCAGGTGCGCCCAGTCGAGGGGGGAGTGGCCGGGGTCGAGGAGGACTTTCTTGGAGGGGCGCGCGGAGGGGGAGAGGGTGGAGGTCGACAGGGAAGAGGTTGGTGGTGCAAGAGAACGGGAGGGTGGAGCGCGGAGGGTAGAAGCTGTCGAAGGGGGTGGTCGGAGGGTTGTTGAGAGCGTAGGGGGAGCTCGGGGGGTGGGTGCGGGGATTGGCGGAGGTGGCATGAGGGAAGGTTCCGGTTTTCGCTTGGCGTTTGGGCTCGGTCGAGGGGGCGGTGGCATTATGGAGGATGGTGGTGGTGGAGGAGACGTGCCCAGACGAGATGATGGCTTCGACTTCGTGGCTTGTATGTCCTTCTGAGTGTCGCCAGGCGCAGCATCTTTATTACTTCCTTCCTCATCGAGCGTAAATGTAGGGATTTCGGGTCTCGTTTTGGCTCCATCGTCGTCGTCTTCTAGTTCTGCGATTGGCGATCCTGCGCCGCTCTTCCCTGGGTCTTGTATTCCAGTCCATGCCGAGTGCCGGGTTGACTGATACCTGTATATGATCACCGAAACAGAGACAAGCAGTATCCCGAGTCCAAATAGCACCATATCAAAACTATCTCGTCTCAATGTCTATAAGATTTAATGAATTCATATTGAAAAGATATTCGAATCACAGCACGCGAGCCGCCACCGAAGTCTGGATCTCCGGGTAGCTGGTGTGAATTATTTCGCGACTCCAATTCATGGGTGCAATGAGCTTCATCTCTATCTATATTTCCACTATTATGATCACCCGGATCCTGGCTCGCTGTCCGCGGACACTCATCTCTGCACCTACACGTTCCAACGCCACTCCCATCCACCTCTGTCGCCAACCTCGAGTGCTCCCCTCCATCACCCAACCACATCTTCGCCGCACTTTCGCTGCCAAAACCTCCGCAGACGAGCAAGTGGAAGAATTACAAGAACTGTCGGTCTCTGTCCTAGCCATTTGTCCTGTTTGACTACTGACAACAGCCACAGCTATGCAACAGCAAAAGACGAATTCGAGATAGCCTCCGAAGAAACCGAAAAGAAGACCGTTTACGCAGCCGACGACAGGGCAGCCGCCCAAGAAGAATTGGCAAAATTCAAAGAGGCTTACGAGAAGGCCATCAACTCGGCTGATGGAGAACAGATAAAGAATAGAATTGGGTCAAGAGTAAGAGAATTGGAGAGAGCGGTAGAAGCAATGGAAGAGATGGCGATGGAAGACTAAAAGGGCGAAGATGGCAAGGAAAGAGCTCGGAGTTGAGGAATCTTGTATATTGCTTTGCTTGTATATGCACGTGATATAGTACAGCAACTTGGTTGGACGAGAGCGATACCTTGAGAATGTACAAGCCATGTGAACAGCGCAAGCTGACGCAAATATGTGCCAAAATTAGCTCAACGGCCTGCCATCTATCTCCCCTTCTTCTTGAACCTGAACTTCAGCTCGTCTTCGCTGTCACTGTCCGAGTCCTGCACGGCAAACGTCTTCTGCTTCTTGGCTGGACCGCCGTTGGCCTGGCTAGCAGCCGGTCGCTTCCCATTCACAACTTGAGATCTGTTGCTGCTTTCATCCGTTTGTTGAGTTCTTTCCTGGCGCAATGTGATCCTCGGAGCATCCTCGTCACTGGACACAGGTATATCTCCATCAACAACAAGCTCGGAGGGTCCTTCGACGGCCTCGCTCTTCGCTGTAGCAAATGGTTGGCTCTGTGACTGCGATTGCGTCGTGCGCTCATTCTCCTTGCGCCTCTTCTTTGTCTTCTCGCTCTCCACCCAGTACCCTTGTCCAATCCCAAAGTCCTTCCTCTTGACTTCTTCCAAGGGCACAATGACACTCTGGCCACGCCTCGCTTGAGTACCTTCCCCTCGCCGCCGGAATTTCTTGAAGTTCTTTCTGCCATTCCAACGCTCATCCCATCGGCTGTCTGCGGGATTATCATGTTCTCTTCGCTGTGTTCGTTTTGAGCGATCAAGGACGTCCATAGGCTCGACAATTGCAAGTTTCTTCATCTCGTCAATGCTCATACCATCTATGGTTTCTCGAGGGTTCTCTTCATCTCGTCTGGCTGCCTCTTCTTTTTCTTCTCTTTCTCGTCGCTCACGCAGTGCCTCTTTGATGTTGACCTCTTTAGGCGGTTGCCGCGTGTTCTCCTTTTTAGCCTTCTTCTGGGATGTCTCGAACGATTGCTCTCTTGGAACTCCGTCGCGCTGAAAAGATTCAGCCTCTTCAATCCTTCGTTTTTTCATGGCCGTAGCAGCTGGCAAAAGACTGTCCATCATCTCATCTTCGTCAACTTCTTCTAGAGTTGACGCTGGTCGTTTTCGGGATTTTGTGGCCTCATCCTCGCCATTCTCTTGGTTTTGAGAGTCAATCTCCATGGGAGAATCCGCCAAAGACGCACCATTGGAATAACGTTGTGACCTTCCACTCAGCGGTGCATACTCCATCTGTGAGTCAACAGGAGCAGGTCGAGAAGATGTTGGCATTGAAGACTCGTCGTCATCGTCAGCGCCAAATCCTTTGAAGCGGCTCACAACATTTCCTCGAACACGAGCTCGCCTTGGTGCGGGCTTGGAGACCTCTGGCTGAGCAAGTGTTTCCACTTGCATGACATCTTCTGCTAATGCTGCTGGTGCAATCATTCCGTTGGTCCTCGGCGCCGACTCCTCATAGTCCACCTCCAATGGCCTTCTCAGGATGCTGGCATCATTCAGCAATATGGCCTCGATGAACTCGCTTTGTTCGATCAGCCGTTGGCCGAGAGCTAGAGATATTGTAGTATCCATCTGGGCTGCCCAATCTGCGAACTTCTCCTTCAACCTGAACCTGATGACCACTACACCCTTACCCTCGCTTCCATCTTCGAATTCTCCCAGACCCTTTTCTCCAGCCACACCCTTTACATAGCGCACAATTTCCTCAGCCGTAGTCTTTCCGGGATTGGGAATGAACGACAGAGCTTTCCCGCCACCGTTCGTAATCGGGGCTTGTAGTGTCTCGAACTGAGTTGCGTCCAAGAACACAAAGGTATAGCCTTCGAAAACATTGTCACGATGCGAATTTGGTACAAAGTCTTCGGATGGTCTTTCGCTGGGTTCCTTGCTTTTCGCCGGCAGATGCTCTGAAGCATTTGGCCAATGGGCGTCGAAGTCCTCCTCGAGCGGGGAAAGACTCTCCAGCTCATCGAGGTTCTCTGGGGTTGTTGCGTAGACCAGAGCATCAATGTAGGTTTCCGTCACAATGTATTTGCCATTGATGAGAGCCTGGAGGCCTTTGGCAGTATTTCGTTTGGTACTGACAACATGTGTGGTCACGCCGACGATGTAGGGTATGACGACTTTAATATCGAGGTCCTCAAGTCTGTTTCGGTAATTAACTAATGGATCCTTGCCGGTCTTCATCTCTTTTGAGCTCAGTGAGAAAGTGAAAACAACTGGTTGCCATTTGATACTACTCGCTTGTCAGTCTCCCCATCGTTGGCAGGACCGCTAAGCTTACCGAAAAATATGGTTAGACTTCCCCAATCGAAACGTGTGTTCACTGTCCTTTAACACTCGCTCGTTTTCCTTGATGCGGACGCCGTCAACCTCTGTACCAAACTTCGTGGCCTCATCTTTAAGTGCGATCTCTGATCGAGTATGTACAAGTGACTACGGCAGTCAGAGAGAAAGCCTAGTAGTCTGATGAGTGGGACTCACTCCATCGCCTGGCTTGACGGCGGATACAGTCAAGGTAAGGTGCTGCCGAGAGACGGACTTTTCATCCTTAAGCTGGAAGCTTTCTATGAGATGTGAGCGCTGGTCGATGACAGGCCCAACCGAATTGCATATGGGCCTGCATACTGTTCCTTCCCCTAGACAGGTCCAGCGTTCTCCCGAACAAATATTTCTTCCCCGGGCGTAGCCATATCCTTTTGTCTTGCGGAGGCTTGTTAGCTTGGGCTCTCACAGCAGTACTGTTGCTCAGACTCACTGTCTAGAATGTTGCTATCACATTCCAAGGTCCACATTGCGCCAAGGAAGCTTTGGAGAAAGCACTTTACGCGGGATGAATCCTGACGCGTCTCGTCACCTGGATGGCGGCAGTGAGTATTGTTGTTTCCCTGACATCTCCATGAGCCTCATTCAAAGCTAAGCCTCGTCTCTCTCTACAAGCGCCTGTATGTAAAACGAGGCGGTAGGAAACAACCGAGGATGGGAGTAGTACAAATGTTTACGGAGAAGACTCACTGGGTTTTAAATCCGACGCTAATCTAAAGCCCGAGATATCGCGCTAAACGTGAGAGTGAATCACAATTTCCATGCTTAGGTACGTCAGTTCTCTGGAAACCGTTGATCCGCGTTTCTTGCAGCTTATGCCTCAGTCCTGTCTTCTGTGACTTACAGATAGTACGTACCTCTGTTTGCGAGCTCAAAAGGGGTCCATATGCATGGGAAGAGATGGAAACCTCTGGGAACACTCCAGCGGATTGGGACTGTGAGCAAGCATTGCTTAAGGCCAAGGCTGCCACCTCGACTTCTGACTCATCAAAACGCATACTAACAAATGACCCACATGATCCTCTTTCACATTAAATTGTTTAATGATGGAGAAGGATCTCTCAGACTCGGATCGCTTCAAGCGTGTCCCGCAGTGTTTTGGGCCAGATCTGGAAGGGGTTTTGCGGGTCGACGCGGTTACGATGTCGGTCATTGTACAAGCTGATCTGCTCCTCGAAGAGCTCCGTTTTTATAAAGGAAAGTTGGGCGCTAACGTCCCTTCTGGTCCTACCCACGGTTGCTTTCACTGTTTTTACGGCAAAAGATCGGAGAAAGAGTTTATTCATTACGGGTTCTCTTTTTGACTTACGCAACTCACTTCACCAAGTTCGATCAGCCCTACATTGGTTAGGGCTGTTTAAGCTCCCCCCATCACTCAAGGTCTGATGAGCGATTCATTTGCGTATACAGTGACAACAAGAATTATCAAGGCCGAACTCCAGTGTCTGCTCTAGGTCCGGTAACAAATCAAGTCGATGTCAAACGCTATGGTTTCATGGCTCCGGGCTTGACGGATTTTTGGGGAGACTATGACAGGGTTTTCGAGAAGATTGCACAAGCTAGAGGGCTCCCTTACCTTGTCAAAAGCGGGATCAACGGTCAGGAGTCGCGCCAGCACGCCCTGTTGCAATGTTTGAAAGACAGACTCAACCCCAGGATGCTCGAGCTAGGTCACCTTTGCAGATGGAGGGTTTTGGGGCACAATCTCGCTCATGGCAGATTCCTAAACCAGCTGGACTCGCGATTCGGTTTTCAAAGCATATGTATACGCAATTTGTCAGATCAAACCTGGGGGAACAGGGAAGAAAGTGGGAAGACGAACATTTGAGAAGGAAACATTTGATTCTTGGGTACAGCATTCGCAAGGTTTATATGATCGATAACGAATCTAAGAGTGACGTTCTGTCTGGCAATGCGTCGGCCGTGCGGATTGGATCTCCAAAGCGCAAATGCACAAGTAAAGCGCTACACTCGGCAAGCTTCGGTACCTCGTTCCTCCTCTGCAAACGGAGCTCTATGGAGCTGTAACTTCAACCGCTGTTATTTTACGCGGGTGGGGTGTCGCGCCATGGCCGCCTTGCAGGATATTCACCGATTGTCGTCCCAAGCCCAAGGTCTTCATGCGCGCAAACATGGGTAGATCGAAACTTCTGGATCTGTATATTTCTTCTTCTCGTTCAGACACAAGTACATTCATGTTCGACGAGAAGTGCCTTGAATCGTCTAAACCCTGTGATAGCTTGAAGTCCGTCCTACCTCTGTAACTTGGACGAGCAATTTCATCGCTACTATCACTCTCACATACCATGCGAGACCGCATTCACGAGATGTCCATCCTCCTACTCTGCCATTTCTGCGTCTTTGTCAAATTCCTCCCTTTCAGCGTCGCAACAACACCTTCTCTGAACATCGGCTCCCTGCCCCAACCCCCCGTAGCAGCAATACCACCCTCGGACCTCAGCCGTAACCTCACACTGCCGCCGTCCCCAGCGGCCACAACGTGAGTCGATCCGAATCAGAAAGAATCCGAGCGGTCGCGAACTAACACGACATCCCACACGACCCAGACACCGCAACGCCTCCAACGACCCCTTACCCCCCAACTACCTCATCCCCGACACCGACCCGCTCATCATCCTCCAAATCAACCCCGGCCGCCACCACCCCATCGACCACCTAACCCTCACCTACATAATCGTGCACGGCCTCGACTCCCTCGTCCAAGACACGATCCAGTCCCGCGGCGACGGCCCCATACCCGACGAGGGCATGGTGTTCAGCTCCAACGGCGCGACCGTCGCGGTCAGGAGCCACCGGCCCGGCGCGCGGGGTCTGACCCACGGAACGATGGCGGCGCTGCTGCGGGGGGTGTGGGAGATGGCGGCGCTCTTCGGTGCGTGTGAGCTGGATGTGGCGGTGTACGTTGGCAGACAGGACGGGGCGCATTATCAGGGACATCTGGCGGTGTATTTGACGGTGGGGTCGGGAGAGACGGGGTGAGGAGAGGGGGGGGGTTTTTTTTTGGTGCCTCGGGCTAGAGTACTACTGCGGCGTAGGGAATGCGTGATTGCAGTAGTAGTAGTGGTGATAGTGATGGTGATGGTAGGAGCGGAATGGAAACGGGGCAGGACCTAGCGAAAAGGGTTTCCTTCTTTGCTAGCATTGAGAGAAAAAGCTCGAAGCTGTAAGTGCTGGATCAAAGACTGGATGCTGGAGACGCAGCATCGAGGGGGGTACATTAATGGGATGTATGGCTTGCTGGATGGGCTTCAATGGGATACTTACGTGTATACACAGTTTGGTCATATAGATAGAAGCACCACTCCGAAAATGGGACTTCATGAACGCACGGTCCACATTCGTCATCTTAACATGGTTGAGCAAGATAAGCATTGCGAACCACTGATCGAACGGATGTTGAGATGGAGCCTTTTGCTACTCGGACAGCAAATAGATCAACCAGCTGAGCTTGTGCTTGACAGCGCTAATAGTTCATAGTCAGTCGCTGGGGGAAATCACTCGGTGCCCATCCGTCGCAAGGGATCCCCGAAGTCGTGTTCTCGTTCACAATGTTGGCGCAGAGATATCGTTCCCCAAGGGTACCAACGTTGGAATTCCGCAGTCCCCTGGTAGCGTTGACGGAAGTAATGTTCACATCTACGAACTCGAGGCCAGGGCAAGGGACGGAGGATGAGCAGTGGATCGAGGCGGCGACGTCGTAGCTGGAGGTCCCGCTGATGTTCTGCCACGTGATATCGGATATCTGGACCTGCGAGCATGTCAAAAGGGATGCCGAGATGAGGAAACGCTTGGGGATAGCATCAAAGCCTTACCAGGGAAGTGTCGCAGATTGACGGATCGGACGCATATATGCATTGCGTTACATAGATGGGCTGACTGACGTTGATGCAGTCAAAATTTCGGAAAGTCACGTTCTTAACATATCCGCTGCCTCCACCACCACTGTCGCCGTTGCTCGTCGTAGGTGCATTCCTTCCTGGCCATGTCTTAATCCAGGCGGCACTAGACGAGTCGTGAAGGACGATATTCTCGAAGAGGATGTTTTCGACATAATCCGGCTTTTGTGGGTATTGCCCGACAGACCCAATTGGCATGCCTCCTGAGCCATAGCAAGTCACATTATTTACGTAAAGATTTGTAGTGTTGCCCTTTACTGCAATACAGTCGTCGCCTATGGAAGGAACCAAATCAGAGAGTGACGTTAACAGTGCTTGGGTACGAACCATTCTGCACAGTCCAGTTCTGTAATTTGATGTCCCGGGAGTTCCATGTGTCGGTTCCATCTGTGTTGACTGTGATGTTGCCATCATCGCTGGTTGCATTCATGTGGACATTGGTGACGGTGACGTTGTTAGAATGAGAGATAAAGGAGTGCCAAAACTGGGGTTGTGACCACGTCAAACCATCGACGAAAAGGTTTGTCGAGTTGTAAAACGTAATTGCAATGGGTCGACCTGGCTGATTGCTGTTGTTTCTGTTCTCATCATACCACACCTGTCCTGTCTTCTAATTCAGAAGTTGCTGTATGTTAGGGTGATGGTGATGCAGGCGTACCCTGGCCATTAAAGCGTCCTTGCCCATAGCCTTTAAAGGTCACGTTGGTCCCACCGAACAGCCACGCCGTGGAGAGATTCTGGAAGACTACGTCATAGCTATGCGAGAGCCAATAAGGCACATTGGTACTCCAAATCATTTCCCCCAACAGAGAGACGTCACAATTTAGCAGGTTAGTTGTATTCATAACTTGGTCAACGTAGAAGGTACTATTGGTCAAGATAACGCTGCCGTTGATGCCACAAAGGTCGAAAGCCTGGAGAATGGAGGGAGTGTCGTCGACTGGCTGGCCGGAGTGGGAGATGGACTCTGGAAATACATAGCATGATGTTCCATTATTGACAACAAATCCCAAGGCTACGCGTACAGCCACGCTGAGGAGAAACAAAGGTCTGAACATTGTTGTAGATCCGTCTCCGTGTCACATAGAAGAGAGTGGGAGACGCTGACACTTATACTCGACATCAACGAAACAATACGGTACTTTACCTTACTAAATTTACTCCGCTTTGGCCAGCACGTTATTGGGAATTCTCCTCATCACATGCCAGGTCCCATAATGTTCCCCTCTTTATCGACTTTGATGCCAGAAGTCTTCATGGTACCCGGACGCAGGGAACATCCTGCGTCGGGCATCACCTGGGCTACTCTGGACAGGACCTCTCATTGGTATCTCGTACTAAACGTTGAGGATTGATTGGAAGTGGTCGGGTTTCCCTAGGTCTTAGCCTCAAAAGCTAATCATGTACCCCGCCTCCCCACCCCGAGCCGCCGGAAGGCCAGCCGAAAGGCGGCTCCCTTCTATGCAAGGAATAAAGTACTTTACTCTCCTAGCTACTTTATATCTTACGGCAGGCGAGCTCCCTAGCCGCTAATCTAGATCAAGTGTTCGTGTGCCCCCAGAACTCTACATGCATGGGCTTGTCAGCCAGATCATGTGGCTCCAGAGATTGTGTTCCGCCAGCCAGTATCGTGGCAGCACGTTACGACGAAAGAAATTCGGAAGGAGTGAAGTCTCCGAGTAAAGGCGTCCGATCAGGAAATGATGAGCTGTGCTTAGCAAGGAAAGAAATACGTGGCACATGGGAATAGACATCGTGCGCAGGGGTAAGACTGCAATATCACGACAAAGCACATGCGCTGAGCGAGACGACTCGAAAATTCGCCCCTCCTCTGCGTAAGAGAAGCTGGAGAGTCGGCAGTGCCGTGGTCCTACTACTGCTCGCTGCGCACGGCCGTCATGGAAGTATACGCACTCACCTAGTTTGCTTATATATGTAGAAGAACAACTCGGTTAACGGAACATCATGAAGACACTGTCTACATACATTATCCGAGCATAGGTAGGAAGATATTGCAAATGAAGTGCAAGGGTGAAATCCGCCGCTAGTTCCCCGCAAACGCCAAGACAAATCCCAGGGACCGCGGCGTATGTTGCCCCACCGACTCGAATCATCCAACAGCATCCTCTCGCTATACAAACGTCCCCTCCCGATACAAAGCGCAGCTCTCCACCGTACCAATCGTCAACATGGCAGACGAAAACACCGCCCCCTCCGTGGACGAGACGCCCCTCTCCCCCATCGAGCGTCAAGAATCTCTCGAAAAACACCTGCAGATGCGTCCAGACGCCCAAGATCTCAAGAACAGGAACATTCTGCGTGACACACACGCCGCACCGTAGACACTCGATTATCAACCTGACTCCCAGATCCAAGGAGCTGACGGGGAAGCAGTGCGATACAATCCGCCCAATTAGAACTTGAGCGCCAACAAGCCACCGACAGCTTGCGGAAGGGATTGGAGAAGCGTCCGGAGAAGGAGGAGCTGATTGGACGTATGATCCCACGACTTTCTCAATCCCGGCCGGCCCGTCCAATGCGAACATCCCAGTGACTGACGTCTCGGCTTCTTTTTCAGGAAACATCCTCCCCGACTCCACGGCCGCGCCGGCCATACAGGGCCAGCAGAAAGAATTGCAGAAACACATGCGAGCGGACAGTTTGGAGCAGAAGCTACAGCAACGACCTAAGCCGGAGGAGCTGATGAAGGAGGGGATATTGGATGAAGATCCCACCTCCCCCACGAAGGAGTGAAGGGGCTGTCGAAAAGCGGGATGGAGCGAGAATGGCATGACATTAGCAGGGGGAAGGGGAAACAGACCGGAGGCAATCTGAAATGGCAACTCAGGGTCTATCGTACTAGCATAGCACATGCCATAGACACCGCTTCACATGACCGATTGCCAAATCCAGCCGATATCTCATCATTCAATAGCGAGGATTGCCCGCCTCTTCCGGACCATTCTGTCATGGGTCAACAACTCTCCACCCCCCCCCTCTCCTCCCCCACATCCACAACCCACCCCTTCGGCCTTTCCCTCCCCCTCACAATCATCCCATACACCGCACCCTCCACCTTCTCCACACAAGTCCTCATAACATCCATCTTCCTACCCGCCCGCCCGCCCGCCCCATCCAAGCCTTCAAACGCCGCCCTCATCTGCCTCAGATCCGTCAAGATATCCCTCCCCTCCCCACCTCTCGGCAACGCCCCACCCGTAGCCATACCCGTAATCGCAAACCGCATCAACTCCCCCACCAAATCAAACAGCCCGAGCACGTAATCCTCCTCCGTCAACACGACGCCCCCCGCTATCTGCGCCCGTGCGTCATCGAACGGTATCAGCCGCTGGGTCTCCAAGTAGTGCCGGAAGGAGACAGCCTCCACGTGTTCCTGGACGCCCGACGAGATCTGGGCCCGGTAGCGCCAGGCGTTCAGATCCCGCAGGTCCGGCGCCAGCGAGGAGAACAGATCCGAGATCTTGGCCCCGTAGGCGGAGACTTCCTTGGCGACGGCGGGCGGGGCGGGGGCCTGGAGCTGGCGGACGCTGGAGGGGAGGGACTCAGTGGGTTGCGGACGGGGTGAGGGGAAAGGGGAGGGGAGGGGAGGGGATGGGGGATACCGTTGGAGGGAGAAGATCCTAGAGAGGCGGTGAGCGGTGATTCTCGCTCGTCGGGGCGTCGCTCACATCTTCTTGCTCAGGGCCGTGATGTCTCTGGATGCTTTGATGATTCTCTCACGGCGGTCGTGATGTTCGTCCAGCTCGGTGCGGAAGGTCTCGAACATGGCTATGAAGGGTGAGATGGGGCGTGGAGGGTCAATCATCTCGTCGTCGCTGCGCGGGCGCTTGATGCCTGCCATTGCTGGCTCGAACAAGGGCGACGAGAGGGCGTACTTTATTTTAGAGCTGCGGAGTTCAAGGCGGGAGTTTTTTACCGGGGTATTTTCGGGCAGGAAACTCTACAGCTACTCCGTGCACGAGATTGTAGAACAAGGCACCTTTCAAGTTGTGAAGCGCAAAATAACGTTTGCGTTTTCTAGTCTGTGTCTGCGTAGTTCAGTTTCACAACCTTGAATCTATCCAGAGAGGCAGGCTGTTTGGATGGCATTGCAAGCTATGATGATTCTGCTGGTATCTAAAAGTACACGGAAGGCGGATCATAGTCCTCCTGTAGCTCAAAGGGTCGAGAAGAGCTTTGGCCCAAGTCCAAATAAGGCCGCACAGTCAAAGATGCTTCATGCTGTATCACCCTAAAAATGCCGATCAATCTCCAACGCCAACATTGTCTTCTTAAAGCTATTGCCATAATTAGGTTAACATACATTCAATCATCCGGATGAGTGATTCGGGACTTACCATCACCACACCAATTCCACCTCTCCTGGAAGCATCGACGTTGTTCTTGGTGTCAACACCACCCGATATAGGTGCAGTCCGGTAGTTGTACAGATAGTAGTGCAGTTGGCCATCTCCTGCTCCAAACTTGAGCGATTCTAGGAACAGTGGGTTGTCCAGAAGGGTAAGGGCGTTGAAGACATCAAAATTGAACTGCGGAACCTGTTAGCTTGGCCGGGTGCCAAAGTGGCAAATACAGCGTACCTTCTTTGCAAGTATCAGGGCGTCAGTCATCAACATTGTCATCCTCTCCTTCAAACCCTTTTCTTCCTTTGCAAACGCCGTCTCCGTAGCATAGTAGAATAAATATGCTGCCCTGACATTATCATGCTTTTGATTACCGATGACGGAAGACTCAAGGCAGTAAAAGGAGAAGAAATCAGTGATCTTGTGTGTGCTGGGTTCTTCGACGACGTAGCTCCATATGACTTGCTCAGCAGCGCTGTCATCGTGAAGCAGCCAATGCTCGACTTCTTCGCGGTCGAAGATAGGTGCCATAGCGAAGCGTTTCAAGTATCTCTCAAGGAGATCTAGTACGGCACCAACGTCTTTCTTTTCCATTGGCCGCAATCCTGGTGTAGATGTTGAGCTGGGTAGATGATATCGCGTGATCTGTCGAGCTTTTGTTGAGTTTGAGGGTAGGGGAGAGAAGCCGACTTCATAAAGTTTCAGCCAATCGAGGCTTCGATGAAAGTAACGACATGAGCTGACAGGCTTGGGAAGAACAATTCCACCAGTGTAGAGACCTTGGAAGATGCCTAGGACGTAGCTTCTTCTGGTGATCTCTTGAATGAGGACAGGGGCGAGGCGTTTCGAGCGCAGCTTTTTGTGTATACACAAAAAGTTGACTTCAGTGCTTTTGAAGACGTTCGATCGAACACGAAGAGATACTGGCACCCCAGATATGAAAGCGACGAGTCTTCGTGACTTGGTTGCGCGGACACCGACGTGCCATTCTTTCCGCCAGCCGGGGGACTTGAGGGCCCAATTGAGAAAGGAGGAAGAGTAGTTGAACCGAAACATGGCCTCATCATCCTCCACGTAGTGCCCAGTCAGAAGGTCGTAGACCTCTTCCAGCTCTTTCTCATCCAGGAGATTCATAGTAACCCACTCGAACCCCTCCAACATCGGCGGTGGTTCTTTGGGAACCTTTTCTGGATCAATGTCCTTGATCTGACCCTCTTCCACTTTTTGTGCCTCGTCGAAGCGAGGGACGGGCTGTGTTTGCCAGAACTTGTAGGAGGCCATATCCTTCTGATTCTTCCCACTCACAGACATTCCAGTAAGTAGATCCGCCACATCTAGCTTCTTCAAAGTCTCAGCAGCCTTTTCCTTGTCCATGCCAGCCACCTCCCCCTTCAACGACGGGTTCATCTCCAGCAGCTGTTCCACCATTCCGCTCGTAAGCTTACTCGCAGGATTCGAAGAGCTCCCCGATGCCTCTTCATCTTCATCATTTTTCTTGCCTACGCCTAACGCCTGTTTCAATTTGATTTTCTTTGACTTCTTTTTCTTGGCTGCGGAGCCTGCAGCTACCACGTCCGTGTCTTTGTTGTCTGTGGACTCGACGTCTTCAGCGCTGTCTTGGTCGGCGGTGACGTTGGTAGATTGGTCGATAACATCCTTCGCAGCTTCTTCGTCGGCTTTGGAGTCGACAATCTTTGACTCCTCCATCTTTGATGGGTGTTGAGTGTGTGGTCTGCGAGGGAGCTTGGTGAGACGTGGGGAAACCCTAATCTAGCCGAATGCGGAACCTACAGAGGAAGGCAGCACTATTTTGGCACCTTTCAATGGCTACTAGCTCTTCGACTGACCGTTTACAAGGCAGATTCACAATACTTGGTATGTCTATTGGCTTTCTGATTGGCCTTTCACAATACTTGGGATGTCTATTGGCTTTTTGATTGGCCTTTGGCCCGTTGCATTGCTATTCTGCGGTATCTAACAAACCACGCAGCACCTCAAAACACCGGCAGCAGCCTACTACAGCTCAAGGTCCATCTGGGCCCACCCTGTCCGTCTTCTCAAATGGTTCAACTGCCGGCCCAAAGATGGCGCGCTGGTCAGGAGTAATGAAGTCCGCACGTGTAGTGCGAGGGGGGAGAGCCCCCACCCTGTCTGTCCTCTCAAATGGTTCAACTGCCGGCCCAAAGATGGCGCGCTGGTCAGGAGTAATGAAGTCTGCACGTGTAGTGCGAGGAGGTAGAGCCCTAGGATTTGGCGGAGGCAGAGATGGTGGTGGCGGAGGAGAAGGGAAGCGAGGCGCATTCTTGATTGTTTTCATGGGCGGGGATTGGCTTTTGGGTTCGTCTTTGATGGTTGGTTGCTTATTGACAGGCTCAGACTTGATGTTTGACTAGCACGTGATCTTAGCAATTGCAGGGCTTTCAGACGGGAAGTAGCCCTCACGTTGTCCATTTTTGTGATATTGCATGCTAAAGCAGCGGTATTGCAATGGTGTGTTCTCGATATTTGTGCACAGTTATGGATGTTGTGAGGGAAAAATTTGGTGCTCAAACTGGGATTTTGTGTCCAAATGCTCGGCATCGCCGTGGGCAACAGCCATACGATTCTACGGATTCTAACTCTCCATATAGAACGCATTGAACACTGCTTTAGCCACCACAGGATAAGTAACCACACGGTTGTGACCTTCAATTATGGTAAGCTATCATTGATCAGCTTTTGTGGACTGAGACTCACCTCCGTGCTTGACAACATCCTGCCTAATAATCTTCCTTCCACCGTCTTCTTGCACTGTTCTCCAGAAGTTAGTCCATCCCGACTCGCCGAAGTCGACTTTTGTTTTGACAGCATCTATCTGCTTGAACGTAAGGCCTTCCGCACTAGTGGCATTTGCAGCTGCATGGAATAATGTATTCGAGTGAGACCATGGTATATCATAGTCATTTGTGGCGTGGATCAAATGTACGTTGACGTTTTTACTTCTGCGGACCAGATTGGCCAGCCTCGCGAATGTGAACCATGTCTCTTGGATACGGTTGGCAAAGAATTGGCTGAGGAAAGGATATGGTCTTAAAGGCGAGAGAATCGGGACTAGGCCACCAATAGTGTACGTCGACATAAGCGTCGGGACGTCAGAGAAAGCTGCACAAAGTATTAAACATCTGAATTCCACGGCATCTTCAAGAACAAAATGCTCTGCTGCAGCCGTTGCGACGGCAGAACCGAGGCTTTGACCGACGATGACAATCCTCTCCGGAGGAATACGGGCCACTTCCATCGCATATTTTATCAAAGTGATACCGTCTGTAATGAGACCGGCCTCGGTCGGACTACCTGTAGATTTTCCGTACCCGCGATAATCTACAGTCAGTATATGAATCTTGTTAGAGGCGCCGGCAGTGATTGCACGGTACGTATCGGTACGCCATCCTTGAGCTACAGTGCCTGCATTGCCATGGACTGTGTCTCGTAAGAAGGACAACCCTATACCATTCCAAGGCCCAATATTACTTACAGTATATGATTAGGCGGCTCTCAGGATCCTCAGCCAGAAGCTTGAAAGCCCATGATTTCTCATAGTCCTCAGCTCCATTAGTCTGCCCAGTCACAGCTCTCTCGTTTTCGGCGTATAACGTAAGAGGGAGGACATGCCATCCCCAAAGTACCTCTCCATCTGGAGTGCTGATATCGAATTGTTGCACCTGATTTTCTATGCCTGATTAGCTTAGGTTTCCAAAAGCCAAGATAGAAGCAGTACTAAGGAATCCAAACTGTTCAGGCCTGTTTGGGTCATGCAACCATGTTGTATGTATTTTATGTGCATAGAAAGCCCTGCTAATACATCAATCCTGACTTCTGAAAGGTTTGAGAGGGTATAGGGCGAGCTCACTGTCTTTGGATCCACCCGTTGAGTAGGAGAGAGATAAATGCAAAGTACAGACCACCCGCAATGGCAAGTGACCAGTATGCCTTCTTGAAGATAGGCGCAATAGCCATTATACAGTATGTAGGAGACAATAAGCACTGACAGATCTGGATTTTCAATGAAAGAGCTCAAAGCTTGACAGCCACATCTACTGTGATTACGTCCTCCAAAAAGAAGAGACGGCACACAATTCGGAAAGCAGTAACAGTGAGTTCGATTTGGTTGACTTATTGTTGTCAAATCATATTTATTTGTACGCCAAGACGACAGAAATGTACCCCGTAATTACCCCCTATTAAGTCTAGGGTAACCGCTGCCCTACTGTCGCGCAATAAGGGTGATCATCGCCTGGTGATTGTTACTCTACAGGGGGTGTATGACGGAATCGGCTCGGCAATATAATGTTCCGGCAACCCCCCCCCTAGAATGTAGAGTCTGAATTCTGAGACTAGATTATCACTCCGAGTAAGTAAGTAAGGGTTATATTTCTTGATATGGTATTGCGGAAGCCTTTTACAAAAGCCTCTAACAGAGCCGTTCCTGCTAGGTCTAAGAGGCTTAAAGAGCCTAGGCCAAATATGTATTAGCGTCTCCGAGCATTCTCTACTAAAGCAGATTTCTAGGTAGTAAGAATGCATCTTCTTTCCACATCATGACTTGGTCCTTAACAATTTCTCGCGATTTAACCGTTAGATTTTAAATATCTCTATTAAGTGATACTCGTTTAAGATTATAGTATAATTATTACTATAGCTAGCGATTAATATATTAACTTTTTAAATAATTTTTTTTTCTCTACTTTATTTTATATTATCTCTTATTATACTTCTTCTTTTAATAATAAAATTAGTTAAATTTAATATTTAGAAAAGTATAATCTCTTTATATATATTTTATTTTATTTTATTTTATTCTATTTAGCGTTTTTCTATCAAAATAAATAAGAAATTAATATAAAAATAAAATATTAATCTACGCGTTGTTAATTTTTAGAATATCAATTATTGAAATATATTGTTAATATTAGAATCGATATATAGTGTTTCACGTCTTTAATCTAGGATCGATTAAGATCAAGCACGACTGCGTGGAGGCGAACGAATAAGTCTCAGTGAACTTTATCGTGAGCGATGGAACGCACCCTCTGCACTTTGCTAGTGACGCTTTGCAAGAGGATCCGGAAGAAGACTCTCTATACTAGTATTTGGTCGAGACTCTGACGGGAAAGAGTGGAATCATTGGTGCAGAGTGAAAGGAGATAAAGCAGCCATGAGAGCAAATACAAATTTTGACCTCGTGACTGGACTGGCGTGGCCTAGGCGAAGGACAAAATTCCTAGAAGATGCTACAGATCCTCCAGTACAAACGCTGCCAAAAAGAATCCATACCAAAAGGACTTTGACTACACTGATGAACGTCAAATATCAGGCTTCGATCCGGTGAAAGCAGTTAAGGAAATGGATGAGCCGAAAATCTGGCCCTTCAACAAGAACACGATATTGGAAAAGGTCGTTCAAGTGCAAGCCTCAAAAGAAAAGTTATATCCTGTTCGAGAGATAAAGGAGGTGCAGGGTGACGAGATGAAAAGTGAGTTGATGCAGCATTCGGAACCCAAGCCTGAGGCTCTGAATCTAAAACGCCAGTACCAATGCGAGACGCCTCTCAACGAGATAGTCTCCGTCCCATCGCCAAATGCTACGAAGGTCAAGGCAATCGACACTAGACCCTCAATGCTGACCGAATCCTCAGAACAGGCTTTCACGGAAGCCCAGTTCCAGCACACTTTGAGCAACACCGATCTGCTTTGAAAGCTGGATTGTGAAACAAGTCTCTTCATCGGTGATATTGAGGGCTGGAACCAAGAAGACAAGGAATGCTGCGGCTGGCTTCCGAGCTAGTTTGATAGGCCATGAGAGCTGCTACTTGCCACTCATAAAGCTCAATAAGGAGAAATTGGACGTGGCTTGTAAGGTTGTGCAGATAAGGGAGCGAGATGAGAGAGACAATGTATTAATATAAAGAATTCTTTCCAAGGATAGACGCATCTTTACAACGACGCTTGTTGGTGTTTGTGAGGATCAGTCTTGTTATAACAATGTGTAAAGTTACTTGACGGTCTACAATCCTTGTTTTGTATCATACCACTTAAACCTAGGCTGTAAGTAGAACCGCGTAAATCAAGACTTCACTCGATTTAAAAAGATAAAAGGAAAAAGAATGGAGGAGAAAGGGAAAGAAAATCAAAAAAAAGTTGCGTCTTGCCCGGATCGAACGGGCTACCTCCAGATTCCACGAATGAAGTTTGCTTCAGTCTGGCGCTGGTTCAATGTTAGAACAAATAGGTAAATTGTTAACTTGATGCGAACTTACCTCTCCCAAGTGAGCTAAAGACGCTGCTAAAATTAATTCTCCTAATTTGAGTAAATATTCTTCAATCCGTTTGTACTCTCCAAAGAGCCAGTCGCGGACGTGGGAGCGAGGAGATGAGTACTCCAGTGCCAAGCTATCAGAACGTGCCCCGGCCTCAACCTATATCTGGCCTAGAGTGAATGCCGCTTTACGTTCGCGCACCCCGTGTCTGACTTACATTAAGGTCGGCAGGGGGTTTTTCGTAATGGTCTATGTAGGCTAGTTAGGTAACAAGAATACCATAAGTATCATTTACAAATAAAGATTTATTATAAGATTTAACGTATCTACTCTGGAATCCTCTTGAAGAATCTTTTTATATCAATTATTTTTCAATCTCATGATATCGTGGTTTAAGATTCCTCCCGGGAGTCTCCTGAGAAAGCGAGTCTTCTATAATTATTTCCGTAAATACGAATGCCAAGCCTCGTTTTCGGGATCTGGCTACTGTAAATTACATCCACGCTATTTAATTTCTGACTTCAGATTCAAGCGATTTAGCCAAAGTTCTCGCAGGGGTATTATTCTCGAGGTCTTACGGGGGGTGGTGGGGGGTGATGGGACGGGGTGTGATGGAATGGGGTGTGATGGGATGGGGTGTAGGCTGTAAAGCAGTAGGTATTACGTCAAAGTGTAAAATACGGCTTAGTCATTAGTGGTAGGACTGAGAAGATCTCCTGATTTAGGGATATCCTGAGCGAAAATTCTTCTAATTTTTAAAAATACTCCTAGGATCTCTGTAAAATACGATATTATTTTACACTATAGCTACTTATACCCTAAGCCTTGTCAATGCGGGTCGAAATATTCCCCGCCTACAATTTTGCTAAGACTCTCCAGGTATGATTAGTAAAACCCCCCTGCCGACCTTAAAGTATATGAGCGCTGAAGGATTAGGCCTCACGACAGGTATGAGCTACTACTTAGTTTCATGAGGAAACGCACAATACTAGGAAATGCGGAATCTTAAATCCGATAAGTCCGATCCAACACTCAAATGCCTACTTCTCACCAAAATTCTATGGCAACTCCGCATAATAAGGATCAATAACTCTGGTTCTTTCTTGCTATCAAGGCTTCTACATCGAGGAACCCAAATTATTATTTTTTAGGCCTTATCGGTCTACCAACGCGTAAAAATCGTACCTCTTCCACCTTACTAGGTATATTACTGCGAAGATACTACAGTAAAGACTACGACGAAGCCTCCGGTGGAGCGAACGATAATAATCTTAGTGGGCCTAACGTAGAAGGTGCAGTAGCCATTTGAATAAGTGATAGTGGTAGCTATGATAGTGGTAGCTATGATAGTGGTAGCCAGCTATATCGGATTTATCGGATTTAAAAATTCCGCATTTCCTAGTATTGTGCGTTTCCTCATGAAACTAAGTATCTGAGGCTGTCAGCTACGTGATTGTCTTAATTGACCCTATTGTTTGCTCCTATTAGCTAGAGTACTTGTACAATCTTGTCAGGCTGCAACGTTGCCTCTTTGATGATAGAGTATCAAGAATGGCAAATGTCCTGCTGGCGTCAGACGTTCTCTGCCACAATGTCACTGTTGAAGCATCAGACTCTGATGGACCGGGCTCGTAATTTGCGTATTGCATATAAGGTGGCGGTCACTTACTCTGCTGATGCTGATTGTTGGATTTAAGAGGTGTTTATTAATGAACTTACTGCTACTTCTTGTCTCTCTATTACGAGCTAAATGGAGTGAGACTAAGAGATCTCTATCTGAGATTGATGAATGGATTACGCGGTTTAATATTAAATAGTAGAACAAAGTATCGGCGGGAGTTCTGCTGTATACTCTGGTCATGGATTTCGCTTCTTTCCTAACGGTCAACAGTGCGAGTTGGGAGCGATGGGCAATCCTGGCAAGACTCGGTACTGAAGCTTGAGGCTTAATAAAAGAAGATTCACAACAACACGCCCCCAGCCACAACCACACCAATAGCCCCAAAAGCAGCCACAGGCACGCCTCCTCTACCACCAACACCCCCAGTAAACGCAGCGATAGCCGCTGTCCCAGTCCTAGCCGACGACGGACCCCCAAAGTTCCCAGTCCCTGCCATACTCGTACCTGTTGGCGTAACAGTCGCACTCACCGTATTTCCCGTCGTCGTAGCCGGGGCGGCACCTCCATCTTCTATCTGCAAACTATTGGCTATATCCTGACTCGAAGCGATAGCAAGGCGCGAAGAAGCCAAACCATCCGCTTCAAATGAAGTGTAGAGCGCAGCCGCGCCAGCTTCGTTGGAGAAGGAGCTGATGGCTGCGGCGTTGTCGACTGGGGTGCCGCCGACGGCAGCGCAGAGCTGGGTTGCGTCTTGGAGAAGTACTGTATGGGTTGATTAGCCACAGTGGCTGTAGCTGTTGTTTGATGTAGGTAGAGGAAGGGAAGGGATGATTGGGAGAACATCGGTCAGGATTTGGCGCGAGGATGGAGACATACGTTCGAAGTCCGCTTCATTGCAATTATGCATGATGCAGGGGCCGATGACCTGCTGGAATTTGGGACTGAAACATGTGCATGCGATGGCTGAGTCTGTATCGGCTTCTGAACAGCCGGAATATGCGGTTGCGTTGTTCAAACATGATATCTGTGATGTATTTGTCATCGGGCCGAGTTTTCCTTGGGTGGGTAGGCACTGGGCGGAGACTCACTGCACACGGTGCTAGACCACTTAACAAGATTTCGGGTCAGCAATTCTCATAGTTGAAAATGGAATCGGAGTTGTAAAAGAGACGAGGAGTAGAGAGATTCGTCTCGAGTCATATGTCTCGCAGCTTATCTTGTGTATGCACAAACTGGCACAGGCAAACCGAAAACAGCTTACGCGGTAATGTTACCCTGAGCTGCGGCGAGAGATAGTAAATCAATAAATGCGAGGACAAGCATTACGAGCTTTTGAGATTGGGACATCGCTGATAACCGAGCGCTTAAAATTCTGACTGAGCTCAAGATAGATATCAAAGAAGGGGAGAAATGAGGTCTTAAAGAACGAGAAGCCCAAGGAGTGCAGAGAGCAACATATACTGCTCGGTAGGACCGAACATCCACGTCTGTGTTGGATCCTCACTACTCCCTCGCACATACCCCAGCCTATGGTCTTAGAAGATCTAGACCATCTTTCCCATCACTAGACATGTCAGATTGGAGATCCATACCACCAAGATTGCCCGAAAACACCGATTGACATCCACCGTACTAACCAATACTACTCTGCCGATTTCTAGTCAAAATGGATGAGCTCGAACAGACCATCTTGCCTCCTGAGACCGCACAACCGGAAGACCAGGAAGAAGCGGATGGGCGCGAGAATGATTTCCATCTATACAAATCCAAAAGCAGACATTGTATGGCGAATTGTATCTGGCGCATAAACGGTGCGTTACTAAGATCGTCCTAGATTGTGTCCACGCAGTAATGGCTTGTGCTAAGGGGAGGTCCGAAGACTGACGCTCCAGGAAGATTGAGAAACTGCGGCCATACAATTAGCTGGAATAGTGTGACAGCAGACTGAGAGACTAAGGCTTTTCATGCTCGCATATGATGTCATCATCATGACAGTGGAACAAACGACTCATGAAATTCAAAGGGAGACCGGCGGCTTTCCCCACCTTTTTCCATTTTCAATTACTCTAGGCCTCATTTTCGTCAATTCCGTCAAATCCATCATGCCAATTTCCAACCTTTGCACAAAACTTAAGATGATCAGTGAGCTACGAGGCTTCCAGATTGGGCAGAATCATGAACTCGTCCTAGTAGAAAGACAGCTTCTCAATCTTGACGCCAAATTTGATGTCGGGAAGGGCCCAGCATCCATGGCATTGCCGATTGAGCAAGTCTGATTTCTGGAGCTGCTCGGGCAATGAGGGTAAAAAATGGACCATGGATTGGCATCGATAGCGTACAAATCGAACAAACACAAAGCGAGGTCAGGGCTTTCGTATGCATAGACTGTGCATTGTTGTGTCTCTTCTGGTCGTTTCAAGGTGAATGAAAGCACGAAGGAGAGAGGAGGAAAGGCAGACTGGAGTACTTGCTTCTCAAACCCCGACTCACATCCTACTATCGTCTAGGTACAATTTAATGTGCTTCCCCACAGATCTCCCATGCAACCCATCAGCCGTGGTCGCATTCGCTGTCTCGACAGTATGTAGTGTTAAAGTGTCACTAAACTACCTTTACGAGTAGAGTAGAAAATGTAGAACTTTCTCTGTTTGTTTCGAATTAAGCCCCTCTGATTAGCCGAGAACCCTGCTAGGCTAGCTCCCACGCTAGAGTAAAGCGGCCACGCGAGCTCGGCGAGTTACAAGTGAGTGGGGGTCTTGCCAAGCCGCCAAGGAACGCCGTCCCTCGTGCTCACGATTTCAATATCCTCGAATTCGTAGGTCTGTCCAGACCATTCTTCCCCGGGACCTTCGATACCATGGACAAAAGAAGGCTGTCTACGAGAAATCGTGGTGAGCCTCCAATGAAGAAACGGGCCTTGACCCCCCCAGCACCACCCCGAGCACCTCCTGCACCCTCCGCTCCACCGCAACCAACCGATCCTAAGGAAGAGGGACTGCCCTTTAGACTGAAAGATTCACACCTGCTGCCAACTCTTCCTGAGCCACAAGATGCGAATCTGTCAATCCAAGAATACCAGACCATCTCCGAGAGGTCAGCACTTCCTGTGCTCCTTGGTCTTTGACGCTGACCAATATCAGCGGTGTGTTGGCAGCCTCTATAGAACTATCACGGCAGAAATGGTTTAAGGAAGGAGTCTTCGACCGCTACTGGGAGAAGCCTACTAAGAAAAAACCCATGTTCGAGGCTCCCAACCCGCCAAAAGAGACAATGTCAAAGCTCGGCGTCTGCTCACTGATCGTCGAGCCCCACGTTTTCGAGATTACACTCTACACTGTGAAGGACAATCCCATGGCCTATACGCCTATACAACCTCCTCCACTATCGAGCCCACAATACAATCCGTTCGCGACTGCTGCGACATATCCTCCGTACAACTACAACACAGCCCCTGCACCTCCGAAATACCATGGTCAACAACAAGGTCTTTCCTCACAAACTACCCTTCCTCCATTCCATGAAGGCTTTGCTCAATTCGGCCCTCAAGGACCTCCCCCAATAAACCATGCACCATTACCAGCTCCAGCGCCCGTTAGTGCTCCCGAACCACCAAACCTATCGAAGGCAAGGAGTACTAGTCAGCAGGGCGGGTCTCAGGATCAGAATGGTGAGCCCAAACAAGATCCAGTCATTCAGATGTTAGCGACTCGGGCGGCCTCTGATCACGGTCTCAAAACTCTCATGAAAGTGGTAGCCTCCGGTCAAGCGTCTCCGACTCAGCTTAAAGATTTTCAAGATCATATCGACGAGCTCAACACTATCTTGAAAACCCAGCCAAATCCGAGTGAGCCTTTGCAGGACGACAACCGACCTCAGCCACCTCCACGTGGCGTGCAGGAATACGTATCTCGGGTCAGTGTTCCTACTTCAACGCCAGATAGTTCTTGGTCACAGGTCCCCTCGGTAGCGCCCTACTCAAATCCTTATGCCCAAGTCCCATCCATCAAGACTGAACCCTCTTCTAAAACCCAACCATTTACTGCTCCGTCAGCAAGCTCAAAGTCAGCGTACACTGTGCACAAGCCTGAGATCAACTCTATCGTCTTCGACTTTGGAGGCACGGGTGACCGTTTCTCGTTCCCAAGATTCAGCATCCTCGAATATCTCTACGGAGGAACCCAGGTTATTGTGTCATTCTTGGTAATCAAGCGAGGTAGTACAGCGAAGTCAGGGAAGTACAAGGACACCAAAAATTACTACCAACCGGTCACCATGCGCTTGTCAACGTCTCACCCACGAATCTTGGAACCGCTGGCTAAAATTGTTGCCCCTCCAGACGAAGTGAGAAGGTACATGGACAGTGTCTTCGACAAAATGACTCCAGCAGACACAATTTTTCTCGCAACTAGGCTACCACGCGCCCAAGATGCCGATGGACCCCAAAAGCCAGAAATAGCTCCACAGTTAGATCCACAGGTAATCCGACCAGTATATTCACCACCAAACTCCATCATGCCGCTAGCAGCTTAGGCTTGCCTACCTCAGAAATTGGTAAAAACAATTGTTAACGATCAGCTCGCATAAGTGGCAGGTGTTCACGTATGTTTAAGATCTTCAAGGCATACCCAAAACATGGATTCAGTACTACGATGAGCAGCAAGGCTTCAAGAGCCTTTGGCTCTCAATAGCGGTATCCGTGGTTTTGCTTAGCCGACAAATGTGTGGCTCAAGGAAATAGTGATGGACACGACAGCAGGAATGCCAATTTCATGCGACCCACAAGGCTTACCTTTCAGGCTCCATCCTGCAAACTGTGAAAGGGAGAGCTGCAAAAATGATGCTTTGTGACCTCATTGCGTGTCCAAACAGGACGAAACCGAACCCAGAGCGCTCAGTTTGCTCTTTCAAATTCCATCAAGTGCTGCTACTCCCGATAGCCAAGTTCTGAAATATATCAACTCGCCGCAAGATTTTTGCATGCAAAGTTGCTACAGATACCGCTCTCAAATTCTCGCTCATTTCTCACGCTCAACTCTCCACATAGATGTACCATTCCGAGACTTTTTTTTCTCGCGAGTCAGCTCAACCATAGGTGAGTATCCACTTTTGGCTTTTGTGGAGTTGTCCTACCTCAGACTTGCTCTTTTTGTGAGCTAATTTCGCCATCATTCTCTTCCCTGCAAAACTTGCTCACTCCTCTTCAGTGCGATAACCTGGTAATCATGACCAGTCTGCCTCTGTCTTTGCTTGGAGTTTGTCGAAGTATCTGGGGGCATCTCAAAAGACATTCTTTCGTAAAAGTTTACTCTCTTTCGAAATTAATCGCCGCATGGGAGGTTTTATCACCGTTTAAGCAAAACTTTAACACGTCACTTGCGCACCTCCTACCCAAATTGTCTTCTCGTTGACAGTTATCACACAAGCGATATCCCATACTCTTTGCGCTCATCATGGTTCTATATAGTCTTCTCGATGCTGTGCGGGATTTCATCGGCTTAGCCAGTACAGTCACCGTCGTGGTCTGGCTCGTCTGCGGCTTCCAGCCTCTGTTCGAAAAGGTAAAGGACTCGTGCCGAGCCTGTCAACCACCAGAAGGGCGTGCGCTGCTGCTATGGTCCGCCTTTCTGATCCCTATAGCGTGGGTGGCTGCCGCTGCTCTCTACTTCCACCACTTGTTTTCGCTCTGGGACTTGATGGGGACCTTCCTCGACAAACAACCGGTCAACAGACCAGTGTATGCGTTACTGCACCTTTACCTCTTCTTCCTGCTCCTCTGTGGATTCTACGTATGGGTGATTACAGATTTCGAAATCTTCCGGAATCGTCAAGTGTTCAATGATCTTTTCATGATTGCGAGATCCAACCCAAGGAGACATCAAGCAGTTGAAGATCTGGAGGCCCAGCACAATTCTTCCTCCACAGATCCGATTGATGCCGAGGCGGAAACCCATTCCGCCGTCGGCAACGTGTGCACCACAAGTTTGCTTCCACAGAATGAAGGTTCGCACAGGAGCGGTCAAGATTCGAACGAGGACGTTGCTCCCACAGAGGCCCGTATCAACGAACCAGAACACCTAATTGAGGAGACTGCCTGGCTCGCGATTGACAGTCCTGTGGGTGAAATCATCAATCGGACTGTCATTTCTCCCATCCAGTAGGTTGAGGCCAAGATCCTTACTTTGCATTGCTGAAAGCTAGCAGAAAAAGGAGCGTCAAATGCTCATCCTGGCCCATAGGTTGCGGCTGGAACAATAGCGAGGCCGCCGGACCCTCAAATCAGCACAACCCCACCCTCGATAGCGATGGCGACGCAATCACCATGACTCCCTCCTCCTCTTCCTCTTCGAATGCTTCATCTGGAATTGACGAGCTCGAATACGTCGACGATGACGATGGTCGATATGGTCTCCAAGGCGTCCGGCTTCGTGAGCCTGTTGGGGACCGAAAGCAGAAGGATACTAACGCGAAGGATACCAGCGCGTCATATACCATGGACCGGCGTAGATACGTGGAAGACAACAACGACGACGATCCATTTGGTCTCTACTACGCAACACCTCGTTTGAGTCCTCAAGACCAGAATGGCAGAACCGATATCGAACCCCTCGATATCGGTGCCCCGCCCTCGCCATGCGATTCCTGCTCCTCTGCCCGCGCCGAGTCGATTCCAACCGCCAAACGGTCTCCAGTCCGGGTGCCCATAACGCCTACCAGCCCCACTGCGGATGCCGACGATGCCGATACCGAAAAGACTGATGTTGAACGGAAACAGCGCGAACGCAAAACCCGCAACCCAGCAATGTCCGCCCCACAAAGCCCTCATGCACACATATCGAGGACGTCACCACCATACGGCACCAACATCATCTCGCTCCGCATAGACCCCTACCTCGGCGACGACGAAAAGAACACCAGCGCCCTAGAATCACACCACACAGCTCATGATCCAGAACACCGAGACCGCCCCGCGGCCAGCGCACGCGCGTCTTCCAAATCGAAACCCAACCCTTCTCCCATGTCCGCTCCAGCCGTGCACACTCGCCCCGCCACCCCGCCTCTGGACTGGGGGAAACAGGAAACCGGACTAATCTGGAGGTCTCGCGAAGCGGAAAACAGTGCGAGTGCCGCTTCACGGGACGAAAACGCCGACGTGGTATCTTTCGACGGCCGGGTCGTGGCCGAGACGCGGGCCGGGGTGCGGAGAAGGGTTCAACGTCCTGTGAGGTCGCCGCAGCGAAAACGTGCCAGGTCGCCGTATCCGATGGCGGAGGGACGGCAAGGTCCGCGGGATTTGTCGCTTGAGATTCCTGATGCGGGGAATGATTCTCATGGTAGAGAGGAGGGGCGGTGATTGGGAAGGTAGTTCATTGAGGTTGGAAGGAAGGAAGACGTCGTGGATGGGTGGATGTGATCGCAGGGTCAGATAGGGTTTGTATGTTTATGCCAGGAGTATTTTGATTCATCATTCAGATTTTTTTTTATATAAATCTTCCGTAATTCTTGACGAAACGATCTCAGTGGCGCGTATCCAAGTCAATTGAGGTGTACCTAAGACATATATATTCGCATCTAGCTACCCACATTGCTTAACCCTCTACCCACCATCTATGAAACCAAACAAATCCACCCTTCCCATCCACCCGCTCAACGACCATCCAGCTCCTTAACCCCCACAATACTCACACTCTGCGTCGCCGTCGCCGTCGCCATCGCGGCCCCACTCGCCACGGTGCCCCCACCCATCGCGCCCCCCGCCGTCGGACCCGCCGGCGCCGCCCCAACAATCGTAATCGTCCGCGGCGCCATCGACCCTCTCATCACGATGCCGAGCCCCTGCGCGCCGTCGCTCAGGACCCAACCGAGCTGCCTCGCGCCCGGGCCCCCGGCCCGCGTGATCAGGTAGAGCAGGCCCCGCAGGGCGGACGAGAGTTGGCCGTAGGTGCCGAGGGTGGGGAAGGGGGCGGAGGCGATGAGCTGGACGTTGTGGCTCGAGAAGTGCCAGTCGGGGTGGGGGATGGGGAGGTCGCCGACGGCGGCGATGGTGGCGGCGATGGCGGTTTGGGCGGCGGCGAGGCAGTCGAGGGCGTCGGCGGGGGAGCGGATGAAGGTGCCGAAGGGGCCGGTGAGAATGATGGCTGGGGGGAGGGGGGTTGGGGTCAGCGGTGCGGATTGCAGGAAGAGATCTGGACGGTGTGGGTCACGGTTGAGGGGTCGCGGGGAGTGAGGGAAGCAGCGCGCAAGGGATACGTACAGAGGGATGTTCCGGGGATGTTGTACCAGCCTGGTGGTGAGGGTGGCAGAGGGTTGTCACCAGGGGTGTCGACGCTGATGATGTTTGTCAAGCCCACCGCAGGATTTGCGGGTATGCTGATAGCGAGGGCCTGCGGGATGAGAGCGGTGAGGCCGAGGAGGAAAAAGAGCGTTGAAGACATCACTGTGGATGGTAAGTAAGAGAGAGTTTTGCAGGGTAATGCAAGTACGAAAAGCTAGGAGAGAAGCAAACTCGAAAAAATGCACGCACAAAGAGCTGGTAGAGAAAGTGGGCGTGGATAAGAAGTAAGTGGAAGGGCTAGGGAATTTATAGCTATAGCGAGCCAATGTATTGGGGCTTGAAAATTCAGAAGATGCTTGCATGTAGCGTGTGCGCGAGCGCCTTTAAGGCTGTCACGCACGAGACCGCGGGAAGTACCCTCTGATTCTCAACATGAAAGCTGCGCCTCAGCGTGTTTGTTGTCATGTACTCCACGGGCTCAATGGGAAACAGGTCCGCTTGTCCACTAGAGCGAAGTCTGAATGAAACCAAATATCACTTTCTACCCGAGTCTCCGCTAAGATAACAACGAGTAAAGTAAATGGTTTCTGCATTGACTGCGCAGGAAGACATCCAAAATGTGTGAGATTCGTGACTGAAGTGGGATGAGACACTTCTCGAAGGTAAGATTATGTGAGTAGGACGCGAACCTGCATGTGTGGCTCGAATATCGCAATTCAAACCACAAAGGCTAACAGAGCTGGCTACATAGTTTCGGCTGGGGTTCTTGTAAGCGCGGGAGAAAGAACATAGCCAATCGTGAGTGGAAGCTGTGTGTAGGTGGCTTTCGGATGCTTGACGCGACACCCGCAAAGCAAACTCCTGCGACTTCCGACATAGCTTGCGCACAAACAGAGAACGTCTTACAGCAGTGAACTTTGAATTCAGGGGAAATGCAGTGCCGAGCTTATCGAGTTCTCATCTCATAGCACTGCGAAAGCGCTGGCGTAGCTGACGCTGCTGTCTTTTCCCTCGACAACATCACCACTCCGCTCATATCTGATGAAATGAAATTTGCCTTGATCTGAACTATCATCCGATGTTCTTTGACTTTTCAGAGTCTCGATCGCGGCCATGATCACTCCAATTGGATGCCTCCCGCAGACTGTATTTCCCGTATCCCGCAAAGTGGCAAGAAAATCGGCATGCTGACCATGCTCGATCGCTGTCATAGCCAGTTTGTCGAGTCTGGCAATACTCTCATGGATAGGTGGATCTCTTGGCTGGTCTTTTGATCTCAGAGACACCCCTTCCGATGGGTCCGTGGTGCTGGCAGGTAAGTAATATGTGTAGCTAAAGCGGGAGCCCCAGTGACAAAAGTCACTACTAATTATGAAAACATTGGCTGGATCTGCCACGAAAGGTGCTAGTAATGCACCAAATTCTTTTTCTATTGTGGGGTTCGTACTGCCAACCAGGATAGGAACCAGAGGCGGGAGTTCTTGTCCCTTGAAGGACATACTCAAGAGGTGATGAATATAAGGTAAGTGCATTTCAAGACTATGCTCCGAAGAATCAGATGAGGCGGACAGGTTCTTGAATTGTTCCGTACGGCGCAACGTCTCAACAGTGTTCTGGTCCAATGGAAGATTACCATTGGGGGTGGCATAGTGGGTGTGTTTCGATAGAGCACAACCGGGGAGATAGAGATGATGAGAGGGTCCCAGAAGGAATATACGCTTACTGCAGTACATTAGTACACGGACATGCATCGCGGAGAGCCTGGCATGCTGTACGCTTTTGACACATCAAGCATCCTATAAGCCCACGCTGCTGCAGGGCCCGAGTATGCATATCCAGCATGCCTGGAGACAGTCAGAAACTTTCAGACCCAACAGTATGACCGTCCCCGACTTACGGAGCAATGATCATTCTCGCACCTGGTCTCGGGACTTCTCCCAGGTGAGCCATGTCCCGTTCAGCATCTTCTAGCCAGCCTTGGAGTTGGCTCGTTAGTGTTGGGCCGTGGTCAGTATACCATGATCCAGCATGACTGGCTTCCCGTATGGATAGTGACTGCATTCTCGACTTCAAAATAGCTGATCATACGTGATGAGTGAGATGATTGAGTAGCCGAGTGAGCGCAAAGGCAGTTGTTAGGAGCGCCTATGCCTACGCACGATACCTGCCTTTTCTTCCAACATTCGTGTGTAGGTGTAGGTTATTGTGTCTTGTAGCAGACGCTCGGGGCTGGATAACCGTTGGTCTTCGTATCTATTTCCTCGGGGATTGAAGCTCGCCAGCGATTACCCTTTCAAGCAAAGCGCCAACCATTTGTTGGTCATACCTTATTTTAGGCGCGTGGGCTGGCTTGGCGTGCTTTCGCGTTCTCCGAAAGTGAAAATGTGCCCGTCATCAATTTTCTGTCCTTCGAATATACAAGAGTTCTCTATATCAGTAAAGAAGTTTCCCGTATCGACGTTTGTCTTTATATACAGTATGGCTTTCAAGCGCAAGCGCTCCGACTCTGAGACACCTCCATCCTCGTCAAGCACCGCCACTTTTTCCTCACGCGACCCTTCTTCGAGCCCATGTCCCGACATCTCTATGCTGAATAACGCCGCTTTCACGGAGAAACCTATTCACCGTCCTGATATCGCTCCTTCTCACCTCAATTCGCGCACAAGGAAAAGGTTCCGCGACAACAGACCCGATGAGTCTAGAATCCATGGTACTTATCTCTTGCATTGGATTTGAGACCCTTCTGCTTCCGTTCCATCCTCTTGCCCTGACACGGCTTTCTGTTAGCAACAACATATCAAAGGCTTTTCTCAGCAGCGCGATCCCCTCCCCGCACTGAACATCCTGCGCCATCTCAAACTGTCCATACTCGCCCATCGCCACCACAACGACAATCGTCTCTTCACAGCTTTTGGCCCATACCTTTTTCAACCCCTACCGTCTCTGAGCCGATGATGACCGAACCCACTCCCTTAATTCTATGCGAAGATTGCGAAGCTCCGCTACCGATTCAGGACTCGGACACTTGCATGGGTGGAATGGATGCTGGGGAGATGGACGGAGCAGACTATGCGTGTCGCTCTTGCAGCAGAAGAGTGTGTGGGACTTGCGCCGTTGTGGATGTTGGCGAGGGCAGAGAATGTCTGCAATGTAGAACATCGACGCGGAAGAAATGGGTCGGCGGAATCGGATGGATGCTATAGAGAGGAAAGATAGACTTCAAGTCCAACGAATGCAGGAGATGACGGTTCATTGTGTGGTATGGGGGAAGCTGGCGTGAAGGAAAGCCTTGCGTGTCAGGCCCAGTAACTGCTCGTGGGGGATGGTGCCTTGAGGTTTTGGAAAGTGCAAATGAGATTACCTGCTGGCTAGCTCGCAGATACTGTCGACGTCACATCTCTCGCACAAGGCAAGATATTTGAAAGCAAGGATCCAGCCACATATAGCCAATCAATTTTATGCGAATGAGACGCTATTATGCACGTGTGCATAATCCGCAGGGGTTCATTTATCGCCATCGGTGTCGTACCCTTGGAAGAGGGCAGGTCGTATCGTTGAAAGAGGCCCAGCAGCCATATCATGTCAACAGCCATTGCGTAGGAAGGTAGTGCTTACTCTCTGTAGTCTGTACAATATGAATAAAGTAAGAAAAGGAGCCCCTCGGATGTGGCCGCTCCCTCGGTACGTACACCCGCGGCGGCTAGCACACTACCCGGAGCTAATGCAAGGCTACAAGGCTCCCCCCCAAAATTTAAGTAACGACAGATTGACCTTTAGGGAAATGTTACACACGGCTTCATGCACTTCATGAGACTTTCCTTCAACGGCTTCTTAGAAAATTCGACTCAGTGCTCTGAACTGACCCAGCCGTTGACAGAGTCTATGAGCATTATCTTTCCATATAATTCTGCCAGACATCCATCCTCATTCTCATCCTCATCCCATTGCTAGCCGCCAACACGTCATGTCTATTACGGATTTACGTAAGATGTGCCTTCAATAGCCCGGCACTCATTTTCTACCATCTCAGGCCATCACAAAAACATTCTGCTTCCTCTCATGCTCTCTATTCGCAATCATGCTCAACGAACGCCCACTCAACATACCCACCACACCCCTCATTGATAGGTCTCAGTGCAGATCTACCCCGCGCGCTCTGACGGTCAAGCCTCCTCCACCTTCAAAACCCAGGTTCAAGAACCAAACGGAAGACGACATATCAGTTCAGAGCCTTTCGCAAGCTGGGGATCAAAGCATCGATACTGCGGATGACCCTTTCCTGATACCAGCGTTGAAGCCGCGCAAAGCCTCAGAATCCCCGAAGTCGCATGTACAAGACTTACCGCCGGAGATATTGGAAGGAATATTTGGACACGTGGTCGGTCATCTTGGTTCTACATCATCAGATCCGTCCGGTTCTCAAAACAACGTGCGAAATTGGAACGCAATAATGCGGCATCCCCGGAGGAAGAACGTGGCAGATTTGGCTCTGGTATCAGATACATGGAGGAGACTCATTCAAGAGAGAGTCTACCGACACAGTGAGACAGTTTCATCCTCCCCGTCCAAGTGGGAAATCACTAACGCCAGCATAGTCAAAATACAGGGCACAAGGGCAGCTCTTGAAGAGTGTGGAGACTGGTTCCTGCAAAATACTCACCTCCAAGCCTACGTGCGCCACTTCGAAATCCTAGTTCCAATATGGGAGATGAGAACTGGACAGCCTCAACAACGCCTCATGGTGGATCCACAACCGGCCGGGCAATTCAGTCTGTTCCACGCCTTTCAAGGGCTCGCAATCAACGCAAATCGGACGGAAGATGGCCAACCGGCTCCAACCGCATTTCAATTGGCATCAAAGAACGCTACAATGGATGAAGTCTTTGGATATGCACAAGTTCTCTTCCCCTACCTCTGCGCTCTCACAATCGAAGGAGGACACTGCAAGCGGCCTCCAAAGGTGCGCTATTTCCGCGAAGCAAACGTTATCAGCGCGCTTCAAAACCTGAAATCGGGAGTTGCCATGCCTTCGGGCGTTGGTACGATTGACTCAAGAATTGTCACACCATCAACGCCAACATTCGTGCAAGAAAATCTTCAGTTCAAATTGCCCATACTTCATCAACCCCAACCGTTCGCTCCACCGTTTTTGCAAGAAATCAATGAACCTCAGCTGCCGCAGCTCTCAAGCACTAAGACTCTCATCCTCAAGGGTGCTTGGAACATGGTCCGCTCTTCCGCCGACTTTTCCACCTTTGCAACTGCTCTGCCTTCGCTCCGCGAGTTCCACTGCACTTACCACAAACCCAAAACAGGCGCCTACAGAGCCATCTGTGACTCTCTCGCCTACGACTTCCCGCCCACCGTCACTAGTCTCAATCTCTGCCTGGAAGGCCTTTACACCAAGAACGCGTCGTCCCTTAAGAAATGGCGAAAGCTCTACCCTACTCATCACATCTGCCGCAACCTTGGTGCGGTCGCACCCCAGCTCGAGAGCCTCACCTATACAGGGAGGGTATGCGGTGCCATCTTTTCTTCTGCAATCAAAGCGGCAGAGCAGATACGCGGCAGCTGCACACGTCTCAAATCTATCGATATAGTTGTCAACAATGTGTGTCGTGACCCAACGACTAACACTGACGGGACTGGGATGTACAACTTTGCATTCATACAAGGTTTCGAGGCACTCGTCGTGCAAGGTGTCCGCGCGCTGCAAACGTACACATCCGTCAAAAGCATGCGTATACGCTTCATCGATCTGGATAGTCCAGCACCTCAACTGAATCCCACATTTCATCTCGAGGGCAATCGAGCGTGGGGTCTATGGAGCGAGGAGATCCTCTCGCTGTTAAGAGAAGCGCGGCCAGAGGTGAGGTTTCTGGGATGGCCGGGAAGATTGATAGATGGAGGGGAAGAGGTACTGGAGAGGGATGCCACAGGGTTGAGGAGAAGTATTGGGGTCCAATATTACAAGGCTATGGCGCAGGCGGGGAGTTTCTAATAACGTTACATGAACTAAAAGGGGAGTGGGAGATACCCAGGTGTTTTGGGGATAATGCTATGACGCGCTACATTGCTGGTCACCTTTCGGCATCTAATGGAGGTAATGAGGGTATGCTGCACGCATGTGGCATGAATATCAGTGTTAGGTGATTAGTGCTAAACGTTCGACAATACGAGACGAACGTTGATAATCTATTCTACCCTTTTCACTCTGCGCTTTCCCCGATCCTCTTCTACCATCTTTCCTTCAGCCTTCTGTTTTGAAAAAGGTTTATTTCCTATATCGGTAACCATGATACCCAAAATCCAACAATTGACGACAAAGAACGATAATCCCTCCACGAAGAGGCCAGGGAAGAATGTGCTCTTGCCGAGGAACTCGAGCTGATAGGCTTGTTGGAGCCACAGACCCTAATTTTGAGAATCAGCTGCAAAGCAAACCCCTCCCTCCCTACTTTGACGGGTCGAGGACAGGAGAGTGGGACAGGGGTTGGGAATGCGGAAAGACGACATACCTGTGCGGTGACCCAGAGAGCTGCGGCGGTGAGACCGAGGCGGGGCGAGGACAGAAGGCTGGAATGGGGGAGGTAGAAGGGCAGAAGGATCATGTACCAGAGGAAATACTGCAGGGGAAGAGGGGGGTGTTAGCGAGGTGCGGACAATGGATCGAAGCAGAAATTCAACGTGAATGTAGCGAGCTTGCAAGTTCTGGCTGCAGACTGTGTAGAAAATCTCTTCTCGTCACCAACCACGCAAAAGCTGAGAGGGGCAAAAGCGCCAAAAAAAATGCAAAAACATACAGCAGCTAGTATTCGCTGGTCGTCACCGACCCAACTACTAATTAGCCGATCTGAGGCTTATCTTTGGCTGAGCGGACGGGAAGCCGAGTTCTCAACAGTCTGTGGCCGTATGTGAAAGAAATCTTCTTAATGTGAAATATATTGGCGAAAAAGCCTGCATCTGCATTTTTAAAAAAACAAGCAAAGGACAAGGCATGAGCGCGCAAATCAAGACAAGGCAGTGCCGTATCCCATCGACTGACAGAACGTAAAGTTCAGAGCTTCAGCCCTGCGTGCCAAGACATTTCACGCCCCAGGCGCCAGTCGATGGGATAGTTAAAGGAATCCTTCTGTTGACGTACCTGGCTCGTGCACACCTTGTTGAATGCTACAAAGGCAAATGTCTGCGCCAGCATCGTACCCGCAAGGTCCTTCTTTGCCAGTGCGAGAGGGATGAAAACTGCACTCAAAGCCAGTTGTGGAATAAAGGCGAGAGACTCGAATTTGACAGCGCCAGTCGCAGATGGGACGGCTGAAGAAAGATGCAAGAGCGTGTTGTACGGTGAGAAGTTGTGGCGATGGTCGATGCGGGTAAGATGGTGCAGGTAGGTGTGGGTCAGGAAGGGCGTCGAATAGATGGCGTACATGAAGATGTTGAGCGCCATGAAGGTGGCAAGCGAAGATGCTAGGAGCATTATGCGAGATGGCGTGAGGAATGCCAGCAGGGATTGCAAGACTGAGGCGGCTGAGGGATTCTTCTCAGAGGGACCGGAGCTTTTCTCAGATATCGATATTACCTCAGGCTCCAGATACCAAAGGATGGAAACTCCGTAGATGAAAGGATAGATCTTAAAGTGGACTGCCAGCCCAAGCAAGACACCAGCCAGCATGATTCGTCTACTTAGCACAGCCCACAGCAATGCAACCACCATAACCCCCAACAACCCCTCCGAACTTCCCCTGGTGCTAATCGTCGCAACCATGGGATTCAGCAGCCAGATACTCGCAAACTTTAGCGCCCGATCGGTCCTCATGCCGCCCCCTGCAGGCGAGCGGAGCACGAGCAAGATGAGCCATCCTGCGATAACGTCTGCAAGGGCGAAGAGAAACTTGCCAAAGGAGAACCATGCTGCACCAGGCCGTGCGGTGGGTAGGAGGATCCAGGCTAGCAATGGCGTATAGCGATATGTTTCTCGCTCGTATGGAGAGAGACCGCGGGAGACGTAGCGAGCGGCGTCTGTGAATACGAAGTAGTCGATGTCGGTGTATGGGAGTGGAGAGTATTTATCTTGTATCAGGCCATAGAAGAAGAGAATGGCTCGCAGAAGAATTGCACACGAGAAGATAATCGAGGATGTAAAGAACGAAGTAGACATTTTTGACTTTTCAAGAACACGACGCGTGATTGGGGACTTCGATGCACATGAAAGTATTTGATATGCACCCCATGCCGATATCTTACTCCGACAAAATGATATACAGTTGAGAGAGAACCCTCGAGACTGAACGGTCTAGGTAATGTCGAACGCCACTTGATAAGTAAGGTACCTTAGGGCTGGTATAGAAATCTGATAGGGCTGAAAAAAAGGCTTGGCAAGACAAGGTATGAGAAATGTAGCCCCCATTCACTCGGAATTCCCGTGGTCGTGGCCGTTTTAATGAGTAATCTAGCTGAGCTTCACCCTGAGGCCTGCAGCTCGACCTCATCAATCTCCCAGGGGATCCTCAGCATTTGCAGGAGCGAATTGACGCTGCTACTAAGCGATCTGTCGACCTTGTCCTCACGTATGTTCGACAAATGCCCATTCAAGAAGATTGTACTTCTGAGACCACGCCACAAACCCAAATTCGAGCTCAAATCGCTCTCGAGGAAGCAGGGGGCGCTCATACAGAGCCGTGGCGATGTCGCAGAAAACGCGTATGTTAAATGCGAAGCCAGCGAAGGGCCATTCACACAGTGCGTTCTCCTTGACACCTATATCGGCAGCTGATGCGCAAACTGGCTTGTTTACACGACGTAAGAACGGCCAGGCCACCTGCTGTAAATATTGCCACCAAAAAAATCCTTCCTGCCGCGGTTGAGTCTACAAATCTTGCGATCGAGTCAGATTGCAAAGATTAACATGATCCCTCCCAGTGTCCTCCTGCCGTCTTTAAAATGGTTCAAGGGGCAAAAAGATGTGCTTTTTTGTGACGGCCGGTTTCAAGTACGAAGGATGTCGAATTTGCGTTCAAGAGGTGCGTTGATGTAGAGGGGGTCAAAAAGCAGAACGTCCACGGAGAAAATGGCCGTCAACTACGAGATATGTTGCATCATTTAATGTTGAAGCAACAGCATCATCTGGTTTCGCAGACTAGTGCCAATAACGATCTACTTTTTAATTGTAGACCGTCTGTCCTTGTGGCGCTTTCAAGACAACTGACGACAACCCGCGATTTACCTGCGCTCAAGCTGAGGTTTATGTGATGAGAACAACACGACGTTGCAAATCGCAGCAGTGCAGTAAATAGAAGCCAGATCAAAAATACCCGCCACATGTACAGCTGAAACCAGTTTCATCTGATTTGGAGGTAGTGCTAGGTTTCAAAGCGTGCCTACGGGCTGAAAAGCGACAAAACTGCATTTCTCCGCATCGTGCTCTTACGCAAAAAAGGGTGAGGGTCCTCCGCGCCCAACAGTGGTCAACTTGTGGTGTTGTCGATGCAAAGGAAAAAACCAAAGTAGAGGGAACCCATGCTAGCGAGGAGGGGAACATGTATATCGATGACGATGCCGAATGGACCTATGGTAATGTTCGGCCGCTCTATCATGTGAGGAGAACCCGTTGCCATAGCTGTCCTAGCGGGGGAAGATTTGTCCCATTCTATCCAGACATTGCTTTCATCTGCTATCGCCGATTCACAGCATTTCAAGTTGATCATGGCAAGTACGATATGGCTGTCAAAGAAGCTATGCTGGATGACTGGCCATCATCATCAGCCGAGCCGCGATGGTACAGGAAATAAGGAAAGATGGTTCAAGATAGTCTCCACATAAAGACAAAGCAGAATATGGATCAACTGCGTTATTGACTATCCCGCACTTAGCTTCAAGATAACAAAGATTAGAATCGGAGAAGTATGATACAAAGATTACAAGAGGTGCGCTATTTCCAGCATGCGCGACCATGGTAGCTGCTCAGCGAGTCTAGATTGTTCTGCTTTGTTCATTGTTCTTTGAGCTAGCTTGGAGGCTAGCTATGGGCTGTGAGAATAGGTGTGCTCCAGTAATCCCCCTTGACACAGAGTAGCTGCTTTCCAACTTCCCAGATTGATACAACGCTTCAGCCTTCATAAGCTTGTGAGGCTGGTTGAGGATTTGTCTAGTAGCTACCCAGTCGAGAGGTCTGGGTCGTTGACCGTATGGTATTTCGCTGTTGCATCTTCAACATTGTGCTTGTAATTTTTGGTATTCGAGTCCTGGTTCTGGTCGAAGCTCGAGGGGCCGCGGTAACGTATACTCTCTGGGACGCCAATGTCTGACATAGGCAATGCTGGGCAACCAAGAATCAAAAGTCGTCAATCGAGATCCTGCGGCCCAGTTGCTGCTATCCTTTCCCTACCAGAAGCGGCATCTATTGATGGATGTTTAGTTGCTGTTGCTAGGCTGTGCGATTCGTGTAGCCTCGCAGCAAGCCGCTACCCTCGCTCGTGATCCTGCTGCATGACGTAGACCGCCGGCGGTTGAAAGAGCCATTGACGGGCGAAGGTGCCATAAAGGAGGATAGGGTCATCCGACTTTCGCTATATGCATAAGTCATAGAGATGACGATAACGAAGAATGATATACATAAAGGTCGCGCCGATTGAAAGCGCAAGTCAAAGGCTTGAAAGAAACAAGCAGTTCTACACGAACGCTCGGTGGTACTCGTCCAGCGTAATTGTATGGGCTCGGGTCACCGAGGTCGTGCGAGAGTAAAGCGGCGGTAGTTCTAGACCTAATGAGGGGTGAGATCAAGGTACATTTTCTATGTCTTGGCGGCTCTGCGATCTTGGCCTCCGTGCAGTCTCTCCAAACGCAACCCTCACATAGAAATGAGGCCGCATGGTGCATTGAGAGTGCCTAGGCATCTTTCGAGTCATCCACGAGTTAATGTTTATTATCCATGGTCAGGATGCTTCAATGCGATCAGATGCGCCTCTACATCCCTCCGCCCCCTACAGACACTGCATTTACCTCTAGATCGACGATGGCAGCAGCGGCGCCAGGCAAGTGTAGCAGCAGCTGTGTATGTATCGGTGACTGGTTGAGGACTCAAAGCTGATTGAACCAGGTTGGAGCAAGCAGTGGAGCCAGAAAATCTTGCCCAAGAAACCATCATCGATAACCTCGCCCCCCAAGAGGCCCAACGACTATCTCGTGTCCGCAACATTGGAATAGCTGTGAGTAAGCTTTACTTGGAGGGAAGAATAGCGGGGTTGACGGATACACTCAGGCCCACATCGACAGCGGAAAGACCACGGTCACAGAGCGCGTTCTATACTACACTGGCCGGATCAAGTCCATACACGAGGTCCGAGGCAAAGATGCGGTGGGGGCGAAGATGGACTCAATGGACCTGGAACGAGAAAAAGGCATTACCATTCAGTCCGCCGCTACCTATTGCGATTGGATCAAGCGCGAGAGTGGCAAGGAGGAGAAATACCACGTTAATTTGATTGACACACCCGGCCACATCGATTTTACGATAGAAGTGGAGCGGGCTTTAAGAGTCCTGGATGGAGCATGCATGATACTTTGTGCGGTCTCTGGCGTCCAGTCACAAACGATCACAGTGGACAGGCAGATGAAGAGGTACAATGTGCCTAGGATATCATTCGTTAACAAGATGGACCGAGCGGGCGCCAATCCATTCAAAGCAGTCGATCAGATAACTCATAAGCTCAGGTTGCTCGCAGCAGCTGTGCAGGTGCCCATTGGAGTCGAAGACGGATTCAAGGGTGTAGTCGACCTGATCAGGATGAAGGCTATCTACAGCGAAGGACTCAAAGGGGAGACTGTACGAGAGTCGGATGAGATTCCTTCGGAGGTGCGGCCGCTTGCGGATGAGAAAAGGGCAAAGCTCATAGAGACTCTGGCCGACGTTGACGATGAGATCGCAGAGATCTTCCTGGATGAGCGGACACCGTCAGCTGAGCAGATCAAAGCTGCCATCAGACGTGCGACCATATCTTTGAAGTTCACGCCGGTCTTCATGGGCTCAGCGCTGGCTGATAAGTCTGTGCAGCCAATGCTTGATGGTGTCTGCGACTACCTACCCAATCCCTCCGAAGTTGAGAATCTAGCCTTGGACCAACGGCGACAGGAGGCACCGGTCAAGCTCATCTCCTACAATTCTCTACCTTTTGTCGGCCTGGCCTTCAAGCTCGAAGAGAGCAACTTCGGCCAGCTAACTTACATTCGCGTTTACCAAGGCTCACTCCGCAAGGGTCTCAATGTATTCAACGCTCGTACCAATAAGAAGGTCAAAGTGCCGAGGATAGTACGCATGCACTCCAACGAGATGGAAGATGTACAAGAGATTGGCGCCGGAGAGATCTGCGCCGTCTTTGGCATCGATTGCGCGTCTGGCGACACTTTCACCGACGGTCAGCTTGGGTACTCCATGACATCCATGTTCGTCCCCGAGCCTGTTATTTCCCTCTCAATCAAGCCAAAAGACAACAAAGACCTTCCGAACTTCTCGAAAGCAATGGCCCGTTTCCAGCGTGAAGACCCTACCTTCCGCGTCCACGTCGACATTGAAAGCCAAGAAACCATCATCTCCGGCATGGGTGAATTACATCTAGACATCTACGTGGAGCGGATGCGCCGCGAATACAGAGTCGCCTGTGAAACCGGGCAACCTCAAGTAGCATGGCGTGAGACCTTAACACAGAGAGTAGACTTCGACCACACGCTCAAGAAACAGACCGGCGGTGCTGGGGATTTTGCCAGAGTAGTCGGTTACTTGGAACCCAGCGGCGCTCTAGAAGAGAACAAATTCGAAGACCAAGTCAGTGGCGGCAGTATATCCGAAAAGTTCCTCTTTGCATGCGACAAAGGCTTCCAGCTCTCCTGCCAAAAAGGCCCGCTAGTCGGGCACAAAGTGCTAGGAACCCGTATGATCGTCAACGACGGCGCAACACATATGACCGATTCCAGCGAAATGGCCTTCAAAAACGCGACACAGCAAGCTTTCCGCAAAGCGTTCAACCAAGGCCGTCCGCAAGTGCTCGAACCGCTAATGAAGACAACCATCACAGCACCAAATGAGTTCCAAGGAAACATCGTGGGCTTGTTGAACAAACGAAATGCGTTGATCAGCGACACGGAAATCGGACCTGAAGATTTCACGCTGTATGCTGATTGCAGTTTGAACGGAATGTTCGGGTTTAGCACGCAGTTGAGGGCGGCGACGCAGGGAAAGGGAGAGTTTGGGATGGAATTTAGTCACTACAGTCCTGCGCCTATGCAGTTACAGTAAGTTCAGCTCCTCTTTGCATTTTTTGTCCGAGGGGCTTGCTGACTGGGTTTGCAGGAAAGAGCTAGTGGCGAAGCACGAAAAGTCTTTGGCTGAGAAGCATAAGAAGTAACCAAAGCGCAGAAATAGGCGCTTAGCGTGGAACTCAGACCTCGTATGTACACTAATATCACTAACGCTGGATGTGAGTATCTCTCACTCTAGTGTAATGGGACGAGAGCATCTAGATGGCGTTTGTTGCATCTCGTGAGCGTGCCATACTATTTGTTCTAGACTTCATCTGATATATTTACCTTGTGTGACTTATCATGTCATCCTCGGTGCTCTGCCACATCATGTGTCTCTATAATATCACAGCAAGAATTGTATGTCAACGTTGTGACGGCCTAGGGCCCGATTCTCATCCCTGTATCCAAGTAACAAGTCCCTGCACAAACGACGCAAGGGCAACGATACCCGCGCTAACAGCAATACCGACGTCGGCATTATGAGAGCAGATGCCGACCCCGATCCCCAAGGCAGGCGAGAAGAAGAGGAGCAGAATAAGCAGCCAGGCGACCTTGGCTCTGTCGATGACCCGTCTGACGACGATGACCTCCTGGCCCTCATGCTCAATACAGGTGCTAGTGGATTTGTCGTCGACATCGTTGCTGAACTGTGCCGGTTGGTGACCGAGAGCCTTGTCGTTGTCAGCTGTTGCAGAGCCGAAATAGTCGGCGTTCAGGGGGTAAGATGCCGAGCGTAAGAGCAAGTGAGGGTTGTGGAGTGATTCCGTGAGTAGGAGGTCGAGGGTGAAGTCTTCGAGATAGACTCGAGATGGCGAGATTGGTGGTCCTTGCTTCCCGCGGGAACGCGGTCGCGGTCCGCAATGTATGACCTTTGAGAAGAAGTGTGAGCGGAAGGAAAGAACTCAAATTATCTACCGGAAATTCGGTGTACCTGTTTGACTCTGGCAGTGCCGACGACGAGACCCATTAGAAGCCTTCCGACTAGTCTTTGGTGCCAGCGTTTGCTGACAGCCCGACAGATTTGCCTCTTTGCTGAGCTGAGGGCGAGATCTCCATCTTCTTCTTTGATGGTGGCGTTGATCAGGACTGCCCGTCCGTCAACATGCTGGACGGCAATAGGACAAAATCTGCCATCCTCGGAGCCTAAAGATGGTTGGTAGCCATTGCCCTGCTTGATGGAAGCGGTCACCCCTGTTTCAAGTTCAATATCAATATCTTTAAGCATTGTTTTATAGAGCTCTTTGAGCAAGAACCGGAGGAATTTGAAGGGATGAAGAGGAGCGGAAGGATGGCAGAGTCTGTATATATTACTGCCATGCATGGTCATGCCTTTCACTCAATGTGGACACCGCGCGGGAATAAATCGCAGTGAAATGGCAGACGGCGCTGAGAGACCCAGAAATCGCCAAAAACTGAGCGAAGGAGAGAAAAGGTATACGCACCACAGGGCTGAATTTCCAGGTATGGAACCATTTTGATGGGCGAAGGTACTGAGCGAAGCTCAGCGAATATAATACTGCCATGCATGGTCATGCCTTTTACTCAATGTGGACACCGCGCGACATCCAACCCATCGTATGCCAGTAAAACGAGGGAATAAATCGCAGTGGAATGGCAGACGGCGCTGAGAGACCCAGAAATCGCCAAAGAATTGAGCGAAGGTGAGGAAAGGTACACGCACCACAGGGCTGAAATTCCAGGTATGGAACCATTTTGATGGGCGAAGGTACTGAGCGAAGCTCAGCGAATATAATAATACCATGCATGGTCATGCCTTTTACTCAATGTGGACACCGCGCGACAGCCAACCCATCGTATGCCAGTAAAACGAGGGAATAAATCGCAGTGGAATAATAGACGGCGCTAAGAGACCTAGAAATCGCCACGAACTGAGCGAAGGTGAGGAAAGATACACGCACCACAGGGCTGAAATTCCAGGCATGGGAACCATTTTGATGGGCGAAGGTACTGAGCGAAGCTCAGCGACCGTGAATCATGCGCAAGGTGGGCGTGGAAAGGCAGGGATTGGCTCGAGGCGCGCCATCAGTCGGGATACCAGCGACAAGGCTGCATGGAGAGCAGCGGGTGTTTAAACGTAGCGTACTCGTACTCCTTCCTGCTAACGCCACCATGCACGTTGAGCGAAGATGGAGAGCGAAAGTGGGGTTGCAGCCCGCAGAATTCCACTTTCATTATGACCAATCATCTTCACCCTTGGTCTTTCTTCTTTCTTCCTGCCTCTCTTTCGTCCATCTATTTGCTTTCTCCTCATGTCTTCTGATGCATTATATCCGAGTCCTCCGGGCTTACGCATCTGCTGTAATTCCTTCACGACATCTCAATCCCACTTGAGCAGGAAATCTCCTTTTTTAACATGAAGACGCCGAGTCAGCGGATATGCCAAAGGAGAAAAAGATCGCATACCGAAAATGCCACCAGTGCCGAAAGGATAGACAGAAAGTCAGATGTCCCCTCATTTCATGACAGTTGGCCCACTGACTGAGATATAGTGTCTGCCAGAAGACAGGACTTGGCCAGGAACGAAGTGTGAAAGATGCCAACATTATGGTTACGTGTGTTCGGCCATGAGAACGAAGCATGAAGAGTCTTCGGCCATCCCCGATGTTAGCCCGAGAATTTCACCAAGCCTACCAACTACGACACCATCAACTTCGCCTCAAGCTCGACCTCGGAGAAGCGAGATCCGCTGGTAAGTGAACACCATATGGCTGACTTCCCTTCCAACCCCGCTGACAAGCGATCTTAGCTTGCAGGACCTCGGAGACCTGCGGCAGCTGTCCACATCACACTCATGCCCTCTGCTGCGGGATAGTGATCGCGGTGGTGCAATTGCCGGATTTTTGGACGTAACTCTTAGCGTTGTGGTGCAAGAAACCATGGCTTGGGCACGGCAGTACGAAGCCGATGGGCGATACAGAGACGCGGAATACCTGTTTCGTCGAGTATCTTCTGATAGGAACATCTCAATGGAGAGTGTGGACCTGTATCAAAGTGAAGATGTCCTGCCTACCCTAGTCTCAGTCTACGAGAGAATGGGCGATTATCCAGCAGCAGAGATGGCCCAAGAAACGCTACTCAGACGCCTCTTTGCAGAAAATCCGAAACAATTCAGTGGTGAGCAGATTCGAGAGGTCAATGCCTACTCGAGACTGCTCTCCTATTTCCGAAAACGAATTCTTGATTTCCCAGCCGGTGGCCGAATGCCTTTTCCAGCATACATAGACTTGTCCATTACCCATCGAGCCGCGGTGTTGGACATTGTCCCCCTCAACGAGGCCTTGCTTGAGCAGGGGCTGATCCCACTCGACCATGTTGCACCTTTCTATACTTCTTTGCATATTGCTGTGAAAGAAAATGCCCTCAATTTAGTCCGTTTACTCATCAGCAAGGGTGTTGTTTTAGAGAGTATAGGTATCATGTCCGACAGGCCTCTGCACATAGCGTCAAAATTTGGCACAATTCCGATGATCGAGCTGCTTCTGCACCACGGTGCTGATACTGCGGCTAGAGACAATTACGGTAGTACGCCATTACATCGAGCTCTGACTAGGAGGCCAACGGAACAACAAGAATTGATCCTCTCGATTGTAACTATATTGATCGATGCCAAAGCGAATACGGAGGCTGGAGACCGGTTGGGAGCGACAGCCCTACACGCTGCCATTTATCAAGATTTACAGACAGTGGCACGCTATCTACTTGAGCGAGGGGCCAATGTTGAAGCATCTGATTACCGGGGGGATACCTTGCTTCTCGCAGCCGTAAAAAACAAAAGAGAATGGGCAATAAAACTATTGTTGGAAAAGAAGGCGCAGGGAGCTACGGCTCTATACGTCGCCGTCAACCAGGGCCAGGAGTCGATAATCCAGACTCTGCTCGACCATGGCGCGATGACCAGGACCACAGTGGACGAGCAAAACTCACACGAGGATACAGTGTTACATTGTGCTGTCGGCGCAGCCAACGTAGCCGTCATCGAAATGCTGTTGAAGGCCGGCGCAGACATCTACGGACGAGATTACTTTGGTAACACAGCGCTACATGCCGCTATCCTAGAGGGTCGAGAATCCATAGTGCAGCTGCTTCTGGACTTCGACGCTACCCAGATGAACTCTGTAAACTTTTCAGGAAATACAGTGTTGCATCTCGCTGTCGTTTTGCCACGTCGAAGTATGATTCCAATCCTCCTCCGACATATCAAACCCGACAAGCTACCTATCATATGCCAAATGAGAAACAATCTGGGCTGGACGCCACTTGATCTAGCTCGTAATCTAGCGGACCGCGGAAAGGAGTATAGCGACGAAAGATCCATACTGTACCTGCTGGAGAACGCTTTGAAACTGAGCCATTCCTTTATTGAAAACAAAAATTGAGATGGCAAGAAGCGATTGTGGGCTGGGGTCCACTTCCTTTGCGTGGCATCGGGTAGAGAGACGTAGACAGAGGCCATTGTATGGGGAATGAGATTGTGTCTCACGACACTGCTTGGAAATGATGGAAGGCTCCATGATTGGGTATGTGGCTCGATACCCCATCAAGCGCTGGCATGAGTTGGTTTGTCCTCAGTGCTCAGTGTGCCCAAGGATAGATCCGGAGAATGTAGATACGCTTGAGGATGGACATCAGATTGAGAATGAACATGGATGGGACTAGGAGAGAACTGGGTAGATCCTCGGGGGTTGAGAGGCGGTGCACCCGTATATCGTCAGATGCGGACAAGCAAGCAGCAAGGGAACCAACAGGAAGTCTGAGGGATATTCCAGCAGAAGGAATGATTCTACGGAGAACGATGACTCCTTTGTCAAGTCCGTTCGTGATACTACCGTCCTACACGCACCTCCTCTGACATATGGACCAATTCTCACACGATTTTTCGATGACAAAAACACACTCTTTGACAAATTCGCGGGAAGTCCATCAACAACCATGCATCATTCCTCCCTGCAGATGTATCCATCCCCGTATTACTCTCCACCTAGACCGATTTTGGAGTCCTTAGGCCATACTCCGTCCTCGGTCATCATTGCAATAATACCAAGCGTGTAAGGGCCGACATCTGGAAGGTGACGAAGAGCACGGATCTCCTTGCGCTGAGCACGGTCAGCTTTGTGACAATCTCCGTTGTTTGCTGTGTGCACTTACTAGATCAGTAGCCCATTGAGCCCACGCGGGGGGATCCTCGGTCCTAATCGCTAGGTCACTGTAGATCGTAAGCGTGGAAATAGCGGCGTAGTTGAAAGGGTGCCTCACTAATCGGTACTTCCAGTGGGAATGTATCGGATGTTTGGAATGTCTTGCTTAATGACGGCTTTACTGGTAGGTTTAGACGAACGGCTAGTTGCCTTAGGAGCAGTGGGAGCTGCCTTAGGAGTAGTGGGAGCACCGTGATGCTCAGTCACCCTTGGAGCAGTGGGAGCGTAAGGATGTTCAGTCACTGTAGTAGCACATGTAACCCCGCGACGACGCTTTGCTGCAATCTTCATAGCATCGGCGGGATCAGAAACACGACGCTTGCGCTTTCGCTTGGTAGGAGCACCGTGGTCGGTATTGCTTTGGGGGTGGACAGCCTCGTGGGTGGTCGAGTTGGCTTTGACTGGAAAGACGGACTGGCGAGCGACCTGGGCATCAGGCCGTGCCATGGTTGCCTTGGATTCTAGTGTCGCGGCTGATCCTTGAATAGGTAGAGAGGATGTTGACGTATCGACTTCTGTGGATTGGTGCGTTGCACTAACTGTTTGAAGCGGGATCGTGGTTTGTGAAAAGTCCCTGGTCCCATAAAATCCGCTGCTATCCACCGAATTAGCAAATTAAGAGGACTATAGCTGATGGAATCGACTTACTTCACTCCCTCAGCTTGGCATTCCAAGATTCTCGTATCAATGTATGCACATCGCATGCATCTGCTTGCTCGTCTTTTCGCAACGATGCAGTCTACATTATTCTCAACACACTATAGGAAATGAGAGACTTAGTATATTTGGTGGCCTGGAAGTACCCTGATCGCGACACTGAATAGAAACTTTAGGTTCAAGATATACCTACCAAGTTACAAGGTGCAGCTGAGAGCCTCCCATGCTCAAAGATGTGGAAGGCACATTTAGTTTTGTAATCGACCAAGTTCGCCAGAGTTACGCCTTGAAGGTATGCCGGTCGCTGTAGAGGCGGTGTGTTTAGGGCCATTGACGTAGAGATAGTGTCAGATTGGACAACTTGTGATAATGCGAAGAGAAAATGAGGAAGTGGAGGATGTCTATGAAAATGAGGCGACTGGCAATGTTGAGAAGACACACCGCAAAAGGACGCTAACGGCATCGAGGATAGTTCGAAAACAAGAACAACACTCAGACTGAGGACTCATTTCGAACACATTGTCTTCCATGGAACATCCAAGAAGCGCAGACTCAATCCCCCGTCCGAAGTCATCCTCACATAGAAGAGTCAGTCTCTAGCTTTGAGCATGAAACTGTGTATGCTAACCAAAGATTAGGAGTTATGGACTGGGGATCCTTGCCTCTGGCAGCTCACGATGTTTCCCCCAACTTCTGTGACTTCAGCATACAAGAAGATCTGGACTATGACATCACTCAGCAAGCTGAATACCAAACGCTCGGTCAAGCGTTCGAAGATGTTATGAATGAAATCGAGATGGATGCTCATTTGCCCTACACAGAGTCAAATTACACGGAACTTCAACATGAGCAACAGCAATATTCCGGTGAGATGCAACCTGGAGCAGAACCTGTCTCCATGCAAAATAACCCAAATCTGGTCGACAACGATACTTATACCACGTTTTGTGGTGTTTACTCACCTGAAAAGCTGTCTCCCGTGAGGAACAGTCGAAACACAGACTCACCGTATCACTGCCCACGGTATGACAACAAACTAGCTGCACGCAACAATGTAAAAGAACGTTTCCCACACTGCATAACCAAGGATGGTAATCCAGACGCACTGAGGTGGAATGGTCATACCAGCCTTAAACCACTTTGCAAAGGGGAAATGAGAGACAAAGCGCGCTGTGACAGGTTTCGTGACAGCCTTGAAGCATGGAGTGGTGTTGCAATCCCCTCAAAGCTCTCGTGGGGTCAAGTAATTGTCAAGTTCGTGTCCTCGGTGAGAGTCTCCTCAGCGAGACGAGGAAACCATCTCTGTGCTGTCTGTGGCGGCGGAACCTTTTCAAAAATCGATCACGTCAAGAGTCACTTCATTGGATGTGTGAAAAGATATGGGAACCCTAAGGGAGCGAATTGGTATGATCGCTTGGACCCCAAGCACATTAAGAAACATTTACCAGGAAGGCCTGATGCCACTGTATATGCTCCACCAACCATGTAAGTATTTGGTGGAGAAAATCCACGACCATGGCTGACATGTGGTTCCTGAATTGAAGCGCGTCCAGTTACGCTCCTGTCATGCCTTTGGGGGATCAGGGGTCCCATCCAGCAGCAGCCTACACGTCCACGTGAGTCCTCCTTGGACATTCTTCCAAGGCTAGCACTGACGACTCATACAATTCAGCCCAGTCAACTATGTTCCAGCTATGTCGCAAGAGTACCAGTCGTCCCTTTCGGAGTACCCACCCATGTGAGTAACTCGTTAGGCGACTTCCCAGGTTGGCACTGACATTTCTTGCGAAACAGCCCGCTTGACTACACTCCAATCATGAATCACGGAGATCAGCCGCCATTTCCAGGAGAGTATCCGCCGATGTGAGTATCCTATTAAGCAATCTCCGGCGTTCGTTCTAACCACTCTTCTATTGCAGCCCCTTCGGATACACTCCAGCCTATCCACAAGAAAGCCGGTCATATCCACCAACAGAGCATCAATAAGAATACGCCTAGTTCCTTTCATAGCAAGGAACCGATAGCATAGAATGGCGTACGGAGAAGAAAGATGTGCAGGGTCGGAGAATGAGGTTGATTCTACATTTTCGCGCGATACCAAAGTGGGCCAAGTGCCTTGGCATCTTGATCTTCTACTCGAACTCTCCCCTCGATCATTGAGACATTCTCTATTCAGCAGCTTAGCATGATATCTTCTGTCAACAATAGGCTCGCAATGTCGTCAGTCGCTACCATTGAATCTTTCGCTCTGTTACGGTCCTGAAATGCCATATTCTATCAGGCTCGCTAAAAAGTCGTGAAATCATGACAAAGTGCTCCAATTCTCTTGCAGCACAGTATGTCTACAATGAAAAGGACAGCTACGATTGGGCTTATCTGTTTATCAAGATGCAAATGCTTTTTCGACCTTTTCGGTAGGGTTGAATCTCCCGAAAAATGCTGACCAATTCTTATTGGCCTACGCTTGATTGCATGCCTCGTGATTCTTCTTTGTTTGCTGTTGATTTTGCAAACTTGCCCAAGAACGTTCCTTCATAAGACACTTTGTACGACCGAATACGACATAGCACTTTTGAGAGCTATTTGTGGCACGCTACTATTGAAGATACCAGTACCAATTGAGACTCGCTTTCGCAACCCTTTGCGTCCAGCTCACTATGCAGAGAACCCAATCTTACAGAAATCCCCGTATCGCTACCTCTCAGTCCCACTCACTGAGATTCCGTCGAGCAGTTACGCGAAATCCCCTCGATTTCACCATGGAGCAACACATAGTAGAGCAATACTTGGCGAGGATAGGATACGCTTCAGGCCCAGAGCAACAATTACCAGAGCCAGAGCCAAACCCAAACCCAAGACGGAATTTTAGACTAGCGGCGATTGAGGAAGTCCAGGCACAGATTCTAGACCAGCTCCAAGAGCAATATGCAGCTCAACAACAAGCTGCCTCTACCATCTCATCAAGACCAGCGATCCAAAATTGCAGTCCGGACCTACGCGAGGAAGCATCATCGCCATCTATTTTCCCTGACATGTCTTCCACAGCTTCCACGCCTGGTACAGAAGCTGACTACCAGCATTGGGAGCCTAACCTCGAGCGCGAGTCTCTATTACCCACCCCGCCTTCGGCACCCCCAACAAAGGCCGAAATACTTGTAGGACTACATTCTGAGCTCGAGCGCCGTCAGAAGACATGCCTGGGGATCGAGCGTCAGATCAAGGCTTGCCAGAAAGCTATCCGGACTCATCCGTCTAGGCAGAAGAAGATCGAGAAGGAGTATGACAAACGGATCGCGAAATTTGGGAAGCCAGTGCCTGGTGAAAAACAAGAAACGGTCGATGCCGAGAAGCAGAAAGATGCCAAAACAGCAGAAGAAGCCGAAATCGAGGAAATGAGGGATATCTACAAACAATACGATCGCGATTTATCTGGAATCCCGACCGCGGAGTCGGTGGATGCTTTCTTCGCCGTCATCGCTAACACTGAAAACCACCTCAAGAAGGCTGAAGAAGCGAACAAGGTTGCAAAGAAGCGAGAAGCAAGATTGGAGGAAAAGCTTTACGAGGCAAGGTGCGCAGTGTTTGAAATGGAGGATGAGATTGAGGAGGTGGAGAATGGAGCGACGGAAAAAGAGGTCAGGGAGCCGGAAGTGGAGAAAAGCAGGATTGAGGGTCACAAGAAGGGTGAGAGGAAGCCAAAGCGTGGGAAAGGGGTCAAAGATAGACAAAAAGGGGAAGGAGAAGGCGGCGATAAAAGAGTACGGATAAGACGTAAGAGGCGGTGGAAGATATCTAGCAAAGCTGGGAAGACGAGTTCAGATATTGCTTTGGATAGCTAGGATACCACTCCACACGAAGAAGCCCTGTACGCCGGCGCTATGCATCGTCCAACCCTCTTCCTGCACATGCTTCCACAACGCCATTGCATGTGCCTTTACCGAAATTACGGCTGAGCTTTCCCCTTCGTACGCCCTTTGGCATTGCCCTTAGCACTGCCATGACCGCGTTTCCGTGATTTTGTAGGAGCCTCGTATTCATCATGTTTGTCCTCGCTATCGCAATTAGAATCTGGTGCAGAGACTGGAGCAGCTCGCTTCTTCGAATTGCGCTGCGGTTTCTTCCTTGGCTCAGTAGCTCCGTCCGTTGTTCCAGTGACGTCCCCATTGCCAACCGCTGCGGGCTCCGCATCGACTTCGGCATTCGTCTCGCCTTCTCCGATGGTCCTGTTTCTGGCTTGCTCGTGTAATCTTCCCAATGCCGTCTCCATTCTCTTACTCTTGCCATCCAACCTCCGTCTCGGTGCAAAAGCAGACCCACTTCCACCATTCGACTTTCCACCAACCCCAACGCTGCCACCAAAAAATTGCGTAATGTTCGCTTGTGTCCCCTCGTTCTCCCGACGGTTCATGTCCTTAATAACGGGTACTAGGACCTCATCCGTTCTCTCTTGACTCCATCCAATCGTAGCCATGAGGAATGACCTTAGAGCGTCCAAGTCAGGTACGCCCCATTGGAATGGCGAAGGATCCTTATCGACTTCAGGGTGCAGATAAGCTTGGTCGACACGCAGGTCTGGAAAAATGGCGGGTAGAAAAAGCTTGGAAGCATTCTTTCTGAACTTGCGGCGAAATGGATTTGCAGCGTCTTCTGCGGACAGCTTTTGGCCCATTTGTACTGTGCCCCACCATTCTGAGAATTGCTCCAACGTCTCGAACTCAGACAGAATCTCCAGGGCTGTTACTGGACCAACGTTTGGCAGACCCTCAGTGTAATCACTGCCAAGTAAATGTGCTATGCGGATGAGCTTTTCGCGGTCAAGAGAGTACTCTTTCTCGAGGTCTGAAGAGAGGTAGCATTCGACGAACTTGGCTTGATTAAACATATTCTTATAGACGCGTGTGCCACCGAAGAGGAAGACATCGGAATCGTCTGTTACAATACCGTCAACAATGCCAAGGTTGACGAGCTCAGCGCACTGAGCTTCGGCTTCCATAGGCGCGGTGACATAAGGTAGACCAAAGAGCTTGAGAAGTTGTTGGCACTCGGTGACCATAATATGCGTAACCTCGTCGGCGTCACGGCGGTCCTTCTTTTGCTGGTTGCGGAGCTGACGTAGTTCTTTCTCGTAATCCTCAGCGTTTTGCAATTGAGTTTTGGAGTTCAGTGTGGACGCAAATCGCGCATGCTCTTCTGCCTCGATGGCTAGTTGCCTCATCAGATCCTCCTCTTCGGGGTCGGAGTAAATATCTTCATCCTCGGCTGGTAAATCCTCGAGTCGTGGGCCAATAGAGGACTGGCCTCTCTTTAGAGAGGGTGGTGGTTGCACTTCGCTGTTTGGAACGGCAGCAGAGTCCTGTGGCGAATTCCGCGAGCCCGTGACATCGATATTCTCAAACTCAGACAAAGGTGACCCTGGCTGTTCCTGTAATTTGCCCCCAGCTGGTTCTCGATCATCAGTTCCAATTCGTGGCACTCTCGTATCTGCCTCGGGCTCGCTCTCAGGCCAATCTATGGGCTCCTCGCTATCTGAACCGTGTTCCGTTGCTTTCCCATTCCCCGCGCTAATACCTTGCATCTGGTTATTCACGGCATTGAGGTTATTAGGAGGCAAATCTGATGATGCAGGCTCGGCTCTGGAAAGGTCTGCTACATCTCCCATCCTGACTTCAGGATCAACAGGCCGGGTGTCTCCCACAATGACATCGTCTTCGTCCCCTTCGTCGGATGACTCAACATCAATGATCTCGTCAACTTTTTCTCTTGGCGCCTCTAGATCGATGACTTCCCCAGTCTCCTGCCGCTTCAAGACTGCCGCACGAGGAGAAAGTAGGGACAACCTGTCGGAATCGCCACCTTCGTATTGCTTCTCCTCTATAGCTTTTTGTGCAGCAGTAGCTTCACGGATGTCACCAGAGAACCAGGGCGGAAGTGGCTGGGCGGGTTTTTCATTGTCAGGGTCCTTCTCAAAGCCTCCTGATGACTCTGCTGGGGCTTGTTTCTTCTTTCTTCCCAATATCGATGTGCCTAGACTTAGCGACTCGAATGGTAGGGGACCATTAAAACCAGATGGTAGCGAAGATGCCACTGACGTTGCAGAGGGCGCGGCAATAGCTGTTGAGGCTGCTTGTGAAGAAGTCAGCTCTCGAGGGTCTCTTGACGTCTTGTCCATTACCTTTAAGGCAAATGGCCGCGGACCATCCTGGGTTTCATGCTTGGTGCGTCTCGAGTCCGCCAATGTAGCTTGCGGATCGATATCGTTTTCATCATCACTATCGTCCCCGAAAGGCTTAGGAGCTGATCCGTGAGCTCTTGCGTTTGCTAGATGAGCAAAGTCACGACCGGCTTTGGCATTTTTTTGATTGAACTCCAGAGGTTGGTCGATTCTAGGGCCTGCCAAAGCCGAATTCGAGAAAGATGGCATGTCTAAATCACTAGCTGAATCATTGTCTGGATCCTCGAGGGACATTGCAATCGCTCGGTTTAGGTCGTCGTCTTCATCTTCAGCCGGAGGCAGCACATCCTCGAAAAGATCGTCCATATTCTCATCATCATCCTTACCATATTCGTTGTTTTGCTGAGGGACAAAGAGCGAGTCGAGCCCCTCTTCAGCCAGATCTGGATCCGCTGCTGCTCTCTTCACACGCGCCGCCTCCATTCTCGTCTCGTACAGAGCTCGTCTGCGTTTCTTGATCTCCTCGGACTCGAACGGAACGTTGTCTTTGCTTGCATCTAGTGGCCGATCTGGACGTTTAGGCAACCGATTTAGACCTTCAATTGGAACATCCTCGAACCCGTCATCCTCCCAGGCTTCGTCTTCTTCCATAGGCTCATCTTCCTTTCCGAAACCTTCCACGTCTATGGGTTTGCTCCGCTCTCCTTCACCCTTGTTGCTCACCACTCCCAATGCCCATCCACCCTCGACACCATCATTCTTTACAAGCACATACTCCTTCCCTTTTTCTCCCGCCACCCGTCCTCCATCGTTCATACCGAACATTGCATCTTCTCCATTCATTCCGTTGAGGTTCATTAAACGTTGGGTGAGCTCGTTCCTCTCCTTGACTCGGTCAATCTGGAACCTGGAAAACGCCATCCTGTCTGGAAACATGGTGTCCAATTGCTCTTTGCTATACCCCATCCTTAATCTTGATCGTAATCTGGCTGCGTTCAGGATATTGTATCGATCACTAGCTGGCAGACTCAAGAAGAACGGACTATTAAAGTCGATTTTGCTAAAGTCATAGATATTCACATCTTCGCCTGTATGGAACTGTCTGGCATACTCCTCCAGCTCTTCATGGCTCATGATCCTTGGGTCATTCGGAGCACCCATGTCTGCCAGATCTATATCGAGATTCGGCAGGTGGTAGGCGTCTTTCTTCTTGAAAGTGCGATTCTGCTGTCGCTCTTTCTCAGTCATCTGAAGTTCGTCGACGTAGACCAAATTTTCAGGGACTTCCTCCTCTTGATCTACCGGCGGCCGATCTCTTTCCTCCCTCCGCTTTTGGTCATCCTCCTCGGCCCTCCTCTGCATCTGCACTGCCAACAGCTTCCCTGCCGTCCGTACCGCATCCTCTCTTCTCCCCTCTCTTCTTGCCTTGCGTCCACTAACAGTCTGCCTCTTGAGTAATGGTGCGCCTCCATCGAAGACGAACACGGGCTTGATCCCGAAGAACAAGAGCTTGCAGATGCGGCGAAAGAAGCCTACAACATGAGAGTTACGCAGGGCATTCCCTTCCTTATCACGGACTGCTTTGAGGAACTGGTAGATCCAGATGGAGGCATCGACCGCGAGGCGTTTCTTATTGAGCGTTTCGATTTTTATAGGGCGAGCGCAGGGCTGAACGACAGTCCAGAGCCCGGTGACACCCATGGCGAATCACTTTCGTAGGCGTTCAAATAGGGTGAAGAATATTATATTTCCAAAGTTTCATAGTACATTTTCAACTTTGGCATTCGAGCAATACATGTGCTCGAGCACAAGAGCCTTCAGAAGAACCCATGTTTTATCATAACGCGAAATCGAAAGACCGAGACTGAGGGACTGTCTCAATCAAGATAGAGATAATACTGGTGCCTAGAAGATTGGCTGGCAATCATAGACCATTGGTATATCTGCAGGTGATGGTATAATTGATAGAACGCTAGCCACCGTAAATTACTTTAAAGTGGTATTTTAGTCGCGCATCACGGCACGCGAACATAACTGCGGAGTAGGTAAAAGTGCAACGGCAACCGGTCTCCTAATACGACTTTGGATTGACACTGTCAGCTCCGTGATCTTCTGTGCTCCTGATCCATAATCATTCCGTTCCTCTAATTTCCTGCATTGTCTATCTATCGAACAACAGTTGATTCAAATGGTGGCTTACCCCCTCATAAAAGCGGAACCCTCGTCAAGCTGAATCTACTGGGAGCTAAACCTCGCTGCATCCATTTCCCCCCCCCCAAGCATCGAAGCGGCAATACAGCCTATTACGCAGCAATGAAGGCCTCACCCTTACTCATATCTTGGCACAATGACAATTTGCCAATATACTCGGTACACTTTGAGCCCCATGGAAAAGGTCGACTTGCAACGGCTGGCGGAGACAACAATGTCAGGCTGTGGAAAGTGGAAAAGGATGGAGAGGAGAGGAATGTCACATATCTTACTACACTCATAAAAGTGAGTATCTGTGAAGCTCTCAATGCCATTGCTAAATGTATTGCAGCACACCCAAGCGGTCAATGTCGTCCGCTTTGCTCCACGTGGTAGGATGCACCCATAGATAGCGATAGGCAACGGCTGAACATGAATAGGAGAAATGCTTGCAAGTGCTGGGGATGATGGAAACACTCTACTCTGGGTACCATCAGAGACCCACTCTCACACCCCTGCTTTTGGCGAAGACGCACTCGAAGACAAGGAGACTTGGCGGATCAAACACATGTGTCGTTCTTCTGGCTCGGAGATATACGACTTGGCTTGGTCACCTGATGGAATTTTCTTCATCACTGGTAGCATGGACAATATTGCACGCATATACAATGCTCAGTCTGGTTAGTACAAATTTCCTTTACCCGAATGTCAGGCAAAGAACAGACTTGTCCCTTTTCCGTTATGTTCATGAATGGCCTACTTGATTGTTGTCTTTCCTAAGGCTAAGGCAAACGAAAGGCTTACACCCCCGCAGGACAAATGGTACGGCAGATTGCAGAGCATAATCATTACGTGCAAGGAGTGGCTTGGGATCCACTTAATGAATATGTCGCGACGCAGTCTTCCGATAGATCGTGTCATATCTACAAGCTAAAGACAAAGGACGGCCAATTCACACTCAACCAGTACAACAGAGTCACGAAAATGGATCTGCCTGGCAGGAGAATATCCTCAAGCAGCCCAGCGCCGCCAGAATCAGCCATGCGTGGCCACTTAGTGGGTGACGCTTCCTCGTTGGCCCCAGGATCACCTCAACCATCAATGCCGGGGACTCCAACATCCCTTGCATTGCCGATGAACCCACCGGTATTATCCCACAGTCGTCGCTCCTCTTTTGGATCGTCGCCCTCCATACGGCGATCAGCCTCTCCAGCGCCATCCATGCCTCTGCCTGCCGTACTGCCAATGGAGAAGTCCCCGAATCCCTACTTAATGGGCAGTATGGGAGTCAAGAACGCAGCCATATACGGGAACGAGACTTGCACCTCCTTCTTCCGAAGATTGACATTCGCCCCAGATGGAAGCTTGCTTTTCACACCAGCTGGCCAGTATAAGACCCCTCACCCAGCGGATGGAGCCAAGAATGCCGATGATGTGATCAATACAGTCTACATCTACACTCGAGCAGGTCTCAATAGGCCACCCATAGCGCATCTCCCGGGGCACAAGAAGGCATCCATAGCAGTCCAATGTTCTCCTGTCTTCTATACCCTTCGCTCCTCAACAAGGACTACTGCCAATATAACTATCGATACCTCATCTGCAGAAGAAGCTATAGCACCTTTGCCTGACTCTGTGCTCTCGTCGAAGCCTTCAACGCATTCAGCAATGGATCCACCGCCATCTACCGCGCCCTCTCCTATGGAATCCTCGCGGCCTACATCCTCACCAAGGCCGACAGAAACCGACCCTGCTTCGATGCAAGGGCCCACCGCAGCGTTTGCTATGCCGTACCGCGTCGTGTACGCTGTCGCTACACAAGATGCCGTGCTTGTGTATGACACTCAACAGATGACACCACTGATAATGATCAGTAATTTACATTTTGCCACTTTTACAGACCTGACTTGGTATGTTCCAATTTCGATGTCATCTTCTGCTCGGCAGCTGTTGGGAACGTTATCCCTATTTTCAGCAATCGCCTAAATTCATTCCATTTCAAAGAGAAATTAGTTCCGGCTGTTGCCTTCTTCTAAACCTGCAACAGCTCATGCTCTTGTTTCAATCTGGTTCTTCGGGCCTAGTCCTTTTCGAACTAGTATTACTGCGGAGTCATACCTTGCGCAAGCTGACTTTATCACAGGTCTAATGACGGGCTGACGCTGCTTATGAGCTCATCAGACGGCTTCTGCTCCAACCTGACATTCAATCCTGGCGAGCTGGGACAGATCTATAGCGGGCACGTGCCCACTGCTCACCACCCTTCTCCGGCTATCTCGACCATGTCTACAGCACAGCCAAGTCCCACCACTGCGTCTGCTCCTCCTTTTGATAAACAAAGCACACCTGTGTTAGCACCTGCGGCCTCGCCCGCTCCTCTTCCACCGCCAAGTCCGACACGGTCTAATTCAACGTCTTCAATCGCTACGCAGTCTTCCCAAATGGTGAACAATCCTACTCCAACCCTAGGCAGTGTTCCGAGTGTCGCGGCTACGAATCCGTCATTCAATGGCCTTCCATGGACGACTCCGCCGCAGACGCCAATGTCAGGGGTAACAAGCCGTCCAAGTTCAGTGAGTGGCAGTGTACTTGGGAAAAGAGACACGAGTGAGTCGGAAAAGGAGGAGGCGGCAATTCCGAAGAAGAGGAGGATCGCTCCTACTTTGGTCCGAGATGAGGATCCTTCCATAGGATCTTGACCTAAGCGAAGTCGTTCCCTGTCTGTTTGAAACCTTTTCCTACCGCAGATAATGCATCGGACTTAGCATGGCGCTCGGAGGGACTGTTGGCTATTGACCAGTGACGGGCAATTCGCGTTGGACTGGGGCAAGGTATCTTACTGTCGTAAGCTTGGGTAATACGTGGCACCATACGTATCTAGCAAATGGGCTCCGGGTGTACCTGACTAGAAATTTATTGGCCTTAGCCTCTACGGCTGAAATACATGCAGATACTGTAGATACTCCTTGTCACATGATCATCTTCTGTGCGTAGTTGGGGGAGGTCGGGGGGGTTCAAGATCAACCGATATGACGCGCTTTTGCTGATCGTCAGGCCAACGTGAGGCGGCCCTAAAGCCACAAACCATCTCGCCGCTGGGGGCTCGTAACCCTGTTACCCTGGAGCCCTGTTACCCTGCACACCAACCCTCTCCCCCTTCCCTCCCCCCCCTCCCAAATCTTTTTTGTCCGAAATTAATACTTTACACTCAATAATACCGGAATCAATAAGTGGACCTTTGAAGAAAGTAAGTATACCTGCATTCATTATCATGTTATAGAGGATCGTGAAACACCAGTTCCGAATCCCAGACGCTAATCAGGGTCCACTAACGTCACCCGCTGAGCCTTGCAACTTGTGAACACGAACACACAAACACTCCATCTCACACTTTTCACCTTTGCTTACCTCTTCACTTGCGACAGAACAATTCGCCTTCACACAAACACTGATCCTTAAATCACACAACCATCCATCATGCATCGCACATACTCCATGCGACAGAGTCGCGCACCGACTGCCTCGCAAATCCAGAACCCACCCCCACCATCTTCCTCCACAAAGTCCGGTCGGTTCTTTGGAAAGGGCGGCGTTGGTGAGTCTTTCCCTCTGTGCTCTTCATGCCATAAGAACATTTGGCTTTCATTTCCTCGTTGATGGGCGCTTTGTGGAACTGGGCTCGTTGCTGCTGCGGCTGGATCTAAATGAGGGTCTACACCCGCTCGAGATGAGCCTCTAAAGGCCTGCACCATTACGCTCCTACCTCTAGAAATAACCTTCGGCTGAGTGCAGCTACGAACACTCCTACGAAATTGCACAAGTCATAATGTCCGCCAGAGCTACTGTGGGTTGGCTTTGGGCGAGAGCAAATTAAAATCTTCGTATTACAGTGCCGCTCAAGTTTGATGTCACAGACTAACGGCTCTCTTTCGTGGTGGTGTAGGTCATGCCTTTCGTAAATCCACCGCTGGCGCCTTCGGCCCAGACCTCGCAAAGAAGCTTGCGATCCTGGTGAAGATGGAGAAGAATGTCATGCGTAGCATGGAGCTTGTCGGACGTGAGAGAATGGAAGTGGCTGTAAGCTTTTCACGGCAAACCGCAGTTCGTGCAGTAACACTGATCGATAAACACAGCAACAACTCTCAATCTGGGGTGAAGCTTGTGATGACGATGTTTCGGATGTTACGGACAAGCTCGGTGTCTTGATCTACGAAGTTGGCGAGCTTGAGGACCAACTTGTCGACCGCTACGACCAATACCGTGTGACCATTAAGAGCATTCGCAACATTGAGGCTTCGGTTCAGCCCAGCAGAGACCGTAAGAACCGTCTTGACTCCAATCTCAAGCTTTGAGCTAATGAATCTATTCTCTAGGTAAGCAGAAGATCACCGATCAAATCGCCCAGCTTAAGTACAAGGAGCCCAACAGCCCCCGCATCGTTGTTCTCGAACAGGAGCTTGTCCGTGCTGAGGCAGAGTCTCTCGTTGCAGAGGCCCAGCTTTCCAACATTACCCGTGAGAAGCTAAAGGCAGCTTTCACTTACCAATTCGATGCTCTCAAGGAGCATAGCGAGAAGCTCGCCATCATTGCTGGATTCGGAAAGCATCTTTTGGAGCTTGTCGACGATACCCCAGTGACTCCAGGAGAGACTCGCGAAGCTTATGATGGCTACGAGGCTAGCAAGGCGTAAGTCTGACATTCATTTCCGAGCCATTGCTCCGTTTATTCGGCCCTTGCTGATCCTCGTGCAAACATAGTATTATCCAAGACTGCGAAGACGCCCTTACCAACTGGGTTACTGCGAACGCTGCCATCAAGCCATCCCTCAGCACTCGCGCTCGCAACCTCTCCCAGCGTCGTAAGAGCAACATGGGTGAAGGCGTCGGCCACGACCTCTCTGGCCAGGACAGCAGCATGAAGGACCGTGAGAGCGGACTATGGGTCCCAGCCGGCGCGCACCGCGAATATTCAAATGAAGAGGAGGAAGAAGAGGAGGAGGAAGAGGAGCCTTCAGCTGAGACAAGAGGACGCGAGGAGGAGAGACCAGCTGAGGCATAATTGCAAACATGAACGGCGAACGGGCGACGGGGGAGGTTCGAAATACCCAGCTCTGATGTTGAGAAGAGCAACGCGGTTTCCTTACACTACTTGCATTTCCTATTGGTTACGTCCTGCACGAGGAGGTAATGGATGAGAAGCAGGGAGATGCGCTGTAATAATACTCTATCTTGTCTGCTTGTCGCCACCCTTCTAGATAGCAAACAATCCGATGATTTAGCTTGCAAACATTGTGCTCATGATTGCATTCTATATGACTCGACATGCTTCAAATGACCCTGTGAAAATCCTCGATCAAGAAGTCATTACTCCGTACCTGCTCATGGGCTTGGTAGGAGCAGCAGCAATTGTGATCCTCGTATTCGAGCAACGGCCTCAGCATTACAACGAGCGCGCTCTACATCTCCGCGCCAACCGTATGATATCTAGCTAGCCACCGCTCTCACCTCATATAGCCATGCTGAACTCCTCCTCTCCAGAGCCCGAGGACTCCGATCACCAATCCACTCCGCATGAGTTCTTTACTAGACATACGACGCCTCCACAGTCCTTACGAGCCTCCATATCCCCACCGCCCTCTCGGGCCAGAAAAACCACGCTTCATCCTATAAGCTACTCTTCTGGGCAAGACCCACGTTCAGCCCATCAATCAGAAGACACCGCGGCCTCCCTCGCAGCAGTCGAAGCAGGGGAAGCTCAGATCCGCAATCACCTCGAACATTTCTCCTCCCACCTCTCTGCTTCCGCCAAACCGTCTGCACCTCTCTCAATTCATGCTTTCGAGGATCTCTACAAGCGAAACCAGCACGAGCATGGGCGCCATTGGGTTATACATCAGCATGATCACCCTGTTGCAGGCGTCCACTACGATCTAAGGCTGCAGATCAATGAGACGAGCTCGATCAGTTGGGCGATTATGTATGGGCTGCCGGGAAACGCTAATAGCAGGAGGTTGAGCAGGAATGCGACAGAGACGAGGGTGCATAACGTCTGGGTATGTGGATAAAGGGGAGCTCATTTCTACGGACTGGATGCTGAGCTTGTCGAAGAACCACCTCATTGAGACTGCTTCCGCGTCTACGGGGAGCCTACTCGTTTGGGATACTGGAGAATACGAGATGCTGCCATATCATGAGAACATCGAGCGGGTGACCGATGACGAGCTGTCAGGCGACTCTGATGGGGATTGCAAACCTTCCTCGAACCTTTCGGACAGTGAAAAGCTTCACGCAGCTTTTCAAAACGTGAGTGCCTCCTTTGTACATCTACAGCTCCAACGGTGCTAAAGCCAGCTCAGCGCAAGATTCGGGTTCGCCTCCATGGGACCCGTCTACCACCAAGCTACACCTTGTCCATCCGTCTCCTGAGTTCGGAAAATCGCCATGAACAGCCTGCCAAACCATCCAGGAAACGCCGTAGGAAAGTCTCCACGGATAGGCCTTTAGCACAAGCAACTCCGCCTACCTCTGATCTCGATGACGATGAGGTAGTGCCTGACGCTCACCCTAAATCAATGGACGTATCTTTGTTAGCTTCTGAGCGCGAGATTGCGGAGCAGGAAGATGAGGAAGTCCGCCTCACCAACACATATCCTGGCGCTACCAACAGCATCGGCTCAATTCATCAACGAAGATGGTACCTTTCAATGGACCGGTACGCTTCTGGCTTTTGTCCGGTGCGGATAGGAAATCGTAGTGAAGGCGGCAGGAGAATGTGGATGAGGAGAAGGGAGGGTGAGAGGCTGCTGGGCTTCGAGCCGTTCTATGTCATGGGCAGAGAACTGGAGAGAAGTGTGGTGACTGGCAGGACTGCCGATGAGGTAATGGCTGATGAGGGAGTGCAGGGGTTTGTGGGGAGGAAAGGTTGGAGGCCCGTGACTGAGTGAAGCCACCTCGAACCAAGGTGGTCACGAACAACTTCGTAATATAAGCAGCAGTATTGGAACTTTCAATGCGTAAGTCAAAGCCGGCTTTTGCACCAAGGACCTCAGAAAATTGATCTTGGCCAGGGTGCTTCCCATCTCCTTCAAAATCTGCGGTTTCTGGAGCCATAGACTCTTACCATTGGCACTGGTTGTCGGCCAGAACCGCCCAACATGATCAAGTTTACCGCCGGTGTCAGGGAATATTTAATGCCGTGGCTTCACTCCTCTGCGAACCATCACCGGACTCTTCGCGGTCCATTACTTTACTCAGGGGCGCTAATGTCAGCTTCATCCGTTGCAGATTACCTCAAGAGTTATACGTTTCACCTTCTTTCATTTACGCTAACGCTCTTATATACTAACTTTAGTTAGACTATCTTCATGATGCATCAGATCCTTATTCCATATGCAACCCATCGAAGGACTATCCCGTTTGTGCCGACTAGTAATATTCTTCAAAATCGGGGAAGGTGCCTTGCGAATCGGAACCGCTCTTGGTCACTAGGTCCTCAGCCGCCCGAGCATGACCCCACGGTGGTGGTACGACGGTGCCCCCCTCTATTGATAGCTTGATGCATCCACATTTACTTCGATTGTTGAACATTGTTCCGCACGAGACGCAATGGCCAACGTAAGTGAGAGAGACTCATTGGCAGAACGCTTGGAGGGCCTTGCGCCTGCGATAGAAGAGATTCGCAACATCTCGGGTACTGCTGGAGTCTCCATTGGGGTCTTGCATCAGCAAGAAGTCGTTACCACTGCGGGCTTTGGATACAGAGACATACAAGCCAGGGAAGAGCCAAATGAAGATACTCTTTATTACATCGCAGCTCTCACCCAGTCGATAACCGCCTCTGGAATCGCTCTCTTGGTCGAGGATGGGAAGTTACATTGGGACAGCGCGATTTCCAATCTCGTTCCTAATTTTCAGCATCAGTCCCCGTTGATACACCATAACACTACCATTGGGGACATCCTAAGTCACCGCACAGGTCTCGAGCGGAAGGTCAGCCTCTGGATGGGCGAGCACAGTTTGCCGCAGGTTACACGTAACAAGTTCACGAAGACGGCTGCGTATCTTGAGCCCGTCCACCAACTTGGGTCCGAGTTCCTCGAGAATAATTGGACCTACGGGCTGACGGCCCAGATCATCAAGCAGCAAAGCGGACAAGACTTCAGCGAGTTCGTTGAGCAGAATATCTTCAAGCCGTTGAATATGGAGCGAACTGGGCTCGCTGGGAGTCGCCCCTTCCCCCTTGATGTTGACAATTTTGCAGAAGCATATATGTGCAATGGGGACACACCATACCGCTTACACAAGCCGCCTGTTGAGACCAGTCCAGAGCACGAAGCCACTGTTGGAATCAAAAGTTCGGTCAATGATCTGATCAAGTACTACATAGCGCTCCTCAATGCCGCAAAAGAAGAAGTTAGCTCAAGCGGGAGACATGAGCAGAGTTCGCCACTCAAGCAGGCACGAGAGCTATTCAGACCTCACACACCAATGGAAAGGCTACTCCCTAGCTTTGGCAAGACAGAGTACACCCTGGGCTGGGCGCAGGTAATACTTCCCAGCGCCCTCGGTGCCTTAAGTGGCAACGCCGAGCTTGTGGCGAAAATGCCTCGTATAGGCGAAGGGCTAACAAATGCTCCGCTCGTCCTCTATCAGTCTGGCAGCTTGGGCGGCTATCAGTCGTCCGCCATCTTGATCCCCGACACGAATTCGGCCATTGTCGTCCTCTCCAATACCCTTGCGAACCAGCATGCCGCAGATTGGATAGCACAAGCCGTACTTGAAGCGCTTCTCGACGTCCCACACCCCACTAACTTCGTGGCTCTAGCACGAGAGGCAGCAGCAGAGAACGCCATGCTCTTCTCTTACATGCGTCAAGTCATGGTTGCTGAGCGCGTTTTCGGGACCACATGTCGAAGCCTCGATACTTACGTTGGCATCTACGACAACGCAGTCAAGACATTCAGACTCGAAGTATCCTCTGGCGAAGCAGGACTGAGGATCTCCTTCAACAGCAGTCGTGATTGGTATAAGCTGAAGCACTACCATTACGACACTTTCTCTTTCGAGATGAACTACCTGGACTTCTTGAAGAAAGAGATGCGGCCCGTGACGTATTGGAGATATTTCCTGCTGGAGTTTCGTGAGGGTATAGAAGGGGCAGATGGGACCATTGGGATCATTGTATGGAGGCCTGATCGCATGGTGGAGAAAGGCGAGGCATTTGTGAAGCGGACGGCTGCTGAAGGAGTGGCGGAGGCCTCGCGAGCGGTGAGCTGAGCGAGAGAATAGGTTCAGGGACTGGGAAGATATAATTCTAGTGACGCTAAATGTTGGGTGGGTAACTCTTTAGGATATAGCGGATGGGTCATTGGGAGGGGTATCTTTGATCGAGGTGGTGTTGCAAGTTTTGGGCATTCAAAGGGGATCTACTTCGGTTTCTCAGGTCCACTGTTTTTCAAAGTTCCCAAGGCATCGGACTGGACGCTGCGATAGATCACCACTTACAAAGCTACAAAGCTTAGCAATCAGCAAAGTATAGTATTGGGCGACGAGACATCTGCTTGATTGCATGTCCAAGCCCCTGAGGAGTTGGAAATCGAGAGGCGAGGGCTCGAAACTCCGTGCCCATCTCCGTGCTCCTGGGGTTGAACATTTGACAACACAATCAATAGCTCAAATCTCAGTTCTGCAGGCGGTAGTAGCTTCTCATTATGGGGCGTAGTACAGCGACTCCTTAAGGTCTTCTATCTCCTCAGTATCTTACTGACCCATTCCCCTTCATGCTCTGTCAATCTGTACAAGTTCCGATGGTAGTAGAGTCATTGCTATCTACAATCTGCAGGCATTACAGCAGCGCGGTGGTAGTTCGAAATGTCAAAACGGATGCGGCTTCCTCTTTGGGAAGTGATCTGCATCGAAGAAATACGCGCGATGACCGGAGGCCCACTTTCGTCAACACACCGACAGACTCGACTAAGTAGTGACTCAGTCGCACTGCATATAAGCACGTTTGCCGTGAATCACTTCCCATCTCTCTTTCCTATCACTTCATATAAGTAACACCTCGTTCAATTCAAGATATGCGGGTGACTCTTCAAAAACATGGCCATCTAAGCCCGTTCAACCTGACTCACACAAATACGACGATCTTACAATGACAGGAGCATGAGATCGAGTCTTTGCGTAGATGAATAAAGTATATTGAGACCTTGAGGCAGAAATTTTTGCTCCCCACTTCCACGCTTTCTCGTCATTGGCTTGTCCCTCATGGAGCGCTCCCCAAGCCCCTCCTCCATTGCTGGCTTGACTGCCTTGGTACTGGTATTCTTCACGTCTGTTCCGGCCTTTTCGAAACTCTTCAAGAGCGCGACATCAGAAGCGAGGGATAATGCACCTAATGAGACCTCCAACTTATACGAAGACGAAGATGGCATTGCCACCGAGGAGACACAGAAAGGATATACTGCAGTCTTGCCTAAGTACTTCGCTTTGTTGTGCTCGGTAATGGGATTTTCAGTCTCCATGGGCATAGCAGTATATACAACAGTCCATCCGAGGTTAACACTATGCTTCGAGAATTGGCTGAGTGTCGGAACTTGGGTACGAATGCCGTCAAAACCCGTTGTTTATACTAATGAATGCTTCAACAGTCATGTCTCATCATTCAGACCGCATATATTGCCTTCGAGCGTGACCCAATAAAGAGGTACAACTATGGTTGCCTGAATGCATTGGCCTATGCTTTACTGACTGCTGCTACCTGCATCCGCCTGGTGATGCTCCTCTCGTATCTGTCTTCGCCCTGGTTCAACGACGCCTTAATTTGGTCAGACGTGCTCCAAATATGTGCTGCGGTATCATGCTGTCTGTCATGTCTGAGCTTGCCTAGACGTCCTATTGTCGAGGAAGGGGGCATGTTCGTCGACGGCCAGTACACCGTGTCGGCGCTCGGTCGGTATACATTCACCTGGGCAGGGCTTACGCTCATTTTAGCAAGGAAGAAGAAAACTCTTGGCTTAGATGACTTACCGAATTTGCACGTGGAAGGGCGCTCCGCCTACCGTCAAGAATACTTCAGTACATTGAAACCAAAGGATCAGCTGTGGAAGACTTTGGTCTTCGCTCATCTTCCAGAACTTCTCTTCCAGGCTCTCTTTACAACATTGCAGTCCGTTGCACAGTTCGTACCTCAGCTCGTTCTGTATCAATTGTTAAAGCGCCTCGAATCGCGTACTAAAGGCGCCTCAGCAGGCGGGTCGACTTGGGGATTGGTGATTGCCCTTGGACTGGCCATTATACTCTCAGCCTGGACTCAGGCTTGGCTACATTGGATAGTTTTGGCTAGACTAGGACAGCCACTCCGGACGGAATTATCGGCTATGATCTTTAGCAAAGCCACCCGTCGTAAGGATGTGAAAGGCGTGCTGCAACCCAAGCAGGCTACCGATGTTGATGCCGTGAATGGAACCAGTATTCCCACTGCTTTTTCAGGAATCAACGACCAAAAGACCGCGGAAACACATCCGATGTCGGGTTCGACCCCGGGTCAAGCCGAAACTGCGACGGCGGAAGACGCATCAGAGGAAGATACCCAGAAGAGCCGTCAGAGCACCATCAACCTATTGGTAAGGCTTGCTCCCGTTATCATACGCATACAAAATGGCTGAATACTCGTGGTGGCAGGGAGTGGACGCAAAGCGTGTCTCGGACTTTGCCATTTACTATTATCTGATTCTCCAAACAGTCGTCATGTTGACAGTCAGTATAGCGTTCTTGATCAAGCTGATCGGCTGGAAAAGCTTGCTCGCTGGACTATCTGTATTTGCGATCGCATTACCACTCAACATCTACACTTCGAAAAGCTACAGCGATGCCCAGGGGGACATCATGAAGGTCCGAGATCAGAAGATGATCGTCATTACCGAAGCACTCCAAGGCATTCGGCAAATCAAATTTTCTGCCCAGGAACAGCAGTGGCAAGAGAAGATCGGCAAGAAGCGTGACGAAGAGCTCGCAACACAGTGGAGGGTGTTTCGCTTGGATACGGGTCTACTTGCTATCTGGATTCTTGGACCGGTAATGTTAAGTGCTGTCTCTCTCTCCGTATATTCAGTACTCAACAGTGGTCTCTCGGCATCGGTGGCATTCACCTCTATCACGGTAATGGGATCGATGGAAGTTTCATTAGCTGTCTTGCCGGAGGTTATCGCGGATTGTCTGGAAGCCTGGGTGTCAGTCAAAAGGATCAATGAATACCTCAAAGCTCCAGAAAGGGACCCCTATATTATTTCAGGCGACGCCATTGATTTCAAGGATGCATCAGTTGCTTGGCCATCGGACTCACAGGAAGAGGATCCTGACCGTTTCATCCTGAAGAACATCAGTGTCCGGTTCCCAAACAAGGAGTTGAGCGTCATCTCTGGCAAGACAGGGTCGGGCAAGAGCCTCTTTCTGGCGTCGATCCTTGGGGAAGCAGACTTATTGGCTGGACAAGTCAGAGTTCCTCAAGCACCTTCTTTCGAAGAGCGCTTCGACAACAAGGCTAACAGAAGCGACTGGATTATTGACCCAGCCATCGCATTTGTAGCTCAGATTCCTTGGATTGAAAATGCCACCATCAAGGATAATATACTCTTTGGTCTACCTTTTGACTCTGGCCGCTACAAGAAAGTGCTCAATTGCTGTGCTCTGGAGAGGGACCTGGACCTGCTCCCCGATGGCGAGCTTACTGACATTGGCGCCAATGGCATAAATCTCTCAGGAGGGCAGCGTTGGCGCATTTCGTTTTCGAGAGCTTTGTACTCACGGGCAGGCATCCTTGTCCTCGATGACATTTTCAGGTAAGGTTTCTGGAACCTTGCTATAACATGATCAACATCCGCTAATGTTATAGCGCTGTGGATGCTCATGTCGGGCGGCAGCTCTTTGAGGACGCCCTGACGGGAGAGCTCGGCACTGGAAGGACACGCATCTTGGTGACCCATCATGTGGGCCTTGTCCTGCCCAAGACGGCGTACACGGTGGTTCTTGGTGAAGGTACAGTACAACATGCCGGCCTTGTAGAAGACCTGAAAGCCACCGGTGTGCTCGAAGAAATTATGAAGCAGCAACAAGAGGGTCATGCAAAAGATCTCAAGAAGAACGTAGAGGCGCTACAGCAAGCAGAACATGCAGCCAACGGTAGCCTCAGTAAAGTGTTATCACACGCCTCAGCCACGACGAACAAGATTGACGATGGTGAGCTGGACATCCAAGGAAAGGCACAGCCGAAGAAGTTCACCGAAGATGAAAAGCGAGAGACTGGGCGAATGAGTCTCAATATCTACAAGCAGTATCTCGTATCCAGTGGCGGTTTCTGGTTTTGGGGTCCCATCATGATCCTTTACGCTGTCTACCAAGGGCTGATCTTAGGAAGGTCCTGGTTCATCGGTATCTGGACAAGATCGTACAAGACCGAATCTCATTCGTTCTTCGTCCAAATGCTCCCATATAACTACTCTCCTGTGAGGGGTAGTGGTTACAATACCCAGACCTCGAATGACAATTTGTCTTTCTACTTGGGTATCTACATCGGACTTAGCATTGTCATATGCATCTTCGGAACCTTGAGGTACTTCTTCGTTTACATGGGATCATTGAGAGCATCTAAGAAGCTCTTCGAGGACTTGACATACGCGGTCCTCAGGGCGCCGTTGAGATGGCTGGATACCACACCTGTCGGCAGAACACTAAACAGGTTTACCGCCGACTTTGCTGCAATCGACTCAAGATTGGGTAACGATATAGGTTTCCTTCTCTATCACATTCTCGAGTTGGTAGGTATCATCATCGCGGGCTTGTTCGTGTCACCTATCATGCTTTTGTTCTCACTCATACTACTACTCCTGTGTGGATGGGTCACTGGATGGTATCTTTCCGGTGCTCGTGAAGTCAAGCGGCTCGAAAGCAATGCGAAAAGCCCCATTTTCGAACAGTTCGGTTCAGCTCTCGCAGGGATTGGCACCATTCGGGCCTTCGACAAGACCGATGTATACATTGAGAGAATGTTTGCTAAAATCGATACACATGCAAGGGCATATTGGTTCCTCTGGCTATGCCAAAGATGGCTGGCGCTCCGGTCAAATGCCATTGGTGCTGCGTTTTCCATCCTGGTTGCTGCTGTCATAGCTTTCTACGGCATCGAAGCTTCGCTCGCTGGCTTTGCTTTGAGTTTTGCACTCCAATACAGCAGCGCAATCTTGTGGACAACCCGATGCTACGCAAATTGCGAACTCAACTTCAACGCGGTGGAAAGAGTTGCAGAATATGCAAATCTGCCCATTGAGAACCAAAGTGCGAGCGTCAAAGTCCCGGCTGCTTGGCCTACCGAGGGTCGGCTACAGGTCTCAAACCTCGTTGCAGGCTATGCGGCAGATCTGCCACCAGTCTTGAAAGGTCTCTCGTTTTCTGTGGAGAAAAATCAGGTACGTTATCCCGGAGTGGTTTCTTGCTATTTGATACTTCAGTCTGGGAGAGGGAAGGAAGTACTTCCCAAAGTATGCTCCAGAGACTGACCTTATGACTCAACTGCCTGTCACGAGATGAGCTTGTTTTGCCCTTGCCCTGATCTTGTACCTGTCAGACGATTCGACTTCGTGTCGTGCTATGGGACTCGTTCCCTCATTGTGCTCCCTAGGCTTGTCTTATGAATTGTATCTGTGTCTCGGAATGGGTATGCTGACTCTGAAATCGTTATCAGCGTGTTGGCGTAGTAGGCCGCACTGGTGCTGGCAAATCTTCACTCACATTAGCTCTTTTCCGCTTCTTGGAGGCACGCGAGGGCTCCGTACACATCGACAGCATCGATGTTTCGAAGATCAGTCTCCACGACCTAAGGAGCCGCATTGCGATCATACCACAAGACCCAGTCCTTTTCTCCGGCACAGTCCGCTCGAATTTAGACGCGTTTGACCAGCACACAGACTCCGAACTCTACGACGCGCTTCAGCGTGTGCATCTCATCCGCACAACAGGCACCACTTCTCAAGGTGAACTCGCCGAATCAGGCTCGGGCTCAGATACACCCATCCCAGCAATTGCACCAGACACCAACACCAACACCAACACCTTCAGATCCCTCTCCTCTCGCATCTCTGAAGGCGGTCTCAACCTCTCCCAAGGCCAGCGTCAACTCCTCTGCCTTGCCCGTGCCATCGTCTCCCGCCCCAAAATCATGGTGCTCGATGAAGCGACGTCAGCCGTTGACATGGCAACCGATGTTCTCATCCAACGCAGTATCAGAGAAGAGTTTCAGGATTCGACGTTGATCGTAATTGCGCATCGATTGAGCACGATTGCTGATTTCGACAAGATACTGGTGATGGACGATGGGGTGGGGGTGGAATTCGATGGGCCGGAGGAGCTGTTGGGGAAGGATGGGGGTGTATTTAAGGGGATGGTGGAGCAGAGTGGGGAGAGGCAGCGGTTATGGGATATTATTGGGGGCTTTGCAGAAGGAGAAGGAAGGGAAGGGGAATGATTGATAAAATTTTGTTTCTTACTTCTCTTCTGGGCATGGCGCGATGTACTGCTTGCGATGAAATTCTGGCTTCTAAAAGCGTCATGGAAAATAGAATAACGACTTTGGAACTCTACCTTTGCACTTCATGGCCATCTTACAGTCTGGGGGCATGCTCGAGAAACATGGAATCGCCCTAACTACAGCGGTATGATCTGACCATTCTCGAACACGATGACGCTCAAAAGCAGACTTCGCCGTTGGTTCCGTGAGAGACAGAGACTCCTTCACATGCCACTCAGCAGTTTTACACTCTATAACCGTCTCTTTACCGCCCAAATCGTAGCTCATCATTGACACTCACTCTGCAGCAAGGAGGAATGAGATTTCTCAGATCGCTTTTCTCGCTCATCATATTGGCGGTGTATGTTTTAGTACCCCGTTACTCTATGTCGTGAAGAGTAAGCACCATCCCCCCCCGGCCCAATTCTTTCCTTCCCTTTTCACATCTCATACATTCTTACATCTTTCCCGCTACGAGAAATAGGCAATTACTTTATATACCAACAGATACCACATTCCGTCCTGAGTAGCCGGTGTTGAAGTTCGGCCCCGTTCCAAGCCCGCCAGCCGCCTGAATTTGTATACCTCACTGTATGTTGTAGGTCTGGTCCAGGGGAGTCTTTGGAGAACTGAGTAATCCTTCCGGAATGTCTGAATCGATTTCTTTTGTTGTAATAGGTAGACGGGTCTGCTACGCTGGAGTCGTAGCTGGGGGGTCCGACGCCTGATCTCGGGCGAATTACATTTTCATACCCCAAACTATGGGATTCTTACAAATTCATACCCCCCCATCTTACACTTTCATACCCCTCACCAAAAAAAATGGGGTATGAATTTGTAAGATACCATTAATAGGGGTATGATTTTGTAAGTTGCCATCTATAGGGCGGCTTGGTGTTAGGAATTATTCCTTCGGGCTGGGGCCCTTAGGGCTTGGGTGTCTGCAGCGTGAAGTGCAAATACCCCTATTTAACCCTTTAGCGGTAACTCGGGTTACTAACAATTGGGGTAGGTAGCCTAGAACACCCTAAATATCCTTTTAATGAGATATAGGTATAGGGATAACTACATCTACAAGTTGATAATATTCTACATTTTTATACCCTAAGGAATGGTAACTTACAAATTCATATCCCTTTTTTTTTGGTGAGGGGTATGAAGATGTAAGATGGGGTATGAATTTGTAAGAATCCCATACACAGTCAAGCCAGTCAGTGTTGGTGGTGCTCCTTTTCAGCTGCCTTCATATTGGGCAATGAGCAATGAGCCTGCTCGTTCGCCCACAATCATCTCATTTTGAAAAAGCACCTCTTTGTCCAAAACTGGCACGAAGGGTATTCTTTCTCTTTTCCTCTACAGAAGCAAGAAGTCTCTTACTCGAATTATAAGAATCATCATATCCCCATTGAGAGTTTTTGAACTTTGCCTTCGACATATACAAGTTATTTGTCATGTTGCTGCTCACTTTTGCGCTATATAGCCTTATTGGCATTGCAATAGCCTTGTCTTCGCATATCATATCATCTGCGACGCTGTCTGGCAGCTCTTACAATTTCCCGTCTAATTCCTCAATTTTCAACGCCAGTTCCTCTGCTCTCTTAACTACTACGACTTCTACTTTTGCAAAGTCTACGAGGATCAGCAACAGTACAGGTTTTATTAAATTCCGTGGGCACCTTTTCCAGTGCTACGACTTCCAGCACGTTCTTTAATACCACGACTTCAAGCACACAATCGAATGTCGCGGCCTCGAGCACGTCCTCAAGCTCTATTAGTACAAATCCTAGTACAACCTCGAGCGTCTCAAATCCCAGTACGACGAGCAACTACAATGCCACCACCCCGGATGTGGCTTTGGCAAACTTGACGCTACGGATTGGCAGCAGGATGACATTGACACCTGGCTACAAAGCTGGTCGAGCAGTGTCCAACTTACTCCAAACACACAGAACTTAACCACACAGTTACTTAATAGCTTCGCGCCAGACGTTTCGAACAGTGCGTTTACTTGTAATGTCTTTCAGCAATGCTTGGTAAGATTTGGCCTTGCCCGTCCTGAGTATGATCTGCTAACAGCATCACACTAGTTACCAAGTTGCCAGAGTATGGATTTCCAGCAGGCACCCTCCCGCGAGGCGTATCTTGTATTAGACGCTATCGCCAATTTCAACAATTATCTCGAAGCATTGGTTACGGGCATCGACAATGCTCAAACAGACAGTAATTCCTTCACCGACAAATAGGTCACCCAGTTCTCCTACACTACCGTTCAGCCGGCGTCCACATCCCGCATCTTGGAGATCTTGAATGACAGAGCAGCTGGTCTGCTCATCCTGCTGACCATTGCCTCTGTGGCTGTGCCGCTACTTGGCGAATTGACCATCGCTGGTGCCAGTGTTGCTGCCACTACTCAGGCCGTAGGTGCCGGCGCAGGTGCTGCAGCTGGTGTACAGAGTGGAATATTACCCGCCGTTGCGAATGCCTTACCATCAGCACAGTGAGTGCAAGATTTTCTCACCTGACCATGGTGCAGTGAGGCTGAATTATTTGGTAGAGACGTGAGCTTCACCACCGCGGCAGATCTAGGTGCATACATTGGCAATGTATCAGAAACAACGAGAAGTACGGTGTATTCTCAAGCAATGCAGCTGTTCCCTGGAGCTGCCGATGCGGGTGGTAGTCACATTTGGGATTACCTCAAAGACGGGCAAGTGATGTTCTGGAACGCTTGTGTACAACACTGACTGTCAAGACAGCGCCCTCGTCAATCCGAATGCATACAATGTGGAGGACGTGAGCAGCTTCATGCTACAGCAATACGTTTTCAACGCTATCAACTTTCTGTGGAAGCAAGAGAAAACTTATATCCTAGCTGCAGATTCATCCGATTGCGGTAATGACCAGCGAGGACCTCAAGAGTCGTATATCGTACTTCCGAGAGACCAGTAGTTCAACTAACTTGAATGCAAGGAAATCATGTATCGACGGCGATAATGCAGTGTATTACGCATATATATAATCTATCTACCAAATATCAGCTCGAAAACTAACAAAACTAACACACTTCAGAATACCCAACATAGGAACCGAGTATAAAGGTGTCATAAAGGAAGGGGACTTATTTGATAAAGGTGACGAGCCAGCGCGTGAAGTAAGCTTAAAGCTGTAGTTGTCCGTATCGCAGGTGTTGACGGGTTCGCAGGCGAATTCGTACATGACGTTTACAGGATTGGGGCGAAGATGGGCGAGGCGTTGAAGATGCCGTTGATACGATCCTGCCAGAAGGTGGAGCCGTAGGTCTATATAAGTTAGAGATTCGGGTTTTGTGTAGAGTCAACGGCTTGAGAGAGGATGCACGTAACTGAACATCACGGATGCAATTCAGCGTGGTGTGAGTGCCTTCTCAGATGTGCTAGCTAAGCCTTCTGGACAGATCAATCCGACGTTCCGCAACTTCGCAAGCAAGTTGCATCCGCAACGTCGAAAGCCACTGCCAGCGCGTGCACACCTCCGTATCAATCTTTACTCAATGACGACATCACCCAGTCTCTGATCCTGTGCTATTGAGCGAGTCTAGCATATACCACTTTCTCACAGCTCCATATCCCAACTTGCCTCTAACGCTATGAAGCACATCAAAGTACGCGCTATGCCATTCTTGCTCCTCCCGAAAGAATTTTGGCAACCCGTTCTCTCCGAGTACCTCTCCCACATCTGCCCACGTGAGCCTTCTGTAATCCCACCCAGGACTGATTTCGAAGATCATGGTGTTGATGCGACTGCCTGTCTTCTGAGTGAACTTTCCGTCTAGCAAAGCCGCCGCTTCCTTTTTCCCTGCAGCGATCTGGGCTGCTTCGAGAGTCTGCAGAATCATCTCTGGCGAGAGTACCCAGGCGCCAACGTTGATTTTTAGGGATAAGGCGTCACTGATGCTCCACGTCACTGTCCAGTAGCCGACTTCGGTTGAAAGGTTCGTGGATGACGAACCAGATGCTATGTTGGAGTCGCTGGTATTCACTCTCTGAGCCACTTCTGGTCCGATCGAGCTGTTGAATGTCTGTGGAAGAGTAATGGAAAGGTCATTACCAGCATCGGGTAGATAGGAGAAGGCAGACTGTGTGGGGGCCGATGATGTCAAACAAGAGAGAACGATGAAGAAGCTCAGAGATGCAGCAACACGCCGATGGAGATGCATGTTTGTGAGACAGTTCAAATCACGAAGACTGTTTCTGTCCGTCTTGAAATTCTGGGCATCGTGATGAGAATAAGAAGTGTGTCGAAATTATTAATCGTATCGCGCGTGAGCGCATTTGACCACAGATCCCTGCTGGCGATACCAGAAACATTTTGAAAGCAACACAACGGCAACTACTCACTTTCAGCACGCGAGCTTACTCAGTTTGTAGACTCACCGCTGCAGTCGTGCCGTCCCAGACTTTGGAGGAGCTGGAAGCTATGGCATCTGGCTTGCTTGGTTGAATGTGGACGGCGAGACAGGGCGAATTTATCCAAATAATTTTGAAGTATCTGCATGATTGAAGCGTTCTCTCGTCTGTGTACCTTTCGTATATGTCGCCTCGTATCTCACGATTTCGTCCGCCATTTGGAAGCCAAAGGTGCGCACCGAAAGCGTGTCCTCTCCAAAGGCTCACCAAAAGCGCTTCCACCGTTTTAGTGGGCGCTTTGTAGAGTATGGATTAGAAAGCGTTTGAATTGGGAGACGTTTGACTCTTATGAAGGCATATACGAGTAGTGAGAGGTGGAACGAGAGGCTTCCCAGCGGTGAGCTACTTCATCGCTATCAATTCGCAGACTGCGTATGCGATCTCATCGCATCAGACGTAGCGCCAGGTCTGAAGATGAAGCAAACTTCTTCATAAATTACCAACTCCCCCTCCCTCCCTGCCAGCACCATCGAGATGTTCTCTGCAGACGCGAACCCGTGTCTTTCGTACAGCGAACCAGCATCAACAGTACTCTCTAGGTACGCGGGAACGTTATCTTGCTTGGACTGCCGGAGGCCCCAATGTAACAAGAGGGAAGCTGCACCACGACGCTCGTGTAGAGGGTCTGTCCCTATGAAGGTGAGGCCTAGAGTCGGGTGAGCAACCGATGATTGCGGTTACAAACAATTTGCGAGGAATGGCATTGGAGCAGATGGCCTCATCAAGAGAGAAATCTTCTGCCTTCCGATACTTCCTCCATACACAGGGAACTGCGAACCCAGCATCACGTAGATCGCATGAATATTGTAAACAAACTTACGGTAACAAGCCCCCTCCCCCACCACCCTTTCCTTCGCACCCTCCACCACCCTAGTCCACCGATCCAACACCTCCAAATTCGTCCCCTCCGGCCACACCCACGGCGCCTCCACATACGTCTCCCCTTCCCGAACCGGCAGGCTCCATTTGGCGAAACTGACAACCTCACCGTTCCCACTCTCATCGTCTCTCACGACGAGCACGGCCGTCTTCGGATCTCTGATGTCGGCTAAGGCTTTTGCCGCGATGCAGAGTTGAAGCCTTTCGCGGACGGTTGGGGTGGGGAATTGAGCGAGCAGCATGGCGTTGGTGCCGAAGGCGGCCATGTGGATGGCGGCGATGCGGGAGGCGTCGGATTGGGAAGCCGGGGACATGCGGAGAGGCATGGCGAGTGTGGTTGGTTTATGTCCGGTACTGTTTGGGTGTGAGGTCTATTCAATGAGGGTGGATAGCTAGGGAATCTATTGGAGGAAAGGGCAGTCTGGGTCGTTGACATGTTTTATCTTTGACCCAATGGAGAGTATTATTCAATCGAATGGGTGGATTTTCCATAGGGAGGGAGGATGACTCATGCAGAGCAGCAGAACGATGAACTTTCGCTTGTATCTTGATGATATAAGATTGATCGCTACATCAGTCGGATGTTCTGGCAGTGCGACTACAGTCCACCACTTTGCTTACAACAGCACGAGTACAGCCCTACTCAAGACATACATCACGCTCTTAAGACGTGACCCCGAAGCGACTCTGCCCACTTCGTATATATATCTCTACAAGTACGAGGGCGTTCATTCTTTATCAAACGCGGTCTTAGCACCACCCATACTTCTCGTTCCCAAGCCATTCCAGTGTGTCCTCCTTACCGCTACCTTCTCCGTACCAGAGAAGGCTAGCAATACCCTCATGCTCCCGCTCTATCCTGCGATGCTGGATTCTTGTTCGTCCTACCAATTCCAGGACCAGGGGCGTAGGGTCCCACATCAACACACGATGTAACTTCCACTCGGCGGCCTCGTCCTGGGCGGCCTGAAGAATAGCTTTCATCTGCTCAACTTGCCTTTCAGATTGCTCTGCGTCACGTATGCCTGTAGTAGCTTGATTTTCGATCACTAGCCGTAATATATAAAGAGTATTCTCAGAAGAAGCAGACTCCGGGTCTCCATAAAAGCGGTGGGTCCAAATAGCCCATACTCGATTACCAGCCTGCCCCACGATCGCTCCCTTGATCTGAGGCTTCTTTCCAAAGAGCTTTTCACACACGAATCCTTCTTTCTTGTGATGCCAAAGCATATGGTCAAGATCCGGCACGAGCACCATGCGTGTCTTTCCAGTGGTTGATGTACTGGTCAACTCTTTACGAATCATAGCTTCGTCTTCTTCACAAAGTCGTTCAAGGTTTCCAGGCAGAAGCTGTGTAGCTCTTGGTGCGTCCGGGGCCGCAGATGGGTCGAGCTCGATATGCGTATTGATAGGAAAAGGGTGCCACCCAAGGTCTGCGTAGAACTTCTTCCCAATATCAGAGTACAGCACACTCCCAATGGATTTCGTCGTTTCGGCCTGAAAGGTGCGCAAGATTTCTGCCAACTCCCTCATCAAGCGTGAGCCATAGCCACGACGTCTCAGTACTGGGTCGCAGAAGACACTGGCAACACCATGGATAATGTTCTCGCTGAGATTGCCACCTGTATCACTGAGGAATGTACGCTTGCGAAATGTTTCACAGGAGCATAGGATTGGCCGCTGGTCCGGAGGCAGGGTCTTATCAGTCAATATCCAATTGGTCATTACTCCATCTTTTGCCAAATCGAGGTATTGCGGTAAGGATAGGGCGTCTGTCCAGGCAAGGGAGCTGAGCTTCCAGACAGTCTGACACTCTCCGGGTGTAGGATGACTGAGATGAAGAACAGGGGATCGTGCTTCTGGTAACGTCGCCCAAGATGTTTCCAAAGAGCCCATATTTATATAATATACATCAATAAGCGATCAGTGCTCTAACCATAAGCAAAAATTTCAAGAAAGAGCGGGTAGTAGACGGCTATACTCGTACAATATAGAGCGGTGAAATATGCAGCAGAATTATACGCAACAGGAATATATGGTACACAGCTGCAAAAAACTAGAATTAGTTGAGGCTCAGCCATGAGCACTGAGCATACTTATAGTGCACCCTTGTACGGGTGATAAGTGACTGCGCATGTTAGCTGCATATGCAGTAGGGTTGCAGATTCACACCCCCACCCGAGGAGTTGATCCCGCGGTGATGGGTTCGCAGTAGTCAAAGCGGCAAGATGAAACGGGCTGGTGCGGGTACAATACAGCAGGAGGGTGGTATCCCGAAGATCGACGGCGCTGAATATGCAGGAGCATTTGAGAAATGCGCAGTGATTTGTGATAACCATATTTATTTAATATTGTCGTTGCTGTAGAGAGCGCTGGGTAGTTGTTGACTTTGGATGACAGCGGGACCGAGCTTCGCTCGCATAGCTCCCTTCACCCTTGTTGTATAGACTAGCGCTAGCTCTGTCACTAGACGTTAGGTAAACATGTCTCGGCCATCTCACCCTCATGCAACTGATAGCAATCATTCTACCTACTGCCAAACCCACATCTGCATTGCCCCTGCATGAATGGAGTTGTGTGAGCAGGGTTGTACAGTATTCGGCACAGAGTACCGATCCGCCAATGATCTACTCCGTAGCGTATCATGGTCCCGAAGTGATGGTCAAAAGGGGTTGCACTCGCCCTTCCTCCTCGTCACAAAGTCCGAAAAGGATGGTGTGCGGAGATATGTGATTGGAGTGATGATACTAGGGTCTTACCCTTGTCACGGTGGTAGCCAGTGATTTCGCCCTGCAGCGAAGCGCCACGAGCGGGGCAGTGCTACCTCTTTTAGACACCATACATTGACGACTTGCTTCTAAGGTGCAGTACACTGCTTTCCATGTGTTCTAGATCTGCATTGTTCTCGTGGTCAATCGACTCAATGTACAGCTGCCCTGGACGGTCTCTTTTCCTCCATGTTCTATAACAAATTTTGAACTTTTGTCGCTGGTGAAATTGCGGCGGAAAGCCTATGGGGCCCAAAAATAAAACGATATGCAGAGCTGGCCTATCACCTTTGCACTGTGCTCTATGATCAGCCTCCACCTCTGAGACTGAGACGAAAACACTCCCTAATTTAAGGATCTAACCTTTCATGGAGAGCTCCTAGAGTGCTCTTTTGGGGCCTCCCAACATCTACGAGCGTATCGTAAAGGTGGCCTACGGTTAGATTACTTTGCGCTGACCCACCGAAGAGATCCCCGCAACTGTAATGCAGAGCAAGCATGGATCCCATAACAGCCCTCGGCTTACTATCCTCAGTGTCACAGCTCATCCAGACCAGTAATTCTCTCTTGGAGTTAATGAAGAGTTTCAAAGATGCCGAGAAAGAAATCCTTGAACTTTTCAATGATGTCTCGATTTTCGACGAAGCTCTCAAGGGCTTCGATCGCGTGTTGCGAAGCCGCCAAACGAGACACAACATATCTGCAAAAGTCATACATAGCGCGCTTCAAGACGCTCTCGCAACAATCCAAGATCTGAAGACGAGATTGGTACAAATGTCGAAGTCCGAAGTCTCACCTATGCGTCGAATGAAATGGGTGCAACACAAATCGGGCCTCAAAAAGCTTCACGACCGCATCAAAGAGCAGAGTGCAATGCTGCAAAGTTTTTTGGCATTAGCGCATGCGTTCGTAGCCCCATCTTCCAAAGTGACTGCGGATTGACTCATACAAGTCTTTAGAGAAACATTCCTTGCGGTCTGCAGCCAACATCCAGAGTTCCTCCAGATCGGCTCAACAGACGATGGAGAAAGCGACTCCGCATCTCTCCAGGATTCCATAATATCTGAACCTTCAACGCTTGCATCTGGCAGCTCGACATCCTCGCTTCGGAGAATATCTATCGATACTACTGCGTCATCTGTTGGAAGTTCGACCTCGTCACTACAGAGGCTTTCAATTGATACCTCACCGACATCTCCATTGGTCCAGAGTTTTGTGGACAGCGTCCACGTCCACCACGAGGCGAACCAGACGACAAATGTCGACGGTCATTCAACAGACGCATTGGCAATTCGTCGAGCGTGCCGATATGACTGTTTTTGCAAATGCCACGCACGGAGTACGCCTATTCCAATTAGAGGTTTGTCGAAGGTCAAACCGCCGCAGTATCAGTGCAGCGAGCCCAGCTGTCAAGGTGCAAAGTCATTTGGGGAAAAGGTTGTGGTCCCTTCTACATTCTTCCGCAAAGCCATTTCACAGGTGATGTCATCCAAAAGTATCAAGGTTCGCTATGACCTGAACACTTATCGAATGGTATCAGAGGGGTCGGACGCAATGCGATATGTAAAGCATGGCAATCTGGAGAAGCTGAAAGCCTGCATCAAATCTGGAGAGGCTACTCTATGGGACACGGCGCCAGATGGATGGTCTCTTCTCCACGTGAGTTCAATCAATGGAAAATATGAGACAAGCTTATCGTATTTAGACCGCTGCCTACAATCGACAACTACCCATTGTGAAATACCTTGTAGGACTTGGTGCTGATACTGAAGCTGCTGACATTGGGACACGGTTCGTTGCAGTCGATGAAAGTTTCCAAGCTCACGAAGCTAATACTTGCGAATAGCAAACCTGCTGACCTAGCTATCTTGAAATCGCTGGGCGCGGACTCGACACGTGTTGAACAAGACATTGTGGAAGTTTTTTCTCAAAAAGATGACTATATCAGTGATTTTGAATTCACGCCAATTCACATTGCTGTTCTCGACATTTATAAGCCTACAGACGTGGAGCGCCCAACGCTTGAACAGTAAGGAATTTCTTGGACTGCGATATTTTTCCTATGAGCAGCACCCTTCCTGAGCTGTGAGAGCTTTTCTCCTTCCCAATCGTGTTTTACAGCTCATAGATTGTGTCTCGCAACTCCTGGTCTTCGCTAAGTCAAGCAATACTGACTTAGAAATCAGGCTCATAGAACTCGTCGACGATGCTAACAACGCTCCTGCAGGAACGGACTGGGCTAAGTGGAAAATAAGATACCGAAAGAGGTCCCCACTGTTCGGTGAAATCATTGAGCTCTTTCGAGCTTTGGCATCCGAGAAACCAAAGACTCCCAAAATCATTCACAACCTCCTCGATCAGAAAGACAGAAAGTACTGCTGGACGCCCTTACACTGGGCCAGTTCGGCTGGACGAACAGACAAAATGAAGATCCTCATGGACCACGGCGCAGACCCTTTTATATTATCAAATTTGGATGCCAACATCATACACGCTGCAGCAGAGTCTAAGGCACTGAGTGGCTTGGTTAGCGCTCTTGAAATCTGGAAACAATATCCGCAGCGGCTCAATATCAATCAGGCCAACCGCTGGGCAGAAACACCGTTGCATGTGGCTGCCTGGGGGTCTGTGGAATGTGTTCGGCTTCTTTTGGAAGCAGGAGCGGACCGTAATGTTCGACAAGAGGACCAGCAGGTTCCGCTTCATTGTGCGGGTTTATCGACGCGAGGTGATATCAGACGAGATATTGTTGCTCTACTTTGTGGCGGAGAGAGTGGACCGCATATCAATGCGCAAGACGTGGACGGCCGGCCACCAATGTTCGATTTCTTAGATGATCCCAAGTGCATGGAAATGTTGATCAATGCCGGTGCGAGACTCGATGTGTTAGATACCTCCGGAAAGAGCACATTCCATCACGCGTGCATACAGGACGAAACCGAATCACTGAAATTGCTTCTCAGTCTATCTCCTCCTGACTCCGTAATGGTCACAGTGAAAGACCACGACGGCAACAGTGCGCTCATCCACGCTCTTCGCCACGGCAGCGCAGAGAGTGCGATGATTCTGCTAAAACTCGATAACGTGGGAGACATCGTCGGTCAAGACGGATGGGCGGCAGTCCACCACGCTGCGAAATTGGGCAATCCCGACGTGTTGGAGGCGGTTTTGAAGCATTCGAGTTTCGTGAAAGGCATGAAGACTATTGACGGGAAGACTGTCGAGGTTGTCGCTATGGAGTCGGGGAATTGGTGTGGGAGAGTGAAAGAACTGCTGAGGAAGTACAACTCGGTGACATGATACGTCCGGAGACTCGACTCGATGTCTCGACGGCAGGCAAGCGGTCAGGAAAAGTGGCAGCCCGAGGCGCTGGAGGTTCCATGTTCTACGTCGATTGGGGCATCGACCTGGAAATATTTGTCATTCACGTCTAGACTTGTACCAAGAAGAGCATTGGACGGCGGGAAACCTCATGGTTGGTCTGCTTTCAACGATCATTTGGGGATTTGCGAAATCGATCAAGCTCCAACAGCTCCACAACGCGACGTACGGCGAGTTCCCTGAACCGCAAACTTCGACGAACCGACACCCTTTTCAATCTTCGTACCCAAAGCCCTCGCGAAGAGATCTCTCGATCAACATGTTCGGGTGCACAACAAAGAGCATAACTCAAATTCTTCAGCCCATCTACCAAAGGAAGCCGAACCTCAAAGCCAACACCTCCAAATACAACCACCATGATCCATCCACCTGCCCCGCCACCCCTCTCCGCACCTCCACGACACTCACCCACTTCCTCCGAGACCTTGCGGACGAGTCCCATGACACTCGGCAACTCTGTACGTCCCTCCATCCAGCCCACCAACGACCACACCGTGCTCAAACCCGCCACTCAGAGCCGAAACCCTCATCGGTCGGATCCAGCCTCCGCGTTGCAAAGACGGGTCATACGACCCACGGCGAGGCAGATGTCCGGTCCGGTACGGTTAGGGAAAGAAACCCCACGCACGTTTCCATTCCGTTGTGCAGAGGAGGCAGGGCAGAAGGTCGAAACACATGGACGGAGCGCATTTGAAAACCGACAGGTCGTACGCCCTTCGCGATGGTGACGGTTAAGCACAGTAGTTCGGAGTATGTGAATGGAAATTGCGCGGTTCGGAAGGAGGGCTGGTAGAGGAGAGCGAAATGAGAGCTCGTGTATATAGTTAACGATGGGAGTTGTCTTACCCGGACACATATCTGCAGCACTTTGAGCGATCTTCTTGGAGAACATAGGTAGGGGAGGGGAGCTTCACGGCGCAGCTAGGCGAACACCAGCGCTGGCGGTCAGAGGGAAGCAAAGCCATGATGGGCTCGTGGTCAGGGACGAGAGGACATTTGCGTTGGCAAGTCTTGCCCGAGCTTCAGGGAGTCCTGGTTCCTATGCATCGCGACCCATGGCGAACAAGAAGGGATAGCGAGTAAACACTATCGATACACATACGACGTGTATGATAGGCGTGCATATAATACAATTGCTCATCTAATCAACCTTCAACCCCTCTAACCTTGCCTCGGTAGAAATCACATCCATCGCCTGCCTCACCTCCAGCACCCTCCTACACTCACTCAACCAGTCCCAGCTCAGCGTCTTCGCCCATCCATCCAGCGTATTCATCTCTCTAGCCGCCTCATCTAGATTTCCCTCTTCCAGCAGCGTTTCCGTTCTCGTAAGGATACTTTCTACGTCATCGCCGACCGTCATACCCGTCTTTTTGAACATGAATTTACTCAGCACGAAACTAGCTGCATGGCTAGCCACGCCGGCATCCTCAGGTAGGAGAGATGCTTTCCGGACTTCGGCGGCGACGCGGCGGAAACGGTCGATGAGTTGGGCGGTGGTTGGAACCCCGCGTTGGTAGGCTGTTGGGTTTATGGAAGCGATGGCTGCGTTAACGACGGCGTCATCGGAGGCGATTTCTTTAAGGGCGGCAAGCTCACGAACGAACGGGCGAGGACGATCAGCGGTCTCAAGACTAGAGCGCACGGCTTCGACGGCGACTTGCAAGTGTTGGGTCTTGAGGTTCGCATCAATGACCGAATTCCAGTCCGCGGTCAGCTTTTCGAGCTCGGTTACGCTAGATGAGAGGTCAGATAGTTTGGAGAGGCGACCGTTCCGTTCGGTTTCAACGCGATCGGTGACTTCGTTGATAAATTGCTTTTTCATGGCAACAGCTTGCTGGAGGAGTTCATTGCGGAGGCGCTGCTCGGAAAGTTGTTGAGCTCGTTGGCTTTCATTATGCAGACGCTCTTGGTAGGATTGGACTATTTTTTCCCGCTCCGATTCGAATTCGTCTTTCCATTTGCCGTCTTGATCCCTCATTTCCTCTTCGAGGCGGCGTACGAGCTCTTTGGCTGCAGTGTCAAACTCCGTTTGGGTGGATCTGATTTTCTCTTCTGCAGACTTCCTGACGGCTTCCTTTAGAGACATTATACGACCACCAACACTTGCAAGAGCCGTTTTTGCTTTGCCAATCGTGGAATTGTATTTGTGTGAGGCACCGTCGGCATTTACTACGGTGATGATATCGTTGATGATCTTCACTAGATCCTGCACTATGGGCTCATCGGCGTTTTTGATCTTAAGTGGATCGATACTCTCCATCGGCATGAACCTGCTAGGCTCATTTACCTCTGGTGGTCTTTTGGATGCATCTTTAGAGCTTTCTGAAGGTTTTGGAGGAGGCGGAACAGGCGCGGGCGGCTTTGGTTCTGTGGTTGGCGGTGGCGCTTTGGGAGGAGCTTTTTCGGCTTTCGGCTTTTCACTTGGAGGAGGAGTCTTCGGAGCCGGTCCGGCATCATTCTTCGCCTTTTCAACTGCCTTGTTCTTCTCAGGTCCTGTAGCAGTAGAGGGTGTCTGTCCGGCAACCCCTATCTTGACCTCACCTTGATTCGCATCCAAAGCGCTCATATGGCGGCCTTTCGTCTGCAAATCGGCTCCCTGATGTTCCTCACCAGCAACTTTCCAGGATACCCCACTTTTGCTCGGTATCGTGATCTTATTGCCAGAGTCGGGGAATGGACGATTGGTAGGATTCGTGAGTTTTGGGAACCGTCTGCGGAATTCTCTTTCTTCAAAATAGAGCACCGCGTCTTCTCCGAATGGGATGTACTCGGTGAAGAAGTCATGAAAGTTGTCTGAGCGTAAAGAATAGAAGGTCCCGCCTGCGAAACCCAGAGCACTTGCCAGGATCAGGAACGAAACGGTATTTCGAATCCATCGAGACCTTCGCCTGGGTGGAGGTGGAGGTGGAGGTGGAGGAGGTGGAATTGCCGCAGCAGGCTTGTCCGATGGTGGAGTAGTTGGAGGGATGGGAGCTGCACCGGTCCCCGGAGGCACTGAGGTAGGTGGTGCTGTCTGAGTCTTGCCTCCAGGCGGGGTTGGAGGCATAAGAGGGACATTTTGAGGTGGTACCGAAGCGTCAGAGGTAGGTGTAGGCGGTGAAGGTTGCGCAGGTGAGGCGGATAGTACAGGCCCAGGTGGAGGAGGTTGAGGTTTGGTCGCAGTGGTGCTCTGTGTTCCAGGAAGAACGATAGCGTCGGAATCGTGTATGCTAGGCTTTGTGTTTGTGTCTATCTTTCCTCTATTCGCAAAGGACCTCTGCAGAGCCAACTGTCAGTGCCAGTTCAAGCTCGTGTGATTGCAGGAGGTGTACCTGGAGAATGATCTGGTTCAGACGCGTTCCGGGCCATTGAGTCCTAGATCTTGGGCCAATCGGCCTTCGGACCACTTGCCTGGTAAGAGGCAGAGCTTGGTGAAGCATTGCGAGCTCTGCGCACCTTTGCGGAGAAGGATGACTTAGCAGGGAAGCTGTCAGAAAACTTCCCATAAGTCGCGGAATGTTTCTGGAGACGGATACGCTAGAGCCAACGAGGTTAAAGTGTGTGCCAAGACTGGGAGTGAGAGATGACTCTCAGCTTTGAATCTTGCACACTTTTGCGCGTACTGACCAGAACGAATTGGTCAATACATTCATGTCGAGCAATGCTACATGAAGGATATTCGACGCAGGAAAATGATTTCTCCTTCATTGAGATTCATGCCGCTACACCCCTTACTTTTGCTAGCAGCATGCCTGCTAAGTTCTCGAAATCCCTCCACAGTCCTGGGGAATGGAATTATTGATAGTCAAGTAGATGTGATAAATATACACTATGATGGTATCGTAACGCCTACAGCAGTAGGATGCTCGCTGAATCGCATGACCGATGAACATGGTATCCAGGGTAAATCTACAACCAAAACAGCCACCTCAACCCCTCTACCAAACCGGCGAGGGTGCCACGGACAAGCCGAACAATTACCACCACTAGCCAGACCATCCACATGATGCCTAGTAGAGTCCATTCGACCGTCGCCCATCCTATCCTTCTCAGGTATCTCAACCTCCGGCGGCGTCGCCTTAGGACAGTGTTTATGCTATCGTTCAGCTGCTTGATGGCCAAGGTATGTGTAGTTGTAAGCTCTGTGCTGAAGGCGTCTGCATCATCCGCGGAATTTCTCACGAGGGGTGTGAGCTTATGGGTTACATGCTCGTCGATAGCATTGATCTGGTCATGCAATTTCTCAATCGTGGTGTGAGAAAATTGCTCAGCATCATCCCTCAATCTCTGGGTATTTACCTCAATATTGCTGATCACTATCCTTGCAGCGAGTAAAGGCTCCTGTGACCGAGAGACGTGTGGTATGGGACCCTTGAACATGCCCTCAAGCCTTTGAAGGAAGGGTGCGGGTTTTTCGGGGGCCTCCTCCGCTCGGCGGGATATTTCGTTGGCTTTCACTCCTGACGAGAGCAGCAAAGCTCTGACTCGAGCAATATCGCGCTTATTGACAGTCCCGCGTACGGTAGAGACGCCTCGATCGGAAATGCTCCATTGTCGTTTGCCTTCCAAGTCCGGGCGTCCTCTCAATTCTCGTGGCCTACTCTCTAAACTTGCGAGACCAGTGGGCGGAGCTCGTCCAGTCCCTGCTTTGCCAGGAATACTTAGCATTGCGTTGAGCCTTCTGTCTGCACTGCGTACTCCACGTTCTGAGCGGCTACTACTGCTTTGGCGAGAGTCTTCATCATATGTTCGTCGTGTCCGCGACCCGACTGGAGAGGGTTCTCGAGAAGAAGGGGGCGATATCCCCCTCAGATCAATTTTCGGCGGCGCAAGACGATCAAATCTGCTTGACCTTCCTCTTTCACGTTGTGCTAACTGCTGACGGGTGATGTGATCGTGATCCGGAGAAGCCTTGGTCGATTTAGCGGACTGCTCATCTCTGTTGAATGACGATCGAAAGCTTGGAAGATTGCTCATGTAGTATCTAGGTTTGTCGCTGTTTGTAGACACTTTTGACAGGCTTCCTCCATCTTTTGTTGTGGTCCGAGATAGGTCATTCTTTGGACTACTGTCTAATCCACTCGTGTCACCATCGTCCATGTCCGATTCCTCCGATGCTGCGTAGCTTGATGCTGGAGAAGCGACCCGAGAAGCATGATTGTTGTCTTTTCTCCATAACATATCGCCAACTTTAGAGACCTCGCTGCCTACCAGCTCTGCAATCCTGCCGCCTTTGAAAAGTCCTCGGAGCCTAGAGTCGGATCCATTGATGTTCTTGATGCTTCTAATGGAATTGCCATCTAGAGGCCTGTATTTAATGCCTGCAGCTTCAGTCTTGATTGGGGTGAGTAATCCATTGCTTGATCCCGTTGGTTGCTCCTTGCGTAACATGTTCGCCAGTTGAGTTTCGTTAGTAGTCTGCCGCGACACATCGGTCGTCCCACTTGAGTCTGGATCGTTCTCTCCAATAGTTCGCCTATTGACGCTTCGAGAGCGATCGCGCCGGGAAGATCCCATTCGAGATGTCAACGTTTTCTTAGGCGAGGCTACCGCCGATGGTGGGCTTGCCGGCGGAGATAGGTTGATTGAGATGCTAGGAACGAATCCAGGTGCCGTAGGAGAGTTAGGCGCTGTCGGATCGAGGTCATCTGAGGGCATGCGATGATAATGAAATCGGTCTTCGTCGAGACTTGCCCTGGCTGCAAATCGACGCTTTTCTATAACGGGCACATCGGTTGTCATTCGTTGGGGAGCACTTGGACGACGTTTGGCGTCTCGATGCCTATATCTGTCCCTCATCCCGCCATCATGAGGCTTCAGATCAGGCTCCCCCGTCGCATCTGTGTCTTCTTCCGGGCTCTGGTCAACTTGACGGCTAGCTTCCACCTCCTTAGCAAGCATTTCCATCATCTGCTTCTCCAACGCGGCACTCTCAAGATTATCACGGCTACCAGCATAATCACGGCCACGATTTTGTTTGCGGCGGCTCTCCCGGTGAGAATCGTCCGAGTCTGAGGAGCTTCGAGATCGAACGAGCTTCTTTGGCCATCTGGACTTACGATCCCGAGAACCATTGTCTTCCGACACCGGTGATCTTTGCTCGTGCACGTCTAAGCTTCGACGTCCTCGGTCCTTGGAATCCTTACGGGAGTGACCGGCCAATGCTCGAACCCTATCGGGAGATGCATGTTCTCTGACAATACTCTCGGAGCGTCGCAATGAGCTTCTGTTCGACTCGACACTTGCTCTCGGCGTATTGTCTTTACGATTTGGGTGACCTGTCGTAATCTTCTTGCCCGAACGATCTTCTATGTGATCGAGATTGTCATCCTGGGTGAGCCATTGCGCGTCCGCAAGCAAGTCCCATGAAGTAAATTCCCAATCCATACGCGGTCTTTCGACTTTTCTGATTTGAGAGCCTGCCGGAAGTGGAACGCGCGAAATCTGTAAGCCATCGGCCACAGGATACTCGCCACTAATTGTGTCCAGGGATGGCAAGGGGAAGCGTTGGTCGATACGAGAGACGCCGTCTTCTCGCTCACTTGCAACTGTATCTACCCAGATCCTTACTCGGTCGAGGTCTTTCCACCCAGCTGCTTCAGCATCCAGAGGTCGTCTTTCACGAAATCGAACTTTTCTGTTGCGGATATACTGCAATGGATTGTAGAGTCTTCCAAGGCCAGTCGACGGCTCACCTTCGTGCTTTGCAGCACCTTTGCTCGTTGCTGGTTTGCTCTTAGAGTTTGTCGGTATTGGAGGAAGATACTGCAGTAGCCTTCTGTACTCATACATCAATTCTATCGCGACTCTTGCCTTGTTCGCGCGTGAGAGTGTAGCATCGGACGCATCGAAGACGACATCATCGGCCACCCCAGCGTCATAATCTGGCAATAGTGTAGAGTGCCTGTTCCCAACCTGTTCTTTCTGGGAGTGTGGTGAACCGGATCCAGACCCTTTGTTGCTGGAAGATCTGCCTGATTTTGGCGATATATTCCTTGACACCTGTCTCTGCTGTTGCAAATGTTGGCGTAGACTTCCTCCGCTTGCGCTGTTAGGTAGCCCGAGCGTTTGCTGTCCCGAAGATATGATACGCCGGGCTCCAATTGCATCTCGAGGTATGAGTAGGCCACCACTGCTGAAGTTCCTGCGACGACTTTCGCTGAGGTTCAACGCCAGGGTGACGATCTGGGCAGGGTCTGTATCATGGCCAATGGCGCTTCTCCCATTTGATAGCAATACTGGATCCGTGCTAGTGGCAGACCCGGCAGATGTACCATTGCTATTGAGACTTGAGCGCATGCTTTGCCTAGCAGCCGATTGTACTGAAAACCGCTTGTCTCTCTGGAAAGCTCCATTTTTATCTGTATGATCCGATGAATGGACGTTGATGACCTCCGTAGCTAGCGGTGAGCTTCCCAAAGAAGGTTTCTGGCGGTGTCTCTGATGAGCGCTTGCACGCTTAGGCACGACTAAGTCCCCTTCCTCAGCCTTCCGCTTCCCTTTCACATCTCTAGTAGTATCTGGTTCCGTATACGAGGAGCGTCTTGTTTCCGAAGCAGGAGCAGGGGTTGTCTGTAGCAGGAACCCTCCCGAGCTCCTCGGTCTATGCCTCCGTTGTAGGGGCTCATTTTGGGCCAGATTCGCGGTTAGAGTAGCCTTGCTTTCGGATTCTGTTGTTGCTTGATCATGTCTCAAGCTATTGGTGCTATGGATGCCACTCGCATTTGTTGGTACCCCTAAGGCGGAGGGAGCGGACGAGCCGCTAGATTCGCCGGACATGGCATCTTAGAAGCGTCGCAGAGAGAACTATTGAAGAACTCATAGCTTTCGGTGCGTCCTGATCAAAGCCGATAGAGAGAGTGAAAGGAGCACGGGTCAATGAAGGGGATGAGATAGTGCATTCTCGCTGGGCCTCGGCTTTAATCCATTTCGCCCGAGTGAAGCGCTTGGCGCGCTCAGCCCTATCGAACGTATCGAAAGCGGCAGTCATGAGTGAATGCATTATTTAAGGGCTTGTGATACACGTACACCCCCTTTTGATACATGTACACCCCTTTTTGATACATATACACCCCCCCAGATCCGAATAGCTTCCGCGCGGCCGCTAGCCGTATAAGATATAAATCTCATATATAGCTTTCTAAGAAATATTATCGAGACTCTTAATAATAGTAAAGTAAGTCTTTTTAAATCTCTTCTAATAAAATCTAAAAGATTAGATAATTTTAAATCGTTAAATAATAAGATCTTTAGATTATTTTTCTATAGCGATAGCTAATTAGCTAATTACTCTCTCTCGTTATTATTAGAAATATATTTATTATACTCGAATATTTACTATCTATTAATTATCTAGCTTTTCTATAGCTAAAAGATATTAAATATAATCTTATTATTCTATATATAGACTAACGTATTACGTTTATCTCGCTATTAACTACCTCGCTATTAACTATCTCGCTATCCGCTTTATATAATTTCATCTCTTATAGTCTTATCTTACTATTCGTCTTATATAGTCTTATCTCATATAGTCTTATCTCTTATAATTTTATCTTACTATTCGCCTTATATAGCCTTATCTTTTATAGTCTTATCTCGCTATTTATCTTATATAACTCTATCTCTTATAGCTATAATTTTAAAATATATATTAATAATAGTAATTTTCTTTTTCTAAGTTATCTAACTAGCAATAATCGATATATTACTATATTCACATTTACGTTTACATTCGTATCCGCGTTTATAATTATCTTATACGCCTCGATCTAATATAATATTATTACTTCGCTAAAATAGATATTTCTTTACTTACTCGAATTCTAATAGCTTATAATATATAGAGTTTTAAAAGGCGAGTTCTACACGTATAGATAGTTTTATAAAATCGAAAGATTTATTCTTAAGACGCGTAATAGTAAGTTTATAAACGATAATTAGAGAGTTTATAAACTAATTTAGATTTTCTAATATTTTAAATATATTACGTATAAAGAAAGCGACGGGTTTTTTAAAGCGCTAATAAGAGTAAATATCTTTAATCTTAATAATTCTAAAGTCTACTTTTATTCTCGCCTTAACTTTATAAGTATATAATAAATTAAAAATTATAGTAAAGACGTCGATATAAGAGTCTAAATCGTTGTTAATCTTTTTATACTATTTATAAATTCTTATAAGAGCTTATAATATTATAGAGGTAATAATATTACGAAATAGTAGTTTTCGTAACTTAATCGATATAATAATCTTTATACTCTCGAAGTTAGATATATACTTAGATCGCTAATACGTTAGAAGATTATTAATTCTATAAATTATCGTTTATAAGTCGCTAGTTAAGAACTTTAGCTCTCGCTTTAAGATAATATAGTTATCTTCGCTTCTAGAGCTAGCCGTATTAAAGAAATAAAATTTCTTATTAATATAGTACTAAATAAACTTTCTCTTAAATAATTAAATTTATATATTAGATAGATAGCTATAGAATAGAGAATTATATATATTATAGATCTCTTATAAAGACTCTTATTCCTTCTTAAAATCCACCTACATATATACGTATACTATTTATTTCTAATAAATTCGAAACTCCTTTTAAGTCTTCTTTATTTTAAGATATTACTTATAATTAGTAGTAATATTTTTATTAATATATTAGATATATAGTATATATTCGAAGTTTAAAAGAACGACGTAGTAAGTATTAATTAAGATTATTTTACGATCGATAATATTAATAATAGAGTCTAAAATATCGAGCTTAAAATATATATTTCGATATTGCTAAAGCATTTATATATAGTTCTTCTTTTCTTCTTTAATTAGAAAGTAGAAGATTATATAAAATAATAAATTAAATATAATTAAGTCGATAATAATAAGTAAAGAAAGCTTATATTTATTTATCTTATAGATATAATTTATAATAGATATCTATTAATTAACTCTTAATATTTTCTACTATAATTTCTTAAAGAAAAAAAGATATATATATTAGAATCGATATAGATGTAATATTAATATAGGTATTTTAAATAAGATAACTAAGGTATCGAACTATATAGGTGAAAAGAAGGTATAATATAATAGAGGATATCTCCGCCAAGGCTCGCTAGCTATAGGGCTGAGGGGTATATTAAGAGTACGCTTATAATACTACCTTTCTTCTTCGTTAAATTATATTCTATAATTAATAAGTGGAAAGATAGAAAAATGAGTATATATATATGCTTAACATCTGAAAAATGATAAAAGTAGTAAAGAAATAACTGTATCCGGGAACCTTAGTATCGTATCTTTCTTCGTAAGAGATATTAGAGATAATAGTAGCTCTTTATATTTACGCTATAGCGATATTATTAACTAGAGTATAAGCGTATATAGAGAGTTTAGCCGGGAGGAAATCGGTATAATATAGCGAAAATCATATTTATAGGCGTAGAGGTAAATAATAGTAATTTCCGAATTCGTATTTAAGCGGATAAGATATTAATAGAATAATACGACGTAATTAATTAAGAGCTCTCGAATCGAATTAAGTCGTAGACGCTAAAAACTCTAATTTAATATTAAATAACTTTAATATAATCTTCTCTATAATATATTATTTAGCTAATATTAATTATATTTTATAACGACGATAGTATAGTTTATATATATACTAATATAGCTCTAAAAGATCTTTAGAATTATATTAATAAAAGGGGCTTACGCGAAAGAATATATATAAGATAATTCCCGATTAATATAGATCTAAGGAATTAATTCTCGGGTTTAGAAAAAATGAGACTATCGTAAAGATATCGAATAATTTCAATTCAACTAAAAATGAAGTATTCTCTATTATTCTATAAGTTAACTCTTTATAAATAAGACTCTTCGAAATATTATTTATAAAAGTCGTTTATTAGATCTTAATAATTTTCGAATTTATCGTCATTCGCATTATATTAGATAGAATTATCGTCGAGATTTTCTTACTTAACTTTATACTTAAGACGACTATAAATCAATTTGAAGTTAAATATTTTCTTAATAACTCATTCGATCTAATCATTAATAGTAATATATTTTGGCGAAGGGTTTATCTATCTCGATAATAGATTATTTATTATAAGACTTAAGAGATTAGGGTGAAAGACGTTGTAGATTCTTATACTTAGCGAAAGTTTTAGACAATAAGAGGTTTTAATAAGACCTATAATCTTGAATAAACCGAGTCTCTTATAGTTTAATTTGCGAAAAAGGCGATCGAAGATAATATTCTTATTATTTAGGAAGACCATATCGCCTATTTGAAAAGTAACCTTTTATTAATACTTATTAACTTACGTAATTATAGCCTTCTAAGCGCGATCTATATTACTTCGAATATACTTGAGAACTTATTTTATATAATTCGTGATATTCTTCGCCTAAGCAGTATTGAGACGCTTATATATAGTCTTATAGTCGATAGTATTTAGGCTAAAAGTTATTTAAGAATAGAACCTCTTATTTATAAGAAAAGATAGAATATCGATAGTCGATAAGATAGTATTATTATTGGCGAATTTGATAATAAATAATTATCTTGCTTAGTCGTTCTATATATAGTTATAATATATTCGAAGATAACGCTTTATATTCTAATTCGCTTATTCGATTTATTCGTTAATCTTAGAGTAAAAGGCTATTAATAGCTTAACTATAATACTTAGTCTCTCGTAAAAAGACTTTTATATAATAGCTATAAATTAAAAGCCTTAATTCGATATTATTAAGATCGATAAGCTATATAAATAAAATACTTTCTTAAGTAATAAATTAACTATCTTCTTAGCGATAGTACTTTTATTAATATCGAAATAGACTACGTAGTAATATTTCTTAGTAAGTTTATTAATTACTATTTAAATAGCGTTATAGCTATCGAATATAAGTAAGCCTATAACGAAGTTAACTAATATATCTTATTATCGTTTTTATAGAATTTATAGAGACTATAGTAAATTATACTTTCAATCGCAAGGCGTTTTAGCCCTCTAATAGGTGTAGTAATTTTAAACATAGATAGTTACGATAATTCTTATATCTCATTAATAATATTCTCTTTTAAGTAGCTTATAAGTATATACTATCTCGAAATAATCGTAGAACGATTAATCGTATATCTCTCGAATAATATTAGTATATATATTATTAAATACTTATAGATAATCTTTATAATAAAGTATCTCGTTTTATATAGAATATTTACTAAGAGTAATCTCTTAAAACTTATTCTTATTTTTAATAATAGTCTTATAGATTTCTATATAATACTCGTCTTTCTTATTAGCCCTTACTATCTTATAATAAATAAAGTCATCAATTATATATATATCGATATATTCGCTATTTAATTTCAATCAATTAGAGATAAAAATTATCTAATACTATTAGTGTAATTATTTATTCTCGAGATTAATTAATTTATATCTAGCTATTCGTATAAATATATTCGCCTTAATATTCTAAGGTTCTAATCGATAGATAATCTTTATATTAAATTTAAATAGTATATTTAAATAGCGGGCCTAGCGATAACTAAGGTCTCTTTCTTCGACAAAATATATTAAATTCTTATAATTTATAAAGATCTTAATAGAAATATCGATATATTTTAATTTAGAACGCTAATATTTAAAATAGCGAATAATAGCTAGCAACTTTTTATCGTAGATCTAATAGTTATATTTAACTGAAGTAAGGTTCTTACTATAGAAGGCTATCGGGTAAAATACTCTCTTATT